TTGTTACTTGTGAGTTTCGAGTAAATCACATCAACTTTCTTATTTCTTATTGACGCCATATTGGATTCGTTAGAAAAAAATTACAAAATCAACGATATTAAACACTTAATATGTATTGCATTGGGAAATCAATCTTGCATTTTTGCCTAGAACATTACAATGTATTTCTTATGGCAATAACTCCATGATCGCGACTTTGCCAGACTAAAAACGGATGAATTTGGTATTGCCATAAAAAATATATTGTAAACTTAGATGCAAAAATGCAACATTGATTCCCAAATGAATACTACTAAAAAAAAATAGGTGTTTAGTTTTGCTGAAGAGTTTGTAATTTTTCTCGCTATTGAATGATATAAAATTCCAATATGGCATCTATGAGAAATAAGAAAGTTGATTTGATTTACTCGAAACTGATAAGTGATAAAAATTTTATTTTAGCACCATTATAAAGGTGAGGAAAAATTACTGAGGGTTTGTTAAAACTATTTTTTGATATCTTTGAAAATAAATGAATACTAGCGCACCATGTCATTTTTCGTTTTTTTTTTACCATAACTTTGTTGTTTGTAGAGCTACAAGAAACTCTGCAAGGAAAACTTAATCTAGCTATATAAAATTCAGCAATTCTTTGCTCATTTAAGTGACTATCTCTTACGGTTTACGAAATCGCCATACTAAACATCGGATAAAACTCATTTTTCATTTTTGGTGTAACTGTTTGCTCAATTTAAGGTTATGTTTTGATTAAGTACATGGTCTATACCTACAGACTTGTTTTCAAACAACTAAATTAGTTATGACACTACTGTGATTGGACTATAGGATTGGAATTTCAGAACGAGAGCCAATGCTACTTGTCTTCGGGGGGAGACCCTGCTAACAGAAAGTATTCAGATTAGAATCTTTGAGCGATATAAGTTGCGATTCACTAATTTCCACATGTTTAAACGTTGAGTTTGCCCTCAAAGGCTATATAATTTTCCATCTCGCTCTTAACAAAAGGGTTTTATTGCACCAAAGGTGAGTCACCTGTGGTACAGTTTATGACCTCCTTGTACTACCCCAACCAGTTCCAAGTTCCAACTTTCTTTTAAGCCTGTTTTGGTATCATGTTTTGTGTAATGTAATTTATATTTGTCATGTTTTATTGTCAATTATTTTGATGCGTGTACAAATGAAGTTTCGATAGGTATTTTTTGTGAACTGTGAAAGGTTCCACCCTGTATATACAACTTACGATGATACATACATTTTTGAGAGTTGGCAACCATGCAAATTCTAGGTGGGAAAAAGCTGCCTGCGCCATCTAAAGAGCACGGACGGGGGTTACGTTTGGCATCTTTGCTTTTCTTTATATCGTATTTGTGTTTTGTGTGTAACATTTCTCATCTTTGTTTTTGAAATTTACTTGGTTTAACCGTAATGCATAATCACATATGTGATACCGTTATGCTATTGTTTGTAATTGTTTACGTTTTTGGTTTAATGCTTGCTTAATTTATGTTTATTGATGTTGATTACTTGGTCTTGTCCCTGAAGTAACATTCATATAAGTTTTGACCATTTTATTTTAATATGTGGAAATTACCGATTCGTTTGATGTATGTACTGACTTGTTGTTTGTAACTAACATTTTCTCCGCGAATGAAGCAGTCACGGGGGTGGTAAAAACTGTAGTCAAAATTGAGCTACGACACTTAATTCCGTGGTTGTCTTCGACTTTTAACTGTAGGCTCGAAACCCCGAAACCAGGGACGGGCTACCTATCTTGCAGGAGCGGGATTACGCTAATCAAAGCTCTTCAGTTTAGAATCTATGTACGATAAATGAAATGAAATGTAATTTTCCATCTTGCTTTTAACAGAAGGACTTTATTGCACCAAAGATGAGTCACATCCTGTGTATTTCACTCTTTTTTAGAATCTTGGTACCTGCTTACCTGCCCCATAATTCTCAAAACTTGTTTTTAACCTATTTGTTACCTCTTGAAGTCTACCTGCTACTTTTTGTGATGTTATAATTTTATGTTGCGCATTCACATCATTACAAACAATTAATTTCACAACACAATTTGATATTAATTTGACGGCTGGTTTTTTATTGGTAAGTTTTTTCCCAGCCTTTTTCTATTTTTATTCGGTGAACTACCATTTTCGAAGTTTATTTTTGCAATGTAATTCATTTCGGGTTAAATTTCTGAGCTTTCACAATCTTAATAATTGCGATCATTAGTAAACAAACTTGTCACAATTTGAGTGTTTTATTTTACGTTCCTTCCCTACTGTACTTTAAGCCATGGCGTTGTTTACAAATAGCGTAAGGGGGCCCTGCCTTAGATGTTTGATCACGTGCCACTTTTCAAATTTAAGCGGGATCTTGTTTAGTTTTGGAGGGAATAGTCATTCGGGTGGCCATTTTTAAACGTTGCCGGGTTGACTTTATTTCCGTGTTCTTGTAGTGTGAAGTTAGCGTAGAACCTGGGGCTGGGGGTTAAGTACACTACAACTGTATACAGGGTGATTCCTATAGTACCTGCCACCGTTTGGGAGCGTATAGGGGGTGCCTAGGGGAGTATTTTGATATAGGACACTTGGGGTCGGAAATCTAAAACAAGGGCGCCAGAACCAAATTTATCTTCTGGAATTTCACGCCTGTATGTAGGCAACCCAACCGACCGACGTTTCGCGCGGAGCGATGCAGAGCGAGTTAGCGCGAGGAAGCGACATGGGAGGGAAGGAGGGAAAACGACATCAAAAGCAATAACGTTTACAAGTGTTCAACGTGGCCACCGTTGTTCTCAATGCACTTCCTACATCTAGCCAACTATTATTATACTATTGCCATAGTGTTTATTCACTTGATACGCGTCGTTGCAGACGGGATTTCGTGGGTTTAAACAAAATTCTGATCAAGTGTCAGCCACACATCGCCGCCTGAGATCGCTCCGTGTGCACCGCCGGCCGGTTGGGTTGACTACCTACAGGCGCGAAATTCCAGAAGGTAAATTTGGCTCTGGCACCTTATTTTAGATTTCCGACCCCAAGTGTCCTATATCAAAATACTCCCCTACGCACCACCTACACGCTCCCAAACGGTGGCAGGTACTATAGGAATCACCCTGTATATGTAATTGCTTGCTAATTGCTATGCTTTTGTCGACACTAATGGTTAACGTGTTTATTGATTGAAAATACAAATAAAGTAAATTGATTCTAAATTTTGATTTGGTGATCGAGACTGCACATATACTATAAATTGGAATAATTACAAAGGGAATATGAATGAAGGGACTTATTACTTGCTGTTGTTTCGAAGTAACTCATTTCTATACGAAGGGGCGGTGATGGCGACAGGAAAGCGCTGCTTTTTGTGGTAGCGATAATGAAGATTGTTGGTTGATTAAACCACAACACGATGATTGGCGCTTCTAACGACGAAAGCTTTCACAGTACTGTACAAATAATTTTGGCGAAAATGACATGCTGCTTTTTAACAGACACGCTCATTGTTAATGGATGTACGATGACATCTTGCATTTTTCTTCGATTGTTGTTCAACGAATACGCATATGCAAGTGGCTCATGCATAGTACATAACAAGAAGCGAATGTATACAGGGACAGGCGAAATAGTTATATACAAGATAATTTCTTTGAAAGAATTTCAAAGTTAGGAGTTTGAATGCAACATATTATCATGCACATTTGTGATTCGACTTTATTGACTATTAAAATAACTGATGCAAAGATTTATTTAAAATACGAAGTATCCTATTCAGTGGCGTAACTGGGTATTTTTCAAAGCGGTGCCGGATCAGGTTCAGGTTTTGGCGCCCTACCAGATTTTGATGCGACATCAGTTACCATTAAGCTCTAATCATTAAAACACTGTAGGTAATTACTGTACTATTACATTTGTTAATTATACCGCTCACCTTCTCCCAGACTCTGACCTCATAGATGTTAGTGTCAGAACCCTAGATGTTTACGTTGTGTTTTGTAGTATTTTGAGTTAAATTTTAGAGGTCGTCGTCTCTCGATGCTTTTATTTGAAGTAGTGCAGAGACAAGGTAAATGAAAGACATCGTAACTGTTAATTAGCTTTACTCCTTAATTAATATTTTTGCAAGTAAACTCTTTTTCATTTGCAATCCACACAAACCATTTTGCAATAAATGCATCATAGAAGAAACAACTCCCTCTGCACGCGGGCGTTCCACAATAGTCAAATGGCATTTTACTGATCTGCCTACGAGCCACCGCATAAATGGCAGTACTCGGCACCGATTGGCCACACAACCGCGGAATAGTGTTAGGGTCGAGATATCCTGTACTGTCAACCGCAGTAAACAATCCAAAATCTACCTAAACCAATATAACTTTCGTTGGCACGTTTCAATTCATCTTTATGAAGTGATAAAATTAAAATATGGGTCAAGTATAAGAAGGGAAATTAATTAATCATTTCAGCTAAGTTAATAGAGTTTGCTAGCAGTTTACGTAATTAGCAAACTTAATTCCAATTACAAATAATTGACTGCCGAACTTCGACAACGTTAAATGTAATTAGTCGGTCTTCGAACCACGCGGCATTTGCGCCACCTATAATTAGACAAATAAGTTTCGTGACTTATAAAACAAAAGCGATATTAAATTACGTATTCAATTCAATTATTCAATATAAATGAAAAGATATTACCTTATTCCTAAGATTACATTTCACATTCCACGTCTTTTTTACTAACAAAGTTGCTCGTTTAAGTTGCACCTTTGTCCACGGGTATGCTTGACTACCTACTGAACGCTTTCTTTATCAGTTAAATATCCATTTGCTATGGGCTGCTGTAAGGCAAAGAACGTGGATTTTATAGGCTATGGGGGCGAAATTGTAATCGGTTTGTTCTCCGGGTCTCGGGGTTTAGCCGCTCGAGTGGAGTAAGCTGTGGCTACGTACACGGTGCGTGCCAGCGGCTACAGTAGAATCAATAAAAAATCAATGTAAAGGAAGACGTTTATATAGATATTTACATCATTCATTTTAAATTATTACAAGCTTCTTATCATTCGATAAACCAGACAGATAGAGTATGAGGGGAAGGGAGATAAATCAATGAATTTTTTGATAGTATTTCTATCGCTTAAATAGTTAGTTGAAAGAATGATCTTCGATCCATCCGTAGTGTTGCGACACGCTCGTGTAAACATCAGGCGTACCAACCGCGCAAGGAATTCCCCACGATAACACCCCAATTTGAATTCTGTCGGTCGAAACCAACGGTCCCCCGTTGTCTCCGTCGCAACCGCCCGCTCTCGACGCTTTCGTGCAGATATTGTCATAATCGACCGGATAATCCCGCAGCTCCCGCTTGCAATCGTCCAAGGAGAGAACGTAAAATTCGGCGTATCTTAAATGATTGGAGTACGTCGGAAGTGAAAGTAGCTCCTTTCCCCATCCCGATAAGACGGCCTTTTGTCCCGGATACGTCGACGCGATGTTCAACGCAACCGAGCTCGTTTGTGGAACGCTGAGCATGTTACCGGTCGTCTTTACCAGGGCGATGTTGTTTTTGAAAGTTGAGCTATCGTAGCGCTCGTGCGAAATAATGCTGGACACTGAGAGATGGGTTCCGCCTACGACTAGGTCATTCGTGCCCACAACTACGTACACGCTTTGCGGGTATTTCCTAAACTTTCAAGTTAGTAAATCGGGTACGATAACGCAACGTAGGTATCTTACCCGTAGACGCACTTCGCTGACGTAAGCACGTAGTAAGGTTTTATTATCGATGCCCCGCAGAAGTGCCCGTTGCTCTGATTCCTTAACGAGGCTTGGTAGCGGAACTGACCGGGCGCCGCCGCTAGTGCGTCGACAATGCGATTTTCGACATTTCCGGAGACGGCGAGGACTCCTAAAAATGCAATGTTGAAAAAAAAGATGTCCACCTTGATTGTACCTATACTTACCGAGAGTAAGGAGAGACGCTAAAACAAATAAACAGTTCATTTGGTCAGATTTTTTTAAAGTGATTATGAGGAACGATAGGTGCGGCTTTTAAGGTACCGGGCTATCTTTCGCCGATTGATAATCGGATAATCGGAGATTTGGTTTGAGTATTGATACTTGAAATCGATAGTTACTGTGCAAGATTTCTAGAGATTATGAGCTTTAGTCAGAAACGATTGGTTGCAGGCGTAAGGAACTGACATTGTCAGCCAAATTCGGATAATACTCGAATCATAGTGATGCATTTCAAGTAGTTTTAGTCATACGTTTCAACGGTTTCACATAAGAACTGTCATGAGTCTCAAGGTGAGGGACTGATTAATATACTACTCACCTTCTCCTAGACACAGACTTCCGGTGGACGTTTCGCGGCACTTTTAAATTTGGATGGCAGTCGGCTCGATAGGGATGGCACGAATGAAGTCCTACGTTGTGTAATCGGTTCTTATATGTGTTGGGACGTGAGACATAATCGGGAAGGGAATTAAATAAAAGACAGGACTTTTGTGCATAAGAAATGATAAGAAAAAATAAATATATTACGCGTACAACAAGACCATGCCAAGGAAACCTTCTACAGGACAAAAACCCCGGCATAGGCCACACAAATACATGAAATAAATCACCTACAGAAATAAAATGCAAGTGAAAATACACATAAATAAAACATCTCAAATTGTATGATAAAAATCAGGTAATCAAATCAAATGCAATTAAACAAGTTCATAAATACAAAATACACAAGACATCATAAATGCAATGGAAAACCTTATAAATCAATTCAGTACAAAAACGTAAAATGCATGTGAGAATGCCAATAGCAAATATTCATGTGAAAATTGATTATCGCTCAAGCAGAACATATTTTAAATAGTGGAAATGTTAATGAGGGTCCCTACTCGCATTGCTAAGATGCTAAGAACTGCAATCTGCACGAGACGAATAGGCAACAGATACAGCGAAAGATCGAACTGTATTAGGTGCCTACTCCACGGAGACAGAAAGAACCACTCGCACACACAAACATCGAAACATCAAATAAGAGAGCCCCCCCTTTCGTATAGCTAACGCACAAGACATGCAGCGCGCCACGAATAAAAAAGTAACAGATACAGCGAACAATCAAACTGTATTAGGTACTTCCCTCACGGAAACGAGTGATGCCTTCCGTCGACCTCGTCGCCATCTTTTCTCTTCCGCCACGTCCGTTTTTTCCCTAGCTTCGTTACGAAAATCCCCTAGTATTCGGCATCTGCCCAAAACGGTCGATTGGTTATATACCTACAGAGCATATCATATTTTTGTTTCAGATGTAAACGTGTGTTGCCTAACCATAAGGGTGGATTATCACAAGTTCATACCAGGTTTATATGGTAAAATTTAGCGTCAATTTGCTTTCTGCATTCATTCAGAGTAGTTAAATTTGTTTTAATTCCATAATTCAATTTTCGTGTTTGTGCTTAGGTGTAATTGTAATTCTTCGCTTTATTGTAAATTGTATTGCCTTCAGTTGCTTGTAACTGCGGGTAGGTGACCCCCGAATTTGTTTGTTATTTGCTTGTTTCACTTTAAATGTTATTGCTATTTTGATTTGTTTGAGATTAGCCATTTGTTAATGTTCACTCGATGTGTACACCCTTTAGATTGATTCGCGACTTGAATTCTTTGTGTCTTTAACTGTTAAATGCCGAAGCTATAAAATTACTTAGTGGCACTCATCTCGAAATACAACTTTAGTCTATGGTTACCGTATCCAGAACTTTCAGATACCTTCTGGTCTGGTTAAGGCCCGACTAATTAACAATCTATTGCATGTACTTTATGTAAGAGACTTCGGAATGTTATTTTTCACAAATGGGAAAGGAGTGGAGTTGCTTTGAAATATATTTGAGCTGGCCATTCTTGCGCTTATCAGATGTTGTATTAAATTAACGGCAGTTCTAAATTATTCAAAATCAAGGGTTACTTCCACGGATGGTTAATTTTTGTATACTATAGATGTGTGTTTAGCGTTTTCCAGTTACCTCTCTTGCTCCAGATTTTCCCCCTATATTTACCGTCTGTGAACTGTGAATTTTCTTCGGGAGCTGTCGACTTGGGTACATCATAAAATAATTGAACAGGACAGGCGATACAAAATCCTAGATCTTGTAGAATGAAGCTCCTACAAACATTTCGGTACTCCGACGGTAAGTGTCAATTCTATTAAAAAGATTCGTGCAAAAATCGACTGCGCGACGATTTACGCCATGTAGTTTCATTTTTTAGCCCATTCGCCTATGTTTAGTATTATTTCCGCTATTGTCCGTGTTTCCCAATGATACTCACTGTCTTGCAAATCAACTTTATTTAAACTCACTTAACATTTATGGGTTAACATTTCCACTATTGTTCGTATTTACGGTAATAATTTCTAAATCGGACAATATCACGAAACTTTATAATTTATATTTAAAACGTTACGTGTTACTGTTCGTATTTAACTTCGTTACTCTAGGCGCACTCCTTGTGCAATACAATTGTACCTTTTCTATCGCCTGGAAAATATGACTACTCGTTGAAAGTGAATTTTGAAGTATAGTGCACTATTTGAATCAGGAACAAAATGGGTTTCAGCTTTCTCGAAATTTAGTACTAATGGCAACTCGTAAAGAATTTAAAAGCACACACGAATATAATTTCGTCGAATTGGTGGCACAGTTTTTCCTTATAATTTTGCAATCAACTTCAACTATTGCGATAAACATATCACGTACGATTACGCGTCTGAGAAATTCCGTGTACCTCGATTATGCGAATTCGTTTATGAAACTTTCAGTTGAAAGTAAGGGTTGTGCGATGTAAAATACCGCGGTCGACTTACATAGGTTGGCCTTGACGGTTCAGTGAAGAATCTCTCTCACCCGATTTTTTAAATGTATCCGCCGAGAAAGAAAGATTTCGGCCACGTTTGTTATACATGTAAAATATTCCTCCCTCATGCTCCGTAAGAACGATCCTCAGAACCGGCAACACTATGGTGTTTTGAGTCTTATCTGCTCGCACAATCGCTTCTTATCTGAAAGCCCTTGATTCTATCACATTTTAATTTCGTTTCTCTTTCACTATAAAGCGGCAATGGCGTAACTAGGTAGGTGCCGAAGGTATATTTGACGCAGTTTCGATGCTATAAATTTTCGTAAGTTGTATAAACAAAAAAAATACTTGGGCTCGATCTATTATAGTTTCAGAAAGTAATAAATGAACGAAATGGATATTTAACAACTGATAAAGAAAGCGTTCAGTAGGTAGTCAAGCATACCCGTTGACAAAGGTGCAAACGAGGAACTTTGTTAGTAAAAAAGACGAGAAATCTTAGGAATAAGGTAATATCTTTTCATTTATATTGAATAATTGAACTGAATACGTAATTTAATATCGTTATCGAAACTTATTGGTCTAATTAATGGGGGCGCAAATGCCGCCGTTGGGGGCGTGGTCCGAAGACCGAATTAATTACATTTAACGTTGTCGAAATTATTAATTAAAATTTAGCCTTTGTGAAACTATACATTCGGCCGTCAATTATTTGTAATTGGAATTAAGTTTGCTAATTACGTAAGCGGCTGGCAAGTTCTATTGACTTGGCTGAAATGATTAATTAATTCTTCCTCGTATAATTGACCCATATTTTAATTTTATCACTTCATGAAAATGAATTGAAACGTGTCAAAGAAAGTGCTACTGGTTTAGGTAGGTTTCGGAATGTTTACGGCGGCTGAAAGACCACAGGACATTACGACCTTAATACTAGTCCGCGGTTGCGTGTCCAATCGGTGCCGAGTACTACCATTTATGCGGTGGCTCGTAGGCTAAAATGCCATTTGACTATTGTGGTACGCCCGCATGCTTTCTAATTGCCGAGGGAGATGTTTGTTCCATGACGCATTTATTGTTAAATGTTTGTGTGGAACAACGCCATCACGATTTAATGACGCCTCAAGCTTTCGCACGAACGGTTGTAATAGAACGGGACGCATACTGCTAACATTGAGCTTAGAAATAGTTCGACAACGAATTTCGGTTCCGATATTAAAATCTGACTAAATTAAGGTCCTCTTATCATTTATTTGGGCGCTTACACTTATCTAATCAGCATGATTAGTCAAGTTCTTTTCTTTGTTGGAGCATCCTTATCACTCTAAATATAGATTCCAATCCAACTACCAATCAATGCAATTTTGAATGCGATTTAATTTCTGTAGTAACTGATGCGCCTTTGTAAATTGATCTATGTTTAATGGACGGTATAAATAGACTGAAACTTGTACATGACTTTTGATAATCACTCTTGGTTCATGCCATGGAGCTCGATTCTATCACAGAATAAAGAGTGCGCTGGAGGAGCACATTGGCAGTGATATTAATAAATTATATTGCGAGAGCAATATTGCAGTATGGATTTGTAACAGAAAACGTTATAACTATGGTAACGAAATTCCTTTTGATTTGTATTCAAAAGAACTATCGGTTCTCTTTAGGTGGATAAAAATTCTATTGAACGCAATCAGAAGAATGCTTAAATACATTTTCCGTAGACACTCGATGAGTACCACTGGCGGATGCTGCTCGTGCTCTTGAAAAATCGTTTTTTGCATTTTAATGAACGAAGTTAGAAAAAAACGTGACCAAAAAATTGGAATGACATTTTTAGTACTCGTCGTATAAAAAATGTAAGATTTAATTTTAAATTTGCAGTCAATCAGCTCAAACGAGGATGTCAAGTTTCTGGATTTTTATGAGTAAAAGGAATCTTCCGAGCGATTCAAACAACGCTTATTCAGAGCTGGTTCAATCTTTCGGCCATGATAGAGGCCTGTATCAGTCGTGTTCGAGTCAGAATCTTCCGAGCGATTCAAACAACGCTTATTCAGAGCTGGTTCAATCTTTCGGCCATGATAGAGGCCTGTATCAGTCGTGTTCGAGTCAGGTCTATCGAACCCAAAAGATCACTGCAGTACTAGGTAACGGAAGACGGCAAGCTTGTAAACTCTACAAGGATTATCATTACGGCTAGCAAGATGGGGGAAGGAATAAAAACTAAATAAATTTTGGTTTTTGGTCCGGAATCTACAGGAATCATGAATTAAAGAACAGGTCTGAAATACACAGAAATACGGTTCTGGCTTGATATCTGTTTATGAGATCTGGTCGGTTAGTGAGCTCGGGTAAAGGTCTCGGGAAAAAGTTCCTGGTGAAAAACAAAATCATGCATTTACAGGGACAAGGAGAAGCACAAACAAGTGATTAACTAAGAAGGAATTTCATTTCGAAGGGAGGGGACGACAGCATGTGACATCTAACGGAGCAATTTTACAACACAGCAGAATGTTTTACAGATACAATTTCTATTTTACCAATTTCGATATTTAGATGTAGATGTAGATGTGGTCCAATATTTTCACCATAACCTTGCAGTGTTTCGAGTGTAAGAGTGAGGGCCACATCGCAGCCAAGTGTATAAAGGACGAAACCATGATGCTTGCCGAAAAGGCGCGAGAGGCAAATCTTTTTTTGAACGCGATTAATGCGGTGTCTCTATATACGCCAACGGTACTTCTTGTTTCGAATTTGAAATCAGACATCTCAGGGTGAATAAATGTGACTTGGAATATGCGGAGTTGAGTGTTTGGGTTAGGTTATTACCCCAAGGTCAAACTTAACAACGATCGCAAAGTTCAAAAGCGAGTTCTACAACGAAACTCGTCGAGCTATACACAAACGCTTGCAAATGGGGAATAGGAAACAATAATACGACACGCTCTGTATACATCAATCCTGCTGTGTTTTCGATTTTGACCGTTCTGCGCGGATGCCCAACACTAGGGGATTTTCATAACAAAGCTAGGGGAAAAAAGAAAAAAAAATGGCGTCGATGGAGGGAATCACGCTTTCGCGGGTTTTTTCTTCTTGATTATTTCGTTTTTTATGTCTTGAAGGTGTATTTACAGGTAGTAACCATTTTATTTTATCTATGCCGGGGTTTTTGTCCCGTAGAAGGTTTCCCTGGTATGGTCTTGTTGTGTGCGTAATATATTTATTGTTATTGTCTTTCTACGCTCAAAAAATTATTCCCTTAATTCCCTTCCCGATTATGTCTCACGTCCCAACACGTGCAAGAACCCAATTACACAACGTAGAAGTTCATACGTGCCATCCATGTTGGATCGACTGCTATCCAGATTCAAAAGTGCCGCGAAACGTCCATAGTTTCGACTCTGCTCGTTGTTTTTTCACCAATGGTAAGTACAAGGTAAGTCAACGTTTTCAGTGTCGACTTGGGAGACCCCTAGGATCATTACAAAGTATTTTATCTTGATCACATAACGCATTAATGGCACATTCTCCTGTTTAAAATATGCACCTACCTCTGAATGTTACACATATTTTTAATCCAACCAAAGGAATGGTATCACTGAAATTAACTGCAAATTTCCCAACCAATGTAAAGTGACCAAAATCCTTTGTTTGAATTCGATAAGTACAATACAACATCTGTTCATACAAATGGTTCTCATAGGTCGATCTGTTTAGGAATATTAAAATTACTTTAATCAAAATGGTTTATGCAAATCCCTAAAATAATCGACCGCTACTTAATACAAATCAAAAAATCTAAAATAAGTCACAGTAATTGACGTGGATGAGATGTTAGTTAATTAGAATGGATCTTCAACTGTAGAAGGAATTCGCGCACAAACAGTGTACGTGACCACTTTCAAATTCGTCTTCGAGTCTAATTTTCAACGGATCCAAATAGTACGTTTCGACTCGCGAACACGAGCAAGAATCTCTCGCTCCCCCACTTCCTTCTCTATTTGAATCTCGTCCGGTAGAAATACCTAAATGAGCCTGCCTTTCTGAAAACAAAGTTTTCGTGTAACGTGGCTTTTAAACGAATCTTCAATTTGGTCACGTGCTCATCTTTAAACGGAACCGCATGAAACTTTTAGGTCCCAAGATATCGTGGCAACTGCGCTCGCTTTCCGCAATACGTTTCTTGTTATTGCCGGTTATCGCCAGACATACTTTTTTTCATGTTCGCTATGAAGCGGTATGTGTAATCTTTTTTTAAATCTAAAGTGATATTGTTTTAAAGTTGTTGATAGCAATATAGTTAACATTGTTGTAAAGTGCTAGTGGTTGGATGTTAATGTGGATGAGCCTGTAAAACGGTGTCTCTATTAACGTCAACGGTACTGGTAGTTTAAATTTTGAAATCGAAGGTCTGGCTCTTAATTTTTTTTGAATTGACGTCACAGAAACTACACACTCTTTTGTTTTAAATATTGTTTTACGAGAAAAACGTAAACAATTACAAACAATAGCATAACGGCATCACTCATGTAATTCTGCATTGCGGTTAAATCAAGTAAATTCAAAAACAAAGATTCAAACACACAAAAAATATAAAATGCGGCATACAAAACACAAATACGATATAAAGAAATGCAAAAATTACTACCTGCATTAAATAACACAAGATAACAACAAACATTTATGGAGCGACGCGTTCACGACCGCCATTCAAGACAAGATGCTAAACGTAACCAACGTTCCTGCTTTCTAGAAGGCGCAGGCAGCTTTTCTCCTCCTAAAAATTGCATGGTTGCCAACTTTCACAAATGTATGTATCGTCGTAAGTTGTATATACAGGGTGGAACCTTTCAACAGTGACCTTCCTACAAGAACAACAGTCTTTCATTCTCCCCAAGAAGAGTAATGGCATGTTTCAGCAAAGAAACAGTTTTTTTTTTCAAAAATTGCCACCTCTTTATCGCGTTTCTGCCGGTCAAGATTGCTGTGGCAGTACCTGATGTCGCATGTCGATGGTATGATAGAGAGAGCTTGCCTCTTAGTTTTCCCCTCTCCTCTCCACCGGCGTACGCGTGGGGGGGCTGTAGCTCCTTCAGCTGCTCCCCCCCCCCCCCCCCCAAAATAATCGACTTAACTACTCAGTGGCACATCCCGTAAGTCGTCAGTCATGGTATAATTATTTAAATGCCAAGCGACAATAAAAATGTTGCAGTTGCTGGAAAAACTACCTTACTTTTTCCTTCGCTTACTTGATCTTGCGAATGTGTACGACATACGTGAAAATTTACATACTTTGGTCTTAAATCTCGAGTTTCAGCCTCTCCAGAAAAAAAATCCTGCGTACGCTACTGCCTCTCTCCCACCTGCAGTATCCTCATTGGTAGTACGCGCAGTTCATTCTATATGTCGATGGGACAACGCCAATTATTGTTTCTAATGACAACGGTCCTTTTTTTCTCTACATCTCGTGATCTGAGCTTCTCTCTTTGTTTTGTAATGTTCCTAGGGGTCTATCAAGTCGACACTGAAAACGTTGACTTACCCTATACTTACCGTTGGAAACTCTGGCAAAAAAAATCTACAAGCAGAGCAGACCTTTCAAGTCGAAACGATGGACGTTTCGCGGCACTTTTGAATGTGTATGGTAGTCGGCTCGATATGGATGGCACGAATGAACTCCTACCTTGGGTAATCGGTTTTTATGCGTTGGGACGTGAGACACAATCGGGAAGGGAATTAAATAAAAGACAGAGCGTAAGAAATGACAAGAACAAATAAATATATTACGCACACAACAAAACCATGCGAGGGAAACCTTCTACGGGACAAAAACCCCGTCATAGGCCACACAAATACATGAAATAAATCACCTACAGCAATAAAATGCAAGAGAAAATACACATAAATAAAACATCTCAAATTTTATGATAAAAATCAGATAATCAAATCAAATGCAATTAAACAAGTTCATAAATACAAAATACACAAGACATCATAACTGCAATGGAAAACCTGATAACTCAATGTAGCGCAAAACACATCAAAATACATGTACAATCAATTGAGATAACATTACTCGTACAATAATAAATTGCACTTACATAGGAAACATGTAAATGGTGTGGCTCTACTCCAGCCTTCAGTTAACATAATTTTAATTGACACGAAAAGTACATGTGAGAATGCCAATAGCAAGTATTCATGTGAAAATCGATTATCGTTCAAGCAGAACACATTTTAAATAGAGGAAATGTTAATGAGAAGGTCTCTAAATATCTCGCATTGCTAAGATGATAAGCACTGCAATCCGCACGACACGAGTAGGCACCAGATACAGTGAAAGATCGAACTGTATTAGCCTAACCACAAGGGAGGATTATCACAGTTTCTAACGAGAACAAATAGCGTCTATTTGTTTCCGGATGGAACAATTCCATGAAATGTTCCATGAAATGAATAATTTCTATACGACTGCCGCGGGGTAAGGGCAATCTGTCAATCCATTGCAATTATTTTAATTTGGAGAAAATAGATGCATATCACCATGTGATAATCACAAGTGCTCATTCGCAAAATAATGTTTTCCTACTTAAAACCATCTCATCCGATACTTTTTTTCTCTTATTGAAATGAATAATTTCTATTTCGAGCGTTAGAGGGCTCATCATGACCTACGTTACTAAACGACCATCTATTTCTGACGATCACCTTATTATCTATGAGATAGTGATTTCTATACTTGATTAGTTCGACCGACACCTAAACTTTAGGTAACTTAGCAACCGGTATGGGACTCAGATTATCTAAAATCCAAGCGGCAGGAATCTAATCTAAGTACTTCGCACTTGAGAATAGTATAAGAGCGAAACACGACACATCATGCTCACCTTTTTGCGGCAACATGCTCAGGACTGTGCTGATTGCAGCGCTCGCCGCTTTGGCCGTTGGTAAGTTGAACCTTTCTCTCTTACCAAAATAAACTAAATTCGAAAATCAGAAGCAAGCCCGAGATTCCGTACTGGAGTTCCCCAGCTGGACGGAAGAATTGTGGGTGGAGATAATGCGAACATTGAAGATTATCCGCATCAAGTTTCCATTCTTTTTTTGCACTTTCACAACTGCGGAGGCTCGATCATCGCCCGCAACCTAATTTTGACTGCCGCCCATTGTACAACGAGGTAAGTTGAATTAAACGCGCCATTATCTTCAGGTAATACGTGAAACGTTTCAGCTTCGAGACGAGGTTCCTAAACGTCCGTTACGGTAGCAGTATCTACGAGGCCGGCGGTCAGGTACTTAAAGTCGCTCAGAAATACGACCATCCCAGTTACGATCCTGCCCGCACCGACTACGATCTTTCAGTTTTAAGTTTGGAGGGCAATATTGAGCTCTCGTCCAAGGCTAAGATCATCGATTTGGTTCCCGCGCACGTCCAGGAAGGAGGCCGAAGCGCTTTCGTAACCGGATGGGGTGCTGTCCATAGCAATGGCCCAGCAGCGCAACAACTCCAAGTCGCCGAAGTTTTCGAGGAAGACAGAGATGCCTGCAATAAGGCGTTCCGCGGCAAAATCACCGACAGAATGATTTGTTTCAAGGCCGACGGTAGAGATTCGTGCCAGGGAGATTCTGGTGGCCCACTTGTATCCGACGGTCATCAAGTCGGTATAGTTTCATGGGGACACGGATGTGCCAATCCCGAATATCCGGGTGTATATTCTCATCTGAATAATGCCGTTCTTAGAAAGTATGTTCTGGACCATATCGACGTCCATGCTACAAATTAAGTTTGAGTTATTCATTTCGCATTTTAGCAATGTAGGTAGTAGACGATTTCCTTATACTGTTACATCTTTGTGAGTAATAAACTAGTACAGTCAAGAGAAAGTATATTCTTGAGGTGGAATTTCCCCAGGGAGGGAGATGGGTTTCGTACATTCCCCGTAATTGGCGTCTGCTGTTGAAATTAGGAAACATACTTCGATACTATCAAGTGGCTAAAAGCATACATCAAAAAATAGCCTGAAACATAACCTCATAACAGATAAAATACACTCCACAGATAATACTTGAAAACCCCATACATAAACTATATTAGAGTAGGACACTACTCACGGACAAAGCTATTCAAAACAACAGACCAGACATTACGCGAACGTATATTTTCTTCAAATCGATTCTTCTGTATATATTTACCCGGGCAGGAGCGGACCCGAGGGATACTCGTACCAGCTTTGGAACTGTGTTTAAGTTTGTTGCTGTTTTCTTGTGTTATTTAATGCATTTCCTTATATTTTTTATTAATCTCCATGTTTGTTTTTGAAATTGACTTGACTTAACCGCAATACAGAATCACGTGTTTGATACCGTTAACCTTTTGTTTGAAATTAGCAATAGGCAAATTCAACTAAAGGCAAGATATGTAGAAATTAGAAAATCGAAACTCATTTATCGCACGTAGATCTTAAATCGAAGAGTTATGATTAGCATAATCTTGCCCCCAAGATAGATAACTCGCCTCTCGTTCGGAGTTTCGAACCTACAGTTGAAAGTCGAACGCAATCACGGAATTAGGTGTCGTAACTCAATTTATTTATTTATTGATTATTGATTTATTTATTGATTATCCCTCTCTTAGTTTTGGGCCCTCAACAGGCATGCGCCCAATTACAGAGTGACCCGCATAATGCTATTTAGAGGTGCCTCTGCAGAAGGTCTTAAGTTGGTCTATACTACTCCGGTATTTACCTTACGAATTAGGAAAACTGCAGGAAAACCTAATTCGGAGTAGCCGGTAGATGCTCGGAACTAGACTAAGGTAATTTCCATCTCTGCCACAGATGAAAAATTCACCTCAACCCAGGTTCGAACACCCGACCTCCGGATTTATAACCCAACGATTCTCAAGATTTCTCAGATTATCCTGATTCTCAAGATTCTCTAGATACTCAAGATACTCAAGATTCTAAAAATTCTCAAGATTTGTCTTTTCCAGATTCTCAAGATTCTTAAGATTTCTCAAAATTCTCAAGATTCTCAAGTTTCCCAAGATTCTCAGACTTTCCAGATTCTCAAAATTCTCAAGGTACTCAAGATTCTCAAGAGTCTCAAGATTTTCGAGAATTTCTAAATTCTCAAGATTTTCTAAGATTTTCAAGATTCTCAAGAATGATTCTCTAAGATCTTCAAGATTCTCAAGATTCTAAAAATTCTCAAGATTCTCTGACTTTCTAAGATACTCATGATTCTAAGATTCTCAAGATTTCTCAGATTTTCCAGATTGTCAAGATTCTCAAGATTTCTCAAGATTCTCAAGACTCAAGATTTCTCAGATTTTCCAGATTCTCAAGATTTCTCTAGATTCTCAAGGTTCCCAAGATTCTCAAGATTCTAAAAATTCTCAAAATTCTCAAGATACTCAAGATTCTCAAGATTTTGCAGATTCTCAAGATACTCAAAATTCTCAAGATTCTCAAGACTCTCAAGATTTGTCCAATTTTCCAGATTCTCAAGATTCTAAAAATTCTCAAGATTTCTCAGATTTTCCAGATTCTCAAGATTTTTCTAGATTCTCAAGGTGTCAAGGTTCCCAAGATTCTCAAGATTCTAAAAATTCTCAAGATTCTCAAGATACTCAAGATTCTCAAGATTTTGCAGATTCTCAAGATACTCAAAATTCTTAAGATTCTCAAGACTCAAGATTTGTCCAATTTTCCAGATTCTCAAGATTCTAAAAATTCTCAAGATTTCTCAGATTTTCCAGATTCTCAAGATTTCTCTAGATTCTCAAGGTTCCCAAGATTCTCAAGATTCTCAAAATTCCCCAGATTCTCAAGATACTCAAGATTCTCAAGATACTCAAGATTCTCAAGAATCTCAAAATTCTCAAGATTCTCAAGACTGTCAGATTTCTCCGATTTTCCAGATTCTCAAGATTTCTCAGGATTCTCAAGGTTCCCAAGATTTCTCAGATTTTCCAGATTCTCAAGATTTTCCTAGATTCTCAAGCTTCCCAAGATTCTCAAGATTCTAAAGATACTCAAGATTCTCAAGATTCTCAAGATACCCAAGATACTCAAGATACTCAAGATTCTCAAGATTCCCAAGAATCTCAAGATTCTCAAGAATCTCAAGATTCTCAAGATTCTCTAAGATTCTCAAGATTCTCAAGATTTCTCAGATTTTCCAGATTCTCAAGATACACAAGATTCCCAAGATTCTCAAAATTCTCAAGATTCTCTAAGATTCTCAAGATTTCTCAGATTTTCCAGATTCTGAAGATTTTTCAAAATTCTCAAGATTCTCAAGAATCTCAAGATTCCCAAGAATCTCAAAATTCCCAAGAATCTCAAGATTCTGAAGGTTTCTCAAGATTCTCAAGATTTTCCAGGTTTTAAAGATACACAAGATTGTCAAGATTCCCAAGATTCTAAAAATTCTCAAGAATCTCAAGAATCTTAAGATTCTCAAGATTTCTCAAGATTCTCAAGATACTCAAGATTCCCAAGATTCTCAAGGTTCTCAAGATTCCCGAAATACTCAAGATTTGTCAAAATTCTCAAGATTCTCAAGAATCTCAAGGTTCTCAAGATTCTAAAAATATTCAAGGTTCTCAAGATTTTCCAGATTCTCAAGATACACAAGATTCCCAAGATTCTAAAAATTCTCAAGATTCTCTAAGATTCTCAAGATTCTCAAGATTTCTCAGATTTTCCAGATTCTCAAGATTTTTTAAAATTCTCAAGATCTTAAGATTCCCAAGAATCTCAAAATTCCCAAGAATCTCAAGATTCTGAAGGTTTCTCAAGATTCTCAAGATTTTCCAGGTTTTAAAGTTACACAAGATTTTCAAGATTCCCAAGATTCTAAAAATTCTCAAGATTCTCTAAGATTCCCCAGATTCTCAAGATTCTCAAGATTCCCAAGATTCTCAAGGTTCTCAAGATTCCCGAAATACTCAAGATTCTCTAAGATTTTCAAGATTCTCAAGAATGATTCTTTAAGATTTTCAAGATTCTCAAGATACCTACTCAAGATTCCCAAGAGAAGAAGCCCAGAGAATGATCAACTTTTTGCGACTAATGGTACATACATCAATAATGATCCACACGTACGGAACCACTCTAATTTCACCGGGGACCTTGATCTCCGCTGCCATTTCGTAACCCGTAACGTTATTACGCGATTTGTGCCGTACAAAGTTCAGGACCATTTGCAGACTTGTTACACCAACGCAGAGCAGTGACAGATGCCTTCTGTATTTCGGAGATCGCTTCGCCTCTTAGGGCAGAGACTTGCTGCTGCACGAGCTGAGTTCGCACGGATGTTGGGTACTTGGGGCTCATCACAATCCCCTTGGGACAGCCCGCTACTGCTTATGCCCAAGAAGGATGGTTCTCGGAGACCATGCCGTGACTATTGACAGCTGAACTCATCAACAATCCCTGATGCGTATCCAGTGCCGCACATTCAAGATATTTCCAATATTCAAGAAATTCAAAAAACTGCCATGACCTCTCCTCGAGTTTCCGGAGATGACGTTCGAGCTACGGTACGCAGCACAAGCGTCTAATTAACCAAGTGCTCTAAGATCTACCATTTACATTCGATCGCTTGAGCACTAATTGACTGAACCACAGATCTACACATACACAGATTGCTAACCTTATGCATTTTTTGGGAAACAAATTTAGGTATACTTAAAAGCGCCCTCTATTGCGGAGCAGTAGAAACATGTACCGTTTAAAACTAATATGACGCTTATGGATTTATGCATTAGATGTCGCTGCAAAAAATTTAAAGCGGTAAAATGTGCATATAATCCAGTTTAATTGTATTTTTACCAGGAAAGTTGTGGGGTAGTTTTGATTTCTTTGATTCTATATGTTTTTTGGGGTGCCGAATCCGAATCCGAGGTTTGCTAACAACATTTCATGACGCAACATTGAAAAAAATACAAAAAAGTTGAAAAGGATATTTTTTAGCAGTTTTGTGCTTACAACTGGAAAACTATCAACTTTTCGAAAATAACCTCCCTATCTTATATCTTATCGACGTGGTAAAGAGTGTAACGTTAATGATGGCAGAGATATACATAGTTTGTAAGTATGCCTTTCCGGTTAGCAATCTGTCAAGACCTTTAAAGCCGCAAATAGTTTCCGCCAACTTCAAAAAACCTTCACGATTCTTTAAGAACCTGCCCTATGTTCGTGTGTATCTGTGACCACAGGGACCCGCTTTTAATAACTCCCTTACGACGAATGAGTAGCTCCAGTGTTAAATTAAACAATTATGGCTCAACGTACCTCCTATCATATCATACCACTGTAATAATACGAATATTAAGGAATTCGAATTGTGCAAACTTTAATGTTGTTTCAGCGACATCTAACGCATAAATCCATAAGCGTCATATTACAGTTTTAAACGATACATGTTTATACTGCTCCGCAATAGAGGGCGCTTTTAAGTATACCTAAATTTGTTTCCCAAAAAATGCATAAGGTTAGCAATCTGTGTATGTGTAGATCTGTGACTGAACTATGAGATACTAATTTATTCACTTGAACCCAACACTTAAATTTGGCGGTTCAGATTATCTAAAATCCAAGGGGCAAGAATGTAATCTAAATAGCTCCTTTATGCGTGTACTTGAGAATAGTATAAAAGCGAAACACGTCATATCGTGCTCACCTTGCGACATGATCAAGATTCTACTGATTGCAGCGCTCGCCGCTTTAGCCATTGGTAAGTTAAAACTTCTCTTACCAAAATAATCGACTTGAAAATCAGAGGCAAGCCCGAGGCTCCGTGCCGGAGTTCCCCAATTGGATGGAAGAATTGTGGGCGGAGACGATGCGGACATTGAAGACTATCCGCACCAGGTTTCGCTTCAAGTTTTAGACATTCACAACTGCGGAGGCTCGATCATCGCTCCCAACCTAATTTTGACCGCTGCTCATTGTACGGCCGAGTAAGTTCAATTAAACGCGCCATTTACCTACAGATAACATGCGAAACGTTTCAGTTACGAGACTAGCTACCTAAGCGTCCGTTGTGGCAGCAGCATCATGGAAGAGGGCGGTCAGGTGCTTACCGTTGCTCAAAAATACGACCATCCCAGTTACGATCCCACCCGCACCGACTATGATCTTTCAGTTTTAATGTTGTTCGGGAAGATTACGCTCTCGTCCAAAGCTAAGATCATCGATTTGGTTCCCGCGCACGTTCAGGAAGGAGGTCGAAGCGCTTTCGTAACCGGATGGGGTGCTCTGTATAGCGATGGCCCATCACCGCAACAACTCCAGGTTGCCAAAGTCTTCGAGGAGAACAGAGATGCCTGCAATAAGGCATTCCGCGGCAAAATCACTGACAGAATGATTTGCTTCAAGGCTCCCGGTAGAGATTCGTGTCAGGGCGATTCTGGTGGACCACTGGTATCCGACGGTCATCAAGTTGGTATAGTTTCGTGGGGATACGGATGTGCCGATGCCAGATATCCGGGTGTATATTCTCATCTGAATAATGTCGTTCTTAGAAAGTATGTTCTGGAACATATCAAGATGCATGCTACAATGTAAGAGAAGATTGTTTTATACGGTTCTATATTTGTGAATGTTTGAGTAATAAAATAATGCAGTCAAGAGAGAGTATAATCCAAACTAAGGCGAGTTCCCTCTCAATATTAAATATATCAGCTGGATCGATAAACAAATGATGGTAGTTTAGCTGGCCATTCCATGGATAGTATGATGAATTGCAAAACTTCACCTATAGTCCGTCGCACCTTGAATTTACAGTATAAGCTCTTGTGGTGAACAATAATGCCAAATTTCCCAGAGCACGAAATCTTTATTTATTGCTCTGAGCCAAATTTCATTAGAATATGATTTTTGCTAATAATTGAAGTCGATGCTTTTGACGTTTTTTATGTACATGCAATTTATCACTTTACGATGTCTCAATATCGTACATGTATTTTAATGTGTCTTTGCACTATAGGTAACAATTAGAAATGTATATCTGGCAACCGCGTAGAGGTTAGGTTAGTATTTTTCACCAGTAACGTAAATAGTACAGTGCTTTTCACTTGCATTTATGATGCATGGTGTGTTTTGTTTTTAGTGCACTTTCACTTAAAAAAAATAAAAAGTGCAGTTTTGCGCTCTTGATGTCTGTCTGTCTGAGTCACAAAGGCTCCGGAACTGCATACAGACTTGGTACTTATTGGTGTCATTCGATCAGAAATTAATAATTATATCATGTTTGTACTCTTGTTTTGGCATGAAATGTCCATAAGGGCTATTAAAATCAAAAAAATTTGAAAGTGCACTCTTCGCCTCTTGCTCACAAGCGGCTTAACGAATGTTTATGAATTTCATTCGATTACTTGATTTTTATCGCACAATTTGAGATGTTTTATTTGGGTGGGCTATGCCTGGGATTTTTTGTCCCGAAGAAGGTTTCCCTGGTATCCCCCTTTTTGTGATTAAACTCACTGAAAATGTCAAATTTTCACGGTTAACTATAAGATCTTGCTGAACCAACATGGCTATGATGGTGGTGCGTTAAAATATTTTTTTTGTTCTAGCGTGTTATGGAAATTCTGATAAAAAAAAGTAGGTCCCCATAAAGGCTGCTAACGGGAACCATTCATTTCCGACCGATTAAGCTAGAGAAAATAAAAACGAAATTTCACGTTGAGATGTCTGCTTTCAACATCTCAAATGACAAATACCGTTGGCGTATATAGAGACACCGCTGGAAATATATTTGCACCCAGTTCACCCAACACCTCGAAACAGCGCAGTTATACTGTCCAACAATTTAATAATTTCGATGTGTGCAACTTTTAAATGATAAGCTTGTTATATGAATCTCTGATTGTTTAAATTAATTTAGATTGATTAGCTACTTCAATTCTCTGTGTATCTGCTTTTTTTTAGTGTGAGAGGTTCCACCCTGTATACACAGCTTACTGCGAATAATACATTTTTGAGAGTTGGCAACCATGCAATTTCTAGGTGGGTATAAAATAAATAAAATAAAGGGACTTTAGGTGGGAAAAAGCTACCGCGCCATCTAAAAAGCACGAACGGGGGTTACGTTTGGCATCTTGTCTTGAATGGCGGTCGTGAACGCGTCGCTCCATAAATGTTTGTTGTTATTTAATGCAGGGAGTAATTTTTGCATTTCTTTATATCGTATTTGTGTTTTATATGCAACATTTTATACTTTTTGTATGTTTGAATCTTTGATTTAGCAATTTACTTGGTTTAACCGCAATGCATAATCACATATGTGATACCGTTATGCTATTGTTTGTAATTGTTTAAGTTTTTGGTGTAATGCTTGCTTAATTTATGTTTATTGATGTTGATTACTTGGTCTTGTCCCTGAAGTAACAGTCATATAAGTTTTGATCATTTTATTTTAATATGTGGAAATTACCGATTCGTTTGATGTATGTACTGACTTGTTGTTTGTTACTAACAATTTTCTCCGCGAATGAAGCAGTCACGGGGGTGGTAAAAACTGTAGTCAAAATTGAGCTACTCGTAATTATTATGATTGTAAAAGCTCGGAAATTTAAGTCGAAATAAATTACATTGCAAAAATAAACTTTGAAACACCGAATAAAAATAGAAATAGGCAGGGAAAAAAAGAACTTACTGTAGTGTACTTAACCCCCAGGTTCTACGCTAACTTCACACTACAAGAACACGGAAATAAAATAAACCCGGCAACACGTTTTAAAAAAATGGCCACCCGAATGACTATTCCCTCTAAAACTAAACAAGTACCCGCTTAAATTTGAAAAGTGGCACGTGATAAAACATCTAAGGCAGGGCCTCCTTACGTTAGTTGTAGACAACGCTTTGACCTGAAGCACAGTAGGGAAGGAATTTTAAATAAAACACTGAAATTGTGAGAAGTTTGTTTAATAATGATCGTAATTATTATGATTGTGAAAACCCGGAAATTTAGTTGATGTACATTAATATAAACAAAACAAACAAAGCCAAAAGGTGTCGTACTCTCGCAAAAGTCACTGCCAAGGATAAAAAGAGTACGACGTAAGAAAAACCTTGCAGTTTGATTAAAACAGTCCAAAAGTTAATTAACAAAATATTTTGTAAAAGTTTAAGCAGTAGTTAACAAAGATAGTAAATGCATATACACAAGGATGGTTACACTCAAGGTTAAAAGCAAGTTTTTGGGGACAATGGGTCAGGTAGAAGCAGGTACCAAGATTCTGAGAAAGGGTTAAAAGTACAGGATGTGACTCATCTTTGGTGCAATAAAGTCCTTTTGTTGAAAGCAAGATGGAAAACTACATGGCCTTGTAGGCAAATTTGACTAAAAACAAAATATGTGGAAATTATTGAATCGCCACTCATTTATCACACATAGATTCTAAACTGAAGAGCTTTGATTAGCGTAATCTCGCTCCTGCAAGATGGGTAGTCCGCCCCTGGTTTCGGGGTTTCGAACCTACAGTTGGATGTCGAAGACAGTGCACGGAATTAGGTGCCCTAACACATAAATATAGACTACAGTTTCTTTTTCCACCTTCCCGAGACTGCTTCATTCACGGAGAAAATTGTTAGTAACAAACAACAAGTCAGTACATACATCAAACGAATCAGCAATTTCCACATAAGTATTAAAATAAAATGAAAACTTATATGAATGTAACTTCAAGGACAAGACCAAGTAATCAACATCAATAAACATAAATTAAGCAAACATTACACCAAAAATGTAAACAATTAAAAACAATAGCATAACGGTATCACACATATGATTGCATTGCGGTTAAACAAAGTAAATTTTAAAAACAGAGATTCAAACACACAACAAATATAAAATGCGGCATACAAAACACAAATACGATATAAAGAAATGCAAAAATTACTACCTGCATTAAATAACACAAAATAACAACAAACATTTATGGAGCGAAACGTTCACTAGCTCCATTCAAGACCAGATGCCAAACGTCACTCCCGTTCGTGCTTTCTAGGTGGCGCAGGCAACTTTTTTTTCCACCTAGAAATTGCATGGTTGCCAACTCTCAAAAATGTATGTATGGTCGTAAGCTGTATATACAGGGTGGAACCTTTCATTACCAATAAAAAAACCAGCCGTCAAATTAATATCAAATTGTGTTGTAAAATTAATTGTATGTAATGATGTGAATGCGTAACATCAAATTATAACCTCACAAAAAAGCAGCAGGTAAACTTCAAGAGGTAACATATAGGTTAAAAACAAGTTTTGGGAATTATGGGTCGGGTTAAGCAGGTACCAAGATTCTAAGAAAGGGTGAAATACACAGGATGTGACTCATCTTTGGTGCAATAAAGTCCTTTTGTTAAAAGCAAGATGGAAAATTACATGGCGTAGGAAAATTTAACTAAAAGCAAGATATGGGGAAATTATTGAATCGCCACTCATTTATCGCACATAGATTCTAAACTGAAGAGCTTTGATTAGCGTAATCTCGCCTCCGCAAGATAGGTAGCGTCGCCCCTCGTTCGGGGTTTCGAGCCTAAAGTTGAATGTCGAAGACAATCACGGAATTAGGTGTCGTAGCTCAATTTTGACTACAGTTTTTACCACCCCCGTATTAAAATAAAATGATTAAGACTTATATGAATGTTACTTCATAGACAAGACCAAGTAATCAACATCAATAAACATTAATTAAGCAAGCATCACACCAAAAACGTAAACAATTACAAACAATAGCATAACGGTATCACATATGTGATTATGCATTGCGGTTAAATCAAATAAATTTCAAAATCAAAGATTGAAATACGCAAAAAATATAAAGTGCGGCATACAAAACACAAATACGATATAAAGAAACGCAAAAATTACTACCTGCATTAAATAACACAACAACAAACATTTATGGAGCGACGCGTTCACGACCGCCATTTAAGACAAGATGATCTACGTAATCCCCGTTCGTGCTTTTTAGATGGCGCAAGCAGCTTTTCTCCTCCTAAAAATTGCGTGATTGCCAACTCTCAAAATTGTGTGCATCGTCGTAAGTTGTATATACAGGGTGGAACCTCTCAGTTGTCTCAGTCTTAATGTCAAACAACACTGTTGAGGAAGCCTATAATATTTTATGTGATTCTCTTTTGATCGGGTTACCGTCATGTACTCATGGTGGAGAGCCTGGCGATCGGTCTTTTATGACCCGCCACTTTATAACTAGCGGGTTAGACTGAACCTAGAGATGAGTGAATGATAGAGTAGGGATCTCGCTTAGTCGTAAATGAGGGCGCTAGTCACTTGCGCGCAGAGATCTGCTAAAAGCGTACGGCAACTTCAAGTCACACCGGATTATTTGACCATATTCTGTAGTAGCGGGAATGCCAAACTAACATGGCTGCCTATTTGAATATTCTCGCTTAAGTTTCCCGCGTGAATCTGTCACTCGGGGGCCACTCCGAGTACATTAAGATCGTGATCGTCATGTAGGACACCTACGTTGTGTAATAAACTGGGTTCTCAGCAGGCACTGAGATCGTTTTATGGGTAAGGAAGACCAAAAGCAATAGCTGATTAAGATTATATTGCAGCTAATACCAACACCAATACGGTGCCCCTGCAGAGGGTCTTAAGTGGTTCTATACTACTCCGGCATTTACCTTACGAATTAGCAAAACTGCAGGATTCGGAGTAGTCCTATAATGAACAAAGCCTACAGCTAACATCTAATGTACCTACAGCACTTTTGAGCCCTCTCATCGAAACCGGGGTAAATACTACATACACGCCATGAGTAACCAAAATGGAATCGAGCCATTCCCTAGGTATTACAACACATACATCAGACAAAACTAAGAGATATTAAATATACCTCGCCGGGCGGGAGGATTACCCAGGCCCAGTGGGTTGCCTGTAGACGTGGGCTAAAGAGTTGTTGGGTTTCGGAACGAGTGAAAATGTTAGTTAGGTTCACCAAGGGCCGTATAAACTTGAATAACTCGATCCCCTTTAAACAAGCACACTTCACTCGCTTACTCACAGCCCCAAATACGCAAATATAATGAAATGCAAGGTAATAATCGAGAGTGACTAAAAAGCACTATACACAAATATGTACATATGCAAGTATGTACAGCATAGATACAGCCCTACCGACAATGAAACATGATTGCCAATACCAACAAAGGTTACACATTAAGAGGTACAAGTGATTGAATCCAGTAAGTACATAAGTTATACACATTTATAGATTAATTGAATAAAGCAGATACCTCATCTGATATAAAAAGCAAAAGCACCGCAATGATTAAGGTATAACAAAATATTTCAAGACAAGCTGTACTTTACACTTCAGCCGGTTACAAAAAAACACCATGAACACACATGTTAAATCGTATTTATTGACTAGCCCAAGCGACTCTGTAACTTGATCTCTTAACACCCCTAAAAACCACCCGAAAATCGCCCTGCATTTCTAGAAAAAAACTGGACTGCAGGTGTTTGAAATGGTAAACACATGTGGTCTTCCGAGAAATTCCATCCGTCTCATCTTCGCTCTCTTTCCCTTTTCTGTAATCCTACCAGATTTCGGTTGGCAGCTTGTGTAACTAACATGATGTATAGGGTGCTTCGTATCGACAATCATATTCACAGGACGTTGCTAAGGTTGGGGCATCTCAATGTGCGTTTTTTTGTTAGGTGTGTCAATTTTTTAGGAATTCCAGTGGAGTCTATGATTCGACATTATACTTTTACTTGACAACCATCATAACATGCATTCATGCCATTACAAAAACTAATTAATTTGTTGGCTGGTTTTCTTCCTGGTCAGTTCCTTTTTTCCCTGCCTATTTTTATGTTTGTTATCTTAGATACTTAATAACCAAGAGGAGGGGGTAGCGAGTTTAAAATTAAAAAAGTGGGTCTAAGTCTAGGTTAGAAGGCCTCTGAAAAGAGAAATGGTCAATCTCTCATTTTCTGCTTATAAAAAAATATTAACGCTTTTAATAGGAAACATAATTACAATAACAAAAATTTAATTACAGTATAACTTAATGGTACCGTCCGCGCCGGCACTAAATACCCACGGCTGCAACGGATGAAAACGCACGTCAAAAACTCCAAAATCATTACAGCCCTTATGCTCCGCGAACCTCTTCAACGGAACAATTAGCGGATTCTGCATCAAATCACTGCAACAAACGCAATTTAAACCGAGAGTCTCTACGCGAACGGTACTTACTTGTAAACCATCCCATGCGATACAATTACACTTTTATCATCGGAACAAGAAGCGAACAAGGGATAACGTTTATGATAACTAACCGCCCTGACAGCTGTGCCGTGCAGTCTTAGCGTTTGATACGGTTTCGTGCTTAAATCCAAATCGAACCATAGCACCTTCCGATCGTAAGTCGCCACCAACAAGTTATCGCCCCCAGGATGTATATCCATGGTGGCGATCCACTGCGAGCTGCTCATCAACTTTTTAACTAGCGCCTGCCCAATCAGATCGTAGATCCGAATGTGCCTCTGAGTGGCGACGAACAAGTACGGTTTCGACGGATGAAAAATAACCGACTGCACCAGACCTTTCGGTTTCGTGAACGGCAGCTGAGATTTGCGTTTCGAGACTTGCCCGATCAAGACGGACCGATTCTGGCCGTCGGGCATTATAACCGCGAAATAGTCGCCCTTTCCGTGCCACGTGACCTGAGTCACCTCCTTGAAATGCGTGAGAACGGCCCGAAAGCCTCTGCCGTACTCCGCTTCGGAGGGCGCCGCCCACTGGACGGTCGTGCGGACGCGCTCGTTTATAATTGTGTCGGATTTGGGCGACTCTTTCAGTACAGTGTCGGTTTTGGCGCTAATTAGAAAATCACCCACGTCCGGGTTGAGTAAGATGACCTTGTTGCCGGAGGCGACCAAAATGAGGGAGAGGGCTTGATTCGGACACCAACGGACACAGCGGACCACCGACTCTGTGTTTATCGTTTTTAGGCAACGGCCCGTATTTATCTCCCAGATTTTCACGGTACCGTCATCGGAGCCGCTCACTAAATACTGTCCGGTTTTATCCGTGTCGATAGTGCGAACCATGTCGGTGTGTCCCTCGTAGGTGATGGCCAGGTACGTGGGGAAAGGCTGTAGATTCTTGGGACTGGGTAACTTCGGAACTAGAGCTTCAGGTCCGATCGTCAGCTTCAACTTGATACCGCGAGGGCACATGTACAAATCGAGACAGCGTAGGAATCGCTCCTTCACGTATCGCGCGTACGCGGGCACCTCGCGAAGAGATCCGTGCTTTGCGGGAACGAAATGCAGCTTGCGCTTCCACGGCGTCTCCTCCTGCTTATGCCACCTCTGTAACTCGCGCTCGTCGAACAGATACTCGCTCGGCGGATTGTAGGACTCGGCGTGACCCGGCAGGAAACGTTTCGGAGCGGGAATGTGATCGTGGATACGTCGCATTTTCTCCGCCTCGCTGTCCGTCTGCCACAACATGTAGAACTGATCCTTCTTTTTCGCCTTCAATCGCTTATACTGGGCGTTCGTCTTTATCCAGCCCATCTTGAGCGCGTGCACCATACGCGACACGCGCTTCGCCTCGATTTTGCTGGGCAAAAATGAACGCTTGTGCTCGGGAAACTTTCTTAGCGGCGTCTTCATAACTTCGCTTGTAAACCACTCAACCCAAGGCTAAATGGAAAGTAACATACTGTATATATTAAAATTTAGTTAGGTAGAGAACGTTTAGTGTGATCGTTGCGCATATGTACAGAGAGACGAGAGCTGTAGAAAGAGTGCGAGATTAAAAACCAAATCATAAAAATTTAAAAAAAAAACATTTTTAAAAAATGATGAAAATTCAAAAAAAATATTTTGAAATTTTGTATTTTGCTAAGCATTAAGGTAAACAAAACCGTGAGACCTAACCTCATTTTTTAAAGGAACACGCTTTATACTTTAATTAGCATATAACATTCTCTTTCACTATCAAAATTAAAAAAAAAATCAATATCAACACCCTGTATATTTTAATCTAAAAAGATAGAATGTTAAATTCTCTTTTCAACAATATAACACAAACCAAATTCAAAAAAATCGACATTGATTCCAAATGAACTTAAAAAAATTAATATAAAAATTCAAAAATGTTACTTTGAAATTTTGCATTTTTTAATCATTCAGGTAAAAAAACTACCAAACCTAACCTCATTTTTTAAAAGACCACTTTATATTATAATCTACAAAATTGCATATTACATTCTCTTTTGAAAAATATAACACTATCAAAATTTAAAAAAATCAATATCAACACCCTGTATATTTTAATCTAGAAAGATAGAATGTTAAATTCTCTTTTCAACAAAATAACACAAACAAAATTAAAAAAAGTCGACATTGATTCCAAATGGATTTAAAAAAAATTAATATAAAAATTCATAAGTTTTATTTTGAAATGTATATTTTAATCATTCAGGTAAAAAAACTATCAAACCTAAACTTATTTTTTAAAAGAACACTTTATATTTTAATCTAAAAAATAGCATATTACATTCTCTTTTGAAAAATATCACTATCAAAATTTTAAAAATCGTTATCAACACCCTGTATATTTTAATCTAAAAAGATAGAAAGTTAAATCCTCTTTTCAACAATATAACACAAACAAAATTCAAAAAAGTCGACATTGATTCCAAATGGATTAAAATAAAAATAATATAAAAATTTAAAAATTTTATTTTGAAATTTTGTTTTTTTTAATCATTCAGGTAAAAAAAACTATCAAACCTAACCTCATTTTTTAAAAGAACACTATATTTTAATCTAAAAAATAGCATATTACATTCTCTTTTGAAAAATATAACACTATCAAAATTTAAAAAATCAATATCAACACCCTGTATATTTTAATCTAAAAAGATAGAATGTTAAATTCTCTTTTCAACAATATAACACGAATAAAATTCAAAAAAGTAGACATTGATTCCAAATGGATTAAAAAAAAATTAATATAAAATTCAAAAATTTTATTTTGAAATTTTGTATTTTGTTAAGCATTGAGGTAAAAAAACTATCAAACCTAACCTCATTTTTTAAAAGAACACTCTTTATATTTTAATCTAAAAAATAGCATATTATACATTCTCTTTTGAAAAATATAACACTACCAAAATTTAAAAAATCAATATCAACACCCTGTATATTTTAATGTAAAAAGATAGAATGTTAAATTCTCTTTTCAACACAAACAAAATTAAAAAAAGTCGACATTAATTAAAAATGGATAAAAAAAAATTAATATAAAAATTCAAAAATGTTATTTTGAAATTTTGTATTTTTTAACCATTCAGGTAAAAAAACTATCAAACATAACCTCATTTTTTAAAAGAACACTATATTTTAAACTAAAAAATAGCATATTCTCTTTTGAAAAATATGACACTATCAAAATTTAAAAAAATCAATTTCAACACCCTGTATATTTTAATGTAAAAAGATAGAATGTTAAATTTACTTTTCAACAATATAACACTAACAAAATTCAAAAAAGTCGGCATTGATTTCAAATAGATTTAAAAAAAATTAATATAAAAATTCAAAAATTTTATTTTGAAATTTTGTATTTTTTAATCATACAGGTAAAAAACTATCAAACCTAACCTCATTTTTAAAAGAACACCCTTTATATTTTAATCTAAAAAGATAAAATGTTAAATTCTCTTTTCAACAACATAACACTAACAAAATTCGAAAAAGTCGACATTGATTGAAAATGATTTTAAAAGAATTATAAAAATTCAAAAACATTTCTGAAATTCTTTTGTATTTTTCAGGGTAAAAAACTATCAAACCTAACCTCATTTTACAAATAGGACATCCTGTATATTTTAATCTAAAAAGATAGCGTATTTAATTCTCTTTTGAAAAATATAACAATAACAAAATTTTAAAAAATTAAATAAGTATTGATTCAAAAAGATTAAAAAAAAGGATTTTAAAAGAATTATAAAAATTCAAAAACATTTTTGAAATTCTTTTGTATCTAACCTCATTTTACAAATTGAACATCCTGTATATTTTGACCTAAAAAGATTGCGTATTAAATTCTCTTTTGAAAAATATAACAATAACAAAATTTAAAAAAAAATGAATAAGTATTGATTCAAAAAGATTAAAAAAAAGATTTTAAAAGAATTATAAAAATTCAAAAACATTTCTGAAATACTTTTGTATCTTTCAGGGTAAAAAACTATCAAACCTAACCTCATTTTAGAAATAGAACATCCTGTATATTTTAATCTGAAAAGATAGCGTATTAAATTCTCTTTTGAAAAATATAATAACAAAATTTTAGTAAAATGAATACGTATTGATTCAAAAAGATAAAAAAAAAGATTTTAAAAGAATTATAGAAATTCAAAAACATTTCTGAAATTCTTTTATATCTTTCAGGGTAAAAAAATCAGACCTAACCTCATTTTACAAATAGAACATCATGTATATTTTAATCTAAAAAGATTTGAAAAATATAACACTAACAACATTAAAAAAGTCATTATTGATTCAAAAGCGTTAGAAAAAATTATAAAATTCAAATTTTTCTTTTATAATTATGTGCCTAGTTTTTTTCATTCAGGTAAAAAAAAACTATCAGACCTATCCTCATTTTTTAAAAGAACGCCCTTTATATTTTAATCTAAAAAATAGCATATATCATTCTCTTTTGAAAAATATAACAATAACATAATTTTAAAAAATGAATAAGTATTGATTCAAAAAGATTAAAAAAAAGAAAGAATTATAATAATTCAAAAACATTTCTGAAATTCTGTTGGATCTTTCAGGGTAAAAAACTATCATACCTAACCTCATTTTACAAATAGAACGTCCCGTATATTTTAATCTAAAAAGGTAGCGTATTAAATTCCCTTTTGAAAAATATAACACTAACAACATTCACAAAAGTCAATATTGATTCAAAAGCTTTAGAGAAAATTACAAAAATTCACAATTTTTTTTAAAATTTTGTACCTAGTTTTTTTCATTCAGGTAAAAAAAACTATCAGACCTAACCTCATTTTTTTTAAATCAAACACCCGGTATATATTAATGTAGGTAAAAGATAGCATAATTCTCCTTTGAAAAATAAACACTAACAAAATTCAGAAATATTCAATATTGATTGAAAAAGATTCAAAATCGATTTTTTTAAATGGTGAAAACATTTTTTAAATTTTGTATTTTTTTAACATTCAGGTAAAAAAACTATCAACTATTAAATGGAATACCCTGTACATTTTAATCTAAAGTTGGGCGCAATAGGAGCACATGACGCCTAATATTACCTTTTTTAATAGCACTAACAAGGTGTCGAAAATGGGACACCCTGTTCATTTGACATTAACAGTCTGATTTCAGTAGTCACTATAAAAATGAGAAAGTTTAACTTTGGAGTTTTTTTGGGACAGACAAGTGCCGAGAAAGTAAAAACTGACAAGATAAAATTAAACACGTTTTAATCTTTTACTTGTCTCACTTGTATATTTATAAGCGAGTTGTGGTGGCGTGGTGCATTGAGGCGAGTCGCTACTGATTTTCGTTTGGGATGTGATTTATTATCATTTAGGATGTTTGCACTTAATCACCTCAACTCTGAAAATATATCTAAATATGATTGTGGAGGACGAATTTAGTTTTTGATGAGACTTTGACTTACAATCTCCAAAGGACCTACACGCCAAATTTCAGCTTTCTATGCCCAGTAGTTACGACTGTGTGTCAGTCAGTGACGGAAGAATTTTATATACAGGGTATTCTTTGACTTATTCTACCATCAAAAGTTCATATATAAACATAGATCCGCAAACGTTTCGTTACCGATCTACAGGGTGTCAGAATTTCAAGATTTTTTAAGTTTTGTCTATACTCCTGCAGTTTTTGAGATATGTATTCTCAAATCTCAAATTTGAAATTTACGCTGAAGGACTTAGATCATTGGTCACTAGATTGGTCATGTCAATGGTAGTGAGAATCTATAGGGTGTTGTTTTTTCGGGGGTCATTGTTCTGTATTCTACCCCTGAATTTTTTTTGGCGCACCACTTGTAGATTGATTATTAAAATAATTACATTGACAATATGAACCAAATAATGATCTGGCTCTCGATCTGACCAAAAAGGGCAGTGCAAATAATTACAAATAAAAAAAAATCAATCACACATCTCAAAAATCTGACATTTTGCTCAATCGTTTTTAAGTATGATGTTCATTCAATTACACGAATTATAAAACATTTGTGCAGAAATTGAAAACTTACGGCGTATTCGGTAAAGTTCTCATCGGGCACACGCTGGGCGTTAATACGTTTGATCAGTTTCACATCCTCATCGGTCAACACGACCTCCTTGCCGGTCTGCGGATCTTTAACCGTCCTCCAAAATTCGGGATCTTCGATGCGCTGCAAGAACGCGTCAAGCTGATCGCGTTGCGCCGGCTTCTCTATTTTCTCGCCGTCCCAATCGTAACCAATGTGCTTGTACTCGTCGTACCACTTCATCGGGACGTTGCCGATGGTGTTGCGTATGTCTTCCTCGTCGGACGTATCGTGCTCGGCGTATTCGTCGACTTTCTGAAGGACAGGCGGCGAGCCATTGGAGAGGACTTTTGGGGTTTCGTCCCCCTCTTCGCTTTGCTCGGAGACATTGTTATCGCTTTCAGACTCGCTATCCACTTCGTCGCTACCGGAGAGGTCGGCCTCACTGTCGGTAAGGTCGCTGCTTTCATCTTCGTCGCTACCGGAGAGGTCGGCCTCACTGTCGGTAAGATCGCTGCTTTCACCTTCATTGTCAAAAAAATCGGAGTCAGAGTGGGACTCCTCAAGGGCCGTTTTTGATGACTGTGGTAGGTTGTGATCAGCCTGCAAGTGAGTCTTAAAAGAGTATTTACTATTAAATTGTAAGGGAATACCTCTACTAATCTTCGTTTTAATTTTTGTGACATACTCGATTTATAGTATTAAGGTGTAGAACTATTTTATCTTCTTATATTTTAAAAGGCAGATACATTACGATTAGAAAGACGAGAACGACACATGGGAATTCTAGGTTATGATGTACAAGTGACATCTACCGTATCTTTAGATACAAACACATATATACAGGATGTGGAAACATTTACACCTGCCATATATTTAAGTTCCATAAGTTAGCAACGAACTTTGCACTAATCGATGCGTACATGTGGGAACAGGGAACGGGAATGCGGGACATACTTATACAACGGGAAATGCAGATGCATGCGGTGGATCGCACGCATATGCCGCTATACGAATAATTCCCGCATCCGTTCCGCTCGCGTTCCCGCATGCCCGCGTCGGTATGAGTGGACTTTAAATATACTTCGATATCGATCAATAAATATTAAACGAGCTTTTCCATAGAGAAAGCAACAGAACAGAAAAACTAGTGTGGACACAATCCATTTCGGTGGCCATTTGTTGCCGTGTGTGAAGTTACGTAGTAGAAGGCTGGTGGTTAATTACAGGCCAATACAGGCACTTGAACTCATCTCCAAGGCGCCATAGCACTTCGTAGCTGTCGGGTGATATTTCAGGATTTGATTAGCTTATTCAGAAAATAATATTGAAAGGTTCCACTCTGCATATACAACTTGCGACGATACATACATTTTTGAGAGTTGGCAACCATGCAATTTCTAGGTGGGAAAAAGCTGCCTGCGCCAACTAAAAATCACGAACGGGGGTTACATTAGGGATCTTGTCTTGAATGGCGGTCGTGAACGCGTCGCTCCATAAATGTTTGTTGTTAGTTTGTGTTATTTAATGCAGGTAGTAATCTTTGCATTTCTTTATATCGTATTTGTGTTGTTTTGTGTGCCACATTTTATATTTTTTGTGTGTTTCAATCTTTGTTTTTGAAATTTACTTGGTTTAACCTTTAACCGCAATGCAGAATCACATATGTGGTACCGTTATGCTATTGTTTGTACTTGTTTACGTTTTTGGTGTAATGCTTGCTTAATTTATGTTTATTGATGTTGATTACTTGGTTTTGTCCCTGAAGTAACATTCATATACGTTTTGGTCATTTTATATATTTTAATCAGGGGTTGGGACCGAAACCGAAAAGAACCGGTACCGGAACCGGAAAAAAATTGCATCTATAAGAGCTCTACATGGAACCGAAACCGATATTTAAGAAGTTATGATAACCGGAACCGATACCGGTACCGTTACTATTAGTGCTAAAGAACCGGTATTTTTATAGGGGAATTCTAGAGTTAGCATATCTTACTTTCTGGAAAGCACACGTCATATCCGCTCTAATTCCTTATCGCCGGTGAGTGATCCTTTATCCACTTAAAGGCCAAAAATAAAATGTTGCCTTATGAACTACGTTAAAAGTAGAATTTGCAACTTGCAAGAAATTTCAAAAGCCAAAACTCCAAATTCTCTCTAATTCAGAGCTGCTCACTAATTTCTACAAACATAGAATATTTTAAAGTGAGCGAAATTGAATCAAAAACAGTAAGAGGGTTGAAGAATGTATGAGGAAAGCAATAGTCGAAACTACTGCTGCGAAAAAAAGGAAAGTAGAAAAAGGCAGGCAGTTGACAGAGGTGAAACGAATGCGTAAGCTAAAATTAAGTTTCAATTAAGCCAAATAAATATATTTATGCAAAAGAATGAAGTACACACTTTAACTTTGTGTATTATTTATTTTCTATAATTAATAATAATTTGTATTTTTTAATAATAATTTTATTTATTTATGTTAGAACTCTTAAAAACCGAAAAAAACTGGAACTGGAACCGGAACCGAAAATTACTCAAGCCACAGAACCGGAACCGGAACCCTTAAAAATAATTCTACCTAAAAAGTGCGGAACCGGAACCTATATCTCATATGGGTTCCAACCCCCGATTTTAATATGTGGAAATTACCGATTCGTTTGATGTATGTACTGACTTGTTTGTTACTAACAATTTTCTCCGTGAATGAAACAGTCACGAGGGTGGTAAAAACTGTAACCAATTGAAGTACGACACCTAATTCGGTGATTGTCTTCTTCAACAATTACACATTACACAATTTGATATTAATTTGACGGCTGGTTTTTTAATTGGTAAGTTCTTTTTTTTTTCAGCTTATTCTATTTTTATTCGGTGAACTACCATTTTCAAAGTTTATTATTGTAATGTACTTTATTTCGACTTAAATTTCCGAGTTTTTACACTCGTAATAATTGCGATCATTATTAAACAAACTTTTCACAATTTCAGTGTTTTATTTTACGTTCCTTCCCTACTGTGCTTCAGGTCAAAGCGTTGTTTACAACTAACGTAAAGGCGGCCTGCCTTAAGCCGGATTTATAGTTCCGTAACCGTAAGAACGGAACCGTAAAATCTTACGTTAACGAAAATAATCCGATTTATAGTTACCGTAGTGGTAAGAGATGAGCTTGCGCATTATTGCAAAACGAATTCTGCCATTGTATGTCATCTGTCAGTAAGAGTAACGTGCATTTCAAATTAATAATAACCAACAAAGTGTCAATAATTATCGTAAATAAACGAAACGAACGTCAGGATAAACTCAACTGTTTGAATTATCCGAGTACTGCCGACGACAAACGCGTTAGCACGATTTACCGCAAGAAATAAGATTTGTGCATTTCCTACGTACCGTAACCGTTCTAACGCAACGTTAAAGCGAATTATAAATGTTCACGCGCAACAAGTAGGGTTTAATTCCAAACGTTACGGTACGGCGTTGCGGGTACGGAACTATAAATTCGGCTTTAGATGTTTGTTCAGGTACCACTTTTCAAATTTGAGCGGCATCTAGTTTAGTTTTGGAGGGAATAGTCATTCGGGTGGCCATTTTTAAACGTTGCCGTGTTGACTTTATTTCCATGTTCTTGTAGTGTGAAGTTGGGCGTTAAGTACATTACAACAGTTTTTCTAATGAACTCAACCTCGATCGAAAGTCAAAGCCAAAGCGTTAAACGCAACGAACGAGCAACGCATGTGCTTCATTGGAGTCGCGTTATAATCTAGATGCGAATAATTTTCGCATGCGTGTCCGGCTGTTTAGTTACAGCTGATTTTTTGATGCGGGCGCGATATGACCGTTACGAGCACAGGTGCACTATGGGAGGAGTACGCTGGTAGCTACGACTTACGTTATCCGTCCTCTTCATGCACGAAAAGAAGACACAAGCCAACAACTTCAACATAAACAAGTTTGAAATAATTGTTTTGTTTTTACTGTCAACAGTTGATCAAATTTAAATTTTCTCCCAATTTACCTTAATTTGCTCTTGGAATGATTGCGAATTTTCACCTCGATTTCGGCCAGTGGCGACGCACGATTGACTAATTGCCGCTTTTACAATCACGTGTTGCGAGCCGCACGTAGGTTTGAAAATTAATAAAATGTTCGTAGGTGTTTGTTTCGATCTTTTGTATGTGTTGCAATTTGTGTATTGCAATTAGTTATATGTAAATTAGTTCGTGTTCTAAATTTGCAGTCTGTCATTAGAAGAGCGGTTTATAGTGCTTGTGCTCAAATGATGTTCGAGTTTTTGTTAAAAAAATAAGATGCAGGTATGTACTTGAGTAGTATAAGTACCTAAGTGTTGTTTATTTACTGTAGAGTGAATTGAAGTGAAGGTACAAAAGTGCCATGTTTATTGTAGGTAATTTGACAGTGGGGACATTAGGAGTCCTTGGAATATCAGCACTAGAATGTCATAGGCTCGAATGCACATGTCGTAATGGTTCACTTTTTGACAATTATACTGTACCATGACAGTACCTACAAGCTAATGTGTGCTTTTGTTTGTCCCCAATGGACATATCGTCGCTGGTTTAAATCCCGTAAAGTGTGTGTTATCTTATCGGGCATCTTGTCATGTGTTCTTCCTCATGATTGGTTCACCATACTTCCTCTATGGGTCCTGCTAAGAAAGAGGTAGCTCATCGCTATATTGGTTGTGTCGAAACTGGGCAGGTGACAGTTGCTACTGTAAGTACCTACCAGTCTACTATGTGCGGAACAACATTTCCATTTTACATTGAATTCGTGCATGCTCAAAGATTACTCAAATTCATAGTCTTTCCCATTTCTCAAAAAAGATATACTTATAAATTTTTTTTTAAAAATATTCACTATTTCAAAAAAAATACATATAGGTACAGAATTATTTGTCATCTACATTCTAGGGATTTACATTGGCAAGTGGTCCGTAAATACGGACCTGACTTTGTAAACATGCGTTTGAAAAATCAAGGAGCGTGATTGGTTCAGATTACAGGAAAGATTTTGTTTATTTTGCAGTGGTCCTTATCTAAGTTGCTGTGGGAATTGGCGGGTAAGCGGGAAATTACTCCACGTTATCAATTTATGGCTGTCGAGCGATCTGATTGGATGGGTAAAATTAGTTTATTGGCGGAAAAGGTTTGCGTCACGGGATGGGTGACAATCAAAAAATTATAGTGGTGGGAATCGTCAGACAATGCGCGCTGAGCCGCGAGCACAGTCCTGTGGGGGGGATCAAACCATTTCAATTTCAAACCGACTCTAATGCATAATCTGCCATTTTTAAAATAAGTATACAGGGTCAGGTAGTTGTCGAAGCTAAATTAAAAATGATACTTTTAAAAATCAGTGGCGAGTGAGCCGAAGGCGAGTTTGGCACACACCTAGGCAAAGTAAATGTCTGATGGGGTAAGTCAGATCTTTACTCTGCCTAGGTTTGTGCCGAACTCGCCTTTGGCTTAAAGCTATCACTTTTGCATTCCCTCGGCTCGGGCGACATTAAAAATGATATTTTTAAAATCAGTGGCGAGTGAGCCGAAGGCGAATTCGGCACAAACCTAGGCAGAGTAAAGGTCTGATGGGGTAAGTCAGATCTTTACTCTGCCTAGGTTTGTGCCGAACTCGCCTTTGGCTTAAAGCTATCACTTTTGCATTCCCTCGGCTCGGGCGACATTAAAAATGATATTTTTAAAATCAGTGGCGAGTGAGCCGAAGGCGAATTCGGCACAAACCTAGGCAGAGTAAAGGTCTGATGGGGTAAGTCAGATCTTTACTCTGCCTAGGTTTGTGCCGAACTCGCCTTTGGCTTAAAGCTATCACTTTTGCATTCCCTCGGCTCGGGCGACATTAAAAATGATATTTTTAAAATCAGTGGCGAGTGAGCCGAAGGCGAATTCGGCACAAACCTAGGCAGAGTAAAGGTCTGATGGGGTAAGTCAGATCTTTACTCTGCCTAGGTTTGTGCCGAACTCGCCTTTGGCTTAAAGCTATCACTTTTGCATTCCCTCGGCTCGGGCGACATTAAAAATGATATTTTTAAAATCAGTGGCGAGTGAGCCGAAGGCGAATTCGGCACAAACCTAGGCAGAGTAAAGGTCTGATGGGGTAAGTCAGATCTTTTCTCTGCCTAGGTTTGTGCCGAACTCGCCTGTGGCTTAAAGCTCTCACTTTTGCATTCCCTCGGCTCGTGCGACATTAAAAATGATGCTTTTAAAAATCAGTGGCGAGTGAGCCGAAGGCGAATTCGGCACACACCTGGCAAAGTAAAGGTCTGATGGGGTAAGTCAGATCTTTACTCTGCCGAGGTTTGTGCCGAACTCGCCTTTGGCTTAAAGCTCTCACTTTTGCATCCCCTCGGCTCGTTCGACGTTAAAAATGATACTTTTCAAATCAGTGGCGAGTGAGCCGAAGGCGAGTTTGGCACACACCTAGGCAAAGTAAAGGTCTGATGGGGTAAGTCAGATCTTTACTCTGCCTAGGTTTGTGCCGAACTCGCCCTTGGCTTAAAGCTATCACTTTTGCATTCCCTCGGCTCCTTCGACATCAAAATGATACTTTTAAGAGTCGAGTGAAGAGTATCAGAGTAAACACTCTGTATATAAACTGTGTATGATGAATTCTACATACAAAAGTGCTCAGAAAGATTTTGCTAAAATCAATTGTCTTTAATAATAAGAAATCGACTAGATTCGGGGAGGGTAAGTTTTTAAGAAGTCGCCGAAGTCTTTCCTCCGACGCTCTTTCTTCCCCCCCCCTCTCCTACGTCGCAAGCAGTATCCTTCCCACCCCCAACCCCTCCCTCCACTTTTTAAATTTTTGGCGCTTATTCGGAAACGTCGTTGGTCCCCTATATCGATCGGCCGCGTTCTAAAATCGAAGGTGAATGTCAACGCGCGAGGCGAGGCGGCGCAGCAGCCGAAGCCGAGCGATGTGTGGTATCTACATAAGTAGTTCTGGTTCAATAGACGTTCAGGAACAAATCCCTCCAGGGCGCAGGTCTTGAACGTGTGCCAGACGGCCATCAAATCTAAAAGCCCCCCCCCCCCCATAAAAGCCCCCCCCCCCCCAACGAATTATTCCCTGAGATTACATACGAGAGGAGGAGGTTAAAAATTAATTTTATCTCTCATTGTATTCTAATTAAAGGTCTCAACGAAAGGAACAGTTTTCTACAAACTACTGCCCTTCTTTTTGTCCTCTTATTAAAGTACGGTGTGGAGGGGGAAGGGGGGGGGGGGGGGGAACTAGTTTTATCCTTCATGGTACTCTAATGAAAGGTCTCAACGAAAGGAATTCATTTATACTAACCATAGTCTTCCTCCTCAATTCCTTGTCGTGATCGGGTATAATTCCTTATATCTTAAGAGTGAATTGTCAAAGGAAAGTAGGTACCTACAAAGGGCGATTGAGACGTCTGCAAGAAATATATCCATTGGTGATGTCAAAACAAAAGCTATTACGGTTTAAAAAAATGCGCCTTATCTGCACAATGTATACTAGTTTTATCTTATGATCCGACGGATTACTTAATTTCTCTGAATTCTTGCAAATTTTCAGAATTTTTGCCATTTTATGATTCTTGGGATTCCTCCGATTCTTTGAATTATTTCGATTTTCTCATAAAGTTCATCGGATTCGTACGATCTGTCAGATTCCCACGCTACACTAAGTAATCCTTCGCGGCCGACAAACTAAATGCTATCAACGACTACCCAAAATTACCAACTATGCGGTAACTACTTAGCAGCGATCTACTACGCAAAAACTTAAACAGTAATTACTCCGTTCTTGCAAAATATGTACAATTGTTGCTTCTTGGTATAATCATTCAAATGTTGTTACTTCCCAGTTCTGAGGGCCGATTGAAAGGAGCCTGAAAAATATTGCCCCACGTTGGGCGCCAAATAAAAATTGCAATGTGCAATGCCAAACGGTCACCCACACGCACTTGTCCAGCTAGCTCAATTAAACTCAAATACTGACAACATTAACATGAACAATTTTGATTATAAAATTTAAAATTTAAATTAAGTTAAATAATCCTTATTATCCGGTCATAATTGCGCTTTTAAACCAACGCACTAACACATAAACCAAACACCAAGCTGATACTTCTCGACGTAACATTAAACTCTGGGCTCTTTGATGGTGGAAAAACTCCCTTTCTTCTATACAACTTTACAATTAAACAAGACTGACCTGTCTCTTCAAGAAGCCTCGATAATGGCAAAACTGACTGTTTTGTTCAAATACTCAAATAATCTGCACCCGTGTTAAAAACTTCGACGATAACACGTCCTTATCTTGAAATTAATTAGCTTACGCAGCGATAAGAACACTTCTTATTTACGACCGGAGATAAAAAGGACATCATTAAATAATTTAATGTGCTTAATCTTAATTTGTAACCACATTTAACGTTAAAATCAAAATTGAAATACAGGGTCTTCATAATTCTGGGATTCGAGTAAATTCACTTTCAGTGAAGCTTTTGGTTGTGATTGACTTATTTTTTAAACTGAGAGCGGAGTGCGGATTGTCCCGCGGTCAATGACCTACGAACCTGATTTAACTCACCGATCCCACTACGTCGTGGAACTAAAAAATTCTAATCTGGGCGAAAATTGGTTATCTACTGGTATTTGAATATGAAAATAAGGAATGCTGTTTTCGTTGTCAGTCTTAAAATTCATGTTATTTAAGCGCGCTTCCAACAATACCAAACACGACCCATTTCGATAAAGTTTTCTGCAACACAATTAACTATGGTTAATTATACTTACTTAAATGGCCGGACTGAAATTACGAAATTTGGTAGTTCAGTTAACACCTATCGCGTTCCGCAATTTGGGGATCAAGCGACAGATTAAATATCATACAATCCTATCGGAGAGTTATCAGACGCTCGACGGGAACGGCTACAACCTGCAAATTAGTTACAGTATCTTGATTTCCTTATCGGTGTCTAAAACGGCGCTACCAATTAAAGTCGGGAACCCCGCTTCACCTTTTCCTTGCGCATTTTTTAAGAATTAAATAAAATGTGCTATTGTTTGCGTTTTGTCCGCCCGTCCGTCCGGACCCACTTCTGCCGTTTCCAACTACTTCTAGGGGAATGGTCCTAGAGTCCTGGAATTTTTTGCAGTAGGTAGCTTATACCTTGAAGGTGTGTCAGACGGCCATTTTGGAAGAAATATAACCATTGGGCATTTAAATTAAATTTGATACATAGCCACTTGCAATAAAACCAAATTTAACGCCAGTTTCAAAATTTCATTTTGCGCATGCGCAGTGCCAACTTTCTTATTTATGGAAGAAATTTCGTAGGCATGCTTAAAAAAAGTGCGCTTTACCTGCACAAGGGTTGTGCTCAATTTGTACCTAGGTACTTGTTTTTCACATTTATAAACAGAACCAGTTTATCTATCACTTTCGTAAAAACAAAAACTCGGCTATTTCAAAATCAAAGATGGCGTGGGGCGTTCAATTGTTTTTGCAATAACCTGCTTTAACTTCTTAACCGTTTAATCGATTTTAACAAATTTGGAATGGTTGAAAAGAGCAAATAACATCCAAAGAGGCCAGTGAAAACAGTTTTTCAAAATCTCGTTCCTAACCTCAAATCGAGCCTCAAATATTGGGAAAATGAGATTAATTAATTAATAAAAATGCTTCAATTGTATCGTAAATTTACTTTTTACGTATTTCCGGTATTTGTCGATGGCGCGAAAGAAAAGCACCCTATACTTTTAGGCAGGCCTGGGAAAATTAAACAAATGAAACACGATGCATTATAAAATAAAAGCAGCCGTAATTTGTAAATTATTCAGAAAGTGCGGTTTTTTGAATTTGTAATCTTTTCTAAAATGCCGATTTCTAACCAAGAAGCATTTAATAAGTCGTGTTAAAAATGCCAATATAATTGCAAACGCAACGAAGTCAGTGTCGTAACATGAACAGGAGTCTCGACAGGAGTGCAATTAAAGAAGTGAAGTTCCAAAGTATTACCGCTTGGTGTTTGTGCATCAGTTCGAAAGAAATTCGCCATTGACCGGAGATTGTCTATCGATCGCTTGTTTGCGTGGTACCTCCCTGAGTATCAGTTTTTCTTTCAGCCTGATTGTTTTATGTCAAATAATTTGTTACATCTGTAAATGATTGGTTCTGTGATTAATCGAGCCCAAAGTTAAATTTTTCTATTTTGTACGCGGAATTATATCAGATATTAATTAGCAATTTCTTAATTATTTTTTTTGGAATTTTGGGAAGCTGTTAAGGCTGCTGATTTTTTAAATTAATAACATTTACGTCAAGATTTTTGTCGTGTCGGGAGGCTGGAGACCCTAATACTCCAGTCTAATTGAGCTAGCTGAACAGGTGTTTGCGATTTTTTGGCGCCCAACGTGGAGCACAGAGCGGGATCTATGGACCGGTTGCACCACAATGGTTTAACCTCAGATCAGTTGAATGACAGAATGGAGCAATCTGATTGGTTAAAATGCAAAGTTCCTCAATTATACACAAATCGAGTTTCACACCTCCTGGTTACACTTAGAAAAAGCAATTGTTTACATATTTCTTAGTTTATTACCACTGTACCGGGTGACCCAATGAGACTGTTCCTCGGCCATATCTCGGGAACCATTCGTCGTATGACTTAGGGGTAAAAACATTTATTGGGTAAATCGGTTATGAAGAATCGCTGGAAAATATTTTCAAGTTCTAAAAATGACCAACAGAGGGCCATCTGCCATCTTTAATTTTAAAATTGCATTTTCCATAAATTTCGCATAATAAACTAAACATTCTATTTTTACATTTTTAAAGAGAACCAGTTTATCTATCATTTTCGTAAAAAACATCGGCATTTTAGAAAAGATTACAAATTCAAAAAACTGCACTTTCTGAATGTAAACACAGCAGAATAATTTACAAATTACGGCTGTTATTATTTTATAATGCATCGTGTTTCATTTGTTTAATTTTCCAAGGCCTACCTAAAAGTGTAGGGTCCTTTTCCAAACAATCTTTCGCACCATCGACAAATACCGGAAATACGTCAAATAAGCATTTAATTAATTAATTAATTAATCTCATTTTCCCAATATTTGAGGTTAGGAACGAGATTTTGAAAAACGGTTTTCACTGGCCTTTTTGGGTTTTATTTGGCTACTTTTTCATAAAGAAAAAGTCTTATCATTCCATTTGATTTTTTTGATTTTTTTAGGATTTTGGATCATAGTGTCAAAACTAGCCCCCTGGCGGAGAAGGATTTAACTAAATTAACTATATTTAACTATAATTTATATTTAACTATATAAATATAGTTGATTCTTGTTGCCCAAGGAATGCTCTTTTTAATCATACCAAATTTGTTACAATCGGTCAAACGGTTAAGAAGTTAAAGTAGGTTATTGCAAAAACAATTGAACGCCCCACGCCATCTTTGTTTTTGAAATAACTGAGTTTTTGTTTTTACGAAAATGATAGATAAACTGGTTCTCTTTAAAAATGTGAAAAAAGAATGTTTAGTTTATTATGTGAAATTTAAAGAAAACGCAATTTTAAAATTAAAGATGGCAGTTACGCCCTTCATAACCGATTTACGCAATAATTTTTTATATCCCTAAGTCATACGACAAACGGTTCCCGAGATATGGCCGAGGAACAGTCTTATTGCGTCACCCTGTACAGTCAAACTATTACTCTAGAACAGAGCCATGCAAAGAACCCTTCGACCCTGCAGAAAACAAAAAAACCTGTAGGTTTTTCGGACGCCACTCGCCCAAGCAAGGATTGCCATGCGACGTAGTGCAGGTGTGGAGCACCCTAACACAAGTCCCACTAGAATCACCCCGAACAACGGAGGGTGGCGTTAGCGAACTTTTACCGCATGCAGTGCCTACTCTTCCCGCGTCCCCATACCGGATCTAACCACGCAAAAGAAGAACAAGTTAAAAAGTAATCGTAAACGATTTACATAAAGCGCATTTCCACTTGCATTCATTTCCCATTTGTAAGATGCAACTTCTGTTAAAATCGTAAAAATCCGGCCACAAATATGGAAGATAGCGTTGCACATGGGCAATCCATTTTTGACGTGCTACTTCAATTTCAGTTTATGAGAAGAATTTCATTGCAATGCTTTTCTAAGTAAGAAAGTTGGAACTGCGCATGCGCAAACCTTTGTTCCAAGCGCCTAAGTATCAAATTTCACTTAAATGGTTCCATAGATGAAAAAGTTGGCACTGCGCATGCGCAAAATAAAATTTTGAAACTGGCGCTAGATTTTCCTTTATTCCAAGTGCCTATGTATCACATTTCATTTAAATTCTTCCATAAATAAAAAAGATGGCACTGCGCATGCGCAAAACCAAATTTTGAAATTGGCGTTTGATTTTCCTTTATTCCAAGTGCCTATGTATCAAATTTCATTCAAATACTTTTATAAGTAAAAAAGTTTGCAATTCGGTTTATAAATGGTCGAGATGCGAAAAGGGCACTGTGAATTTTGAATCGATTCGATTCAACTTTTGGCATTGCGTATTATATGGCTAAAGCTATGCCCATATTGAATTTCATGCAATTCAGTTCATAACTAACGGAGATGTAAAAGCGATCGAACATTTCTAAACAAAGTTATCGTTCACACGGACAGATAGATGGACAGACAGACAAAGGAACAGACGGACAGACCAACAGGCAGACGACAGATAGCAATGCAAAATTATAAACGATCTCTAGGATCATTAATAAACGGCAAAAGTGTAAAATTATGGAACATGTAAAAAACGGTTTTTTCTCGGGTTTTTTGTTTTTTTTTACAATAACTTTTTTTGTAAGCGGTACAGAAAAAATTCCTCCCTTGGTACAAGACTCGACACCATAACGAACCAAATAGCGAAAAAAGTAGAACAATAGCTCTTAAGATAAAAAACTAGTAGCGTCGCAAAACGAGCGGACGGACGGACGGACGGACGGACAAAGTGGCCACAATAGCGCATTTTTTTTTATTTTTGTGGAAATGCGCTAAAAAGAAACAATAAATATAAACTTCCTGATTTCCCGCATAAAAATAGGTAAATATTAAACAAAACCGACAGAAAAACCTCGAGAAAACGTTCCTAAATTGAAATCGTATCGTTACAAGATGAACTTGCGGGATAAATTTAACGGATATTTATTTTTAATCAACCCCGCCCCCATAAACAAATTAGTATACGTCTCCCTCCAGTCGCTTCCCTAATAATGCGGCGTGAACTTGTCGCAACTCTCCCATGCGATCGCCGCACGAAGCCGCCAGAAATAGAGCGTGTTCTTTTAACAATTTTTTAAACCAACATGTGGTTTAATATAATGTGCACATATTAATTACAACAACACATGTTTTTTTTTTATTAGTAATTGACGCAGTTGTGGGATTCTATTTAGTTTGCGTCGAGCAGGCGCTTTATCGTTCCCAATTAATTTATAAGCGACCATCATCTGGCAAACGTGTACAACAAAGCGAAGGTGCGATAGAATGGAAGGCGAAGAAGTAAGTCAACATTTTTTTTTCTTCTTCGTTAGATAATAACTTCCTAATTTGTTGCAACCGGCGCGGCAGCGTTGCCAACATCTGCCGTTCAATTGTCGGCGGCATCCCTTTCTGTGATGCGACGCAAGCGCACCGCATTCAAAACAAAAGTCCAAAACGTAAACAGAAAAGAAATCTAGTGCCTCTTGTGCGTTATCGTGCTCTCGATGTTAAGTGGCATCGCCTCACCGTCCGTTTAAAGGTTTGTTTTTTTGTCGTTTAGAAATTAATTCGGGCGTCGCTTGGTGGATTGGGGGGTTGTCGCAGGGGGTTGCAAAGGTGGCGATCGATTCCCTTACGTAACCACGCGAAAGTCTTCACTTCAGGCTCCAATAATTACTCTCGCCGCCGTTTATGCCCTGAATCATTCGCTATAAATATTTATTTTTATTACGCAATTAGTCACTGCCGAAAAGCGTCTTAATTGCTCCTTATTTAGGACAATTATTGCGAACTCGTAAAACGGGGCCGGTCGATTCCTCCTTTTAGAGATTAGAGCGCGATAAAGACGATAAGAGCGCATTCCGAGTCTTTCCGTCTAATTGGAGCGGTGCGATGGGGATCTTTGGGGATCTCTTTGGGCCGGTCCGTTGCGTGTCGCGCGTCGCATTTTGACTTATCCTAATTTTGTGTGTTGCAGAAGGAGGTGAAACCGAAATCGGCGTCGAAGATCGTCAGTAAGAACAATTTAGTCTTGCTGAGAAAGCGACCACTGGCTAATGGGAGGTATGTATTATAGGCAACCAATCGTACACTCACACGCTTCCTTGTTGATGGCTTTGATTACCAATTGCACTTCCTGGTTGTAGTAGGAAATTGTTTGTTTGTGTTTTTGTCAGATGAATTTAAATTAATTTACGACCGAATTTCTTGAAAAAATAACTGTGGTTATCATTACATATAGGGTGTTCCGTTTAAATAGTCATTTGTCGATAGGATAGTGGTAAGTTTTCGATTAGACGAAAAATCTGTATTACCTATACAGAGTAAGTATGTATAGTAAGACACGATAACTTGATCACAATTACAAGTCCCGCCATTATTGTAGAAATAACGTTTTTGGAAAGAACGGAAGACCGGAGGTATGGAATACCACCCAGTATACGAAGATTAGTTGATCCTGAAAAATGGTAATCGGATTTTCGTATGCTGGGGGGTATTCCATACCCCCCGGTGTAACGTTCCCTCCCAAAACCTTTTAGAATTGGCACTCACATGAAAAGAACCAAAACGTTTTTGGAAAGAACGGAAAACCGGAGGTATGGAATACCACCCCAGTATACGAAGATTAGTTGATCCTTAGAAAAATGGTAATCGGATTTTCGTATACTGGGGGGTATTCCATACCCCCCAGACCCCCCGGTGTAACGTTCCCTCCCAAAACTTTTTAGAATTGGCACTCACATGAAAAGAACCAAAACGTTTTTGGAAAGAACGGAAAACCGGAGGTATGGAATACCACCCAGTATACGAAGATTAGTTGATCCTTAGAAAAATGGTAATCGGATTTTCGTATACTGGGGGGTATTCCATACCCCCCAGACCCGCCGGTGTAACGTTCCCTCCCAAAACCGTTTAGAATTGGCACTTACATGAAAAGAACCAAAACGTTTTTGGAAAGAACGGAAAACCGGAGGTATGGAATACCACCCCAGTATACGAAGATTAGTTGATCCTTAGAAAAATGGTAATCGGATTTTCGTATACTGGGGGGTATTCCATACCCCCCAGACCCCCCGGTGTAACGTTCCCTCCCAAAACTTTTTAGAATTGGCACTCACATGAAAAGAACCAAAACGTTTTTGGAAAGAACGGAAAACCGGAGGTATGGAATACCACCCCATATACGAAGATTAGTTGATCCTTAGAAAAATGGTAATCGGATTTTCGTATACTGGGGGGTATATACCCCCCAGACTCCCGGTGTAACGCTCCCCCTCAAAACCGTTTAGAATTGGCACTCACATGAAAAGAACCAAAACGTTTTTGGAAAGAACGGAAAACCGGAGGTGTGGAATACCACCCAGTATACGAAGATTAGTTGATCCTGAAAAATGGTAATCGGATTTTCGTATACTGGGGGGTATTCCATACCCCCCGGTGTAACGTTCCCTCCCAAAACCTTTTAGAATTGGCACTCACATGAAAAGAACCAAAACGTTTTTGGAAAGAACGGAAAACCGGAGGTATGGAATACCACCCCGTATACGAAGATTAGTTGATCCTTAGAAAAATGGTAATCGGATTTTCGTATACTGGGGGGTATATACCCCCCAGACTCCCGGTGTAACGCTCCCCCTCAAAACCTTTCAGAATTGGCACTCACATGAAAGGGGCCAAACGTTTTTGGAAAGATAGGAACACCGGCGGTATGGATTACCCCCCCCCCCCCCTAGTATAAGAAAACTAGTTGACTCTTAGGAGAGAGGTAACCACCAAGTATACGAAGATTAGTTGATCCTTAGAAAAATGGTAATCGGATTTTCGTATACTGGAGGGTATTCCAGATCCCCCGGTTTAACGCTCCCCCCCAAAACCTTTGAGAATTGGCACTTGCATGAAAAGGGCCAAACGTTTTTTGAAAGAAAGGAACACCGGCGGTATGGATTGCAATTGAAAAAAAAAGTAAAGTAACTTACATGTATAACTGGAATCGCTGTTTACGCCCTTCCTTGAAAATGCTCCCTCCAAGGAAAATTGAAAACTGGATCGCTTTTGATTTGATACAGGTGAACTGTTGCATGGCAAATTTTTCATTCAATTTAATCGTCTCTGTTTATTGAACTACAAGCCTTTAGAGGACCCAGAACGAGAGAGAGGGATAATAAATAAATAAAATTCAGACTCACAGACGCTTTATAATTATTCCGCGATTCACAAAAAAATTGCACGGCCGATTTATATACTCCAGGTATTCGTGTTTGCGATCAAAATTAAGCGGGAACTCTCTCTTTTCTCTTTCTTTCTCTAGTTGTGTATATGTCACCCAGTAAAAAAACACCGAAACGGAACCAAAACAAATGCCACGGCTGCGTGCCCTGTAAACCAATAGAAAAGGTGCATTTATCTCGGCTGATTGAATTTCAAGTTTTTACCCCATTGACAGATACGTCTCTTCCAGGCTTTGCATTTTCCCTTTGAGAGTACCTCTATCGATTTTTGAGATTTCGGATTTGAAGTCCCCCCGACAGGCGAAATTTCTTCTCTCACTCAAACCTTCCATTTTTTTTCTTTAACAGCGACGCTCCGTTTTCGAGATATTCGAGCCTGACTCCACCGACAGATACGTTTTGCCCCTAGCTTCCATTTCCCCTCTACTGAATTCGAATCCGAAGAATACTAAAAATTCAAAGTATCCGAAAAATTTGGAGAATCTGTAAAATTTGATCAATCCAAAGAATCCGATTGATTCGAAAAATCTGACAAACCAGAAGTCCTTAAAAACCTTGAAGAATCTGAGAAACCGAAGAATCTGAATCTGAAAAACCCGATTATGCTTTATCAATCTAACCCAAAAGAGAGTTTGGCAAGAAGACTAAACAATGTTGACTCAATGTGTGTTAGAATTTTTCCAACGAAATTGGTGAAAAATTGAAAATTGTCATATTGGGATCGGATTGGTAATCAAAACTGCACTTATTAATATACTCGGGGTGGAGGATGCTAACTCCAATATATAGGGTGTTTTACATTTTCCAATGCGATTTTTTAGCGGATTTCGGTCGTCAAATTCAACTTTAAGTCTACGTTCGACGAACTCCTTGAGGCAAACCAATCGTCCCTCGCCGAAAAACACCAAGTCCGCGCCCAACGTAGCGTCACGCGTCGACGTCTACGGAAGATCAAAAAAACTCCCATCTTCAAACAATCAGGTAACGTTATTGCGAATTATACAGGGTGTACATTTTGTCTGGAACACTGAGTCTGTTTTTAAAACATTTTTTTAAAGAAGCTTTTTATGGTATCCAAAAAGGGTACTGTTTAATAATATGTAATGAAAAGTGGTAGTTTAAAGAAGTAGATACCATAAAAAGCCGTTTCAAAAGATATAATCAGTGTTCCACCCTGTACACAGCAAGTCTGATAGAAACCTTTTTGCAGAATAAACCCAGAACAAAGCCCATTCCTCCGTGGCACCATAACAACAACGAAGTTAAAGTAAACCACGTGCTCAAGCCCGCGATTACCATTCTTGGGTCATCGAATGTATCGACGCGCAGGTAAGTTTTTGGACATTTTTAAGAAGTTAGAAATTAAGAGGCGCGGCCTTATATTACTATGTATAATGGACATTTTCGCTTAACCCCTACAATTGAGACAGGGACAGGAACACTAATAATCGTGAGCGTGTAATACTTTTAGGGAAACTTCAGTTTCAAGGTTAACTTGAGTATTACAAACTATTACGGTGAAGACGAACAATAGTGGAAGTTTTAAACGCGCGAATATAATATTTTTTTTAGTTTAGTTTTTGACTGCAAATGTAATTTTTGACATAAAAACGGATAAGTTTAGGTGTAGAGGAATAATATAATATAATGTAGGGTGTTGTATTTATAATAAGCAAAATTTTTTATGCATTCCTCTCATCGACATTAGTATACTAATACATTGTTAAAATATTCCGAGATCTCCCCGAGATATAGATAAACGTCATTCGTTGTTGAACACCCGGTATTAGCAGGACTTTGTCTCAAAATTTAATTAACAAATTTGAACATTCTGCACACTCGGCTTTAACATATAGTCCGTATTTAATGCGTTGCAAGTGCAGCATTACCATTTGAAAAATGCGTAAAATTTGCTCCACAAATAAGAAAGTTGGTTCAGTGACCTATTTATCTAATACCGTGTGAATTATGCGTAATGATGATGTTCACGCACCCGACGCTTTCTGCACTATTGAGCGGAGATTTTTTTCTTTCTGAAAATTAAATTTTATTTCTTTCGTATTTCCGTTTCAAGAATCACCCGAAATATAAACTTGGTTCTGGGCCTGGATTTTATTATACTTCGGTTCGTAGTACGAAAATTTCACTTGGCTTTACGATGCCCGAAAAATAGCAACTTTCTCGTGCCACTCCTTTTAGTCCCAAATCCAATCTCCCGAAAAAATACGTGTTTTCGCAGTACCGGTAACGTTTCCGTAGCTCAAAACAGAATGCCCGAAAAATCTCTCTCTAACTTAATCCCTACCTGTCTTGAGAAATAATTAACGCCCCTTTCAAAATGACGTGTAGTTAAGTGAAAAGTGATAATAGGAACATGTTGGTCAAGGTCAGCTCGTTGCTCAGCACCATCTTTAATACTATTCCGTACGTCCTGGAGAAGGACCAAAGTTGCAGTTAACTTTTGGGGATAGTAGAACGGGTCCCAGTATTGATCCCTGAGGGACACCAGTCATCTTCCTGGATAAGTTACACTTGAAATATTGCGTCCTGGCATCCCCTTTCAGAAATCGATACCCCGATCGCTAGAATTAGATCAGATATCTTAGTTTTCTAGACTAGATTTCATGTGAAACAGAATTAACGTTTTAGTGAACTCTACAAACGTGACTAGTGGCGACCTCTAAGGCAATTCTGCCAAAAAAGCTAGCAGCTTGAGGCGTTCCGGGAAAACTCCAGTACTAATGGTCAAATTAATAAGGATGATCCGTATACAGTGTGTCCACTTAAGTTCTCAGCACATGGGACACTTTTTATCGCATTTTTTAAGAATTAAAAACAAGTATAAATTGTACACAACTCTTGTGCAGATAAAGCGCATTTTTTAACAGAAATAGCTTTTGTTTTGACATCACCAATGGATATATTTTTTCCAGACGTCCCAATCGCCCTTTGTGAGTACCCTCTTCCGACAATCCGTTCTTGAGGTATAAGGGAATATACCCGATCACATAGAGGTCGAATGGAGGAGGGGCTATGGTTGGTAGAAATTAGTTCCTTTCGTTGTAGACTTTTCATGAGAGACATGAAGTAGTTCTCACTGCCCCCCCCCCCCCCCGGCTCTGTCGCTCGACAAGAAGCAACAATATCTTAATGCGTCTCACTCGTTAGCGTTTGTTTTTGTGAATTTTTAAACTGTGGTTGCCTTGACGATGACCTTTAGGGTTATTCCAAGGTTAACTTCAAAATTCTGAATGGGGCTCGGATATTAATAAGACGGGAAAACGCGGTCCGATTCCCAACTATGGATGTCCTGATCGGCTCGAAAATAATTTCAGATCGACTCGTAGCCGAATTAAGCTCGGATTCAAAACAATGGAATACAACAGAAAACTGAAGGTTAAAAAACTTTAATCGCCCCCCCCCCCCCCCCCCCGACCCCGTCGCTCACTGATCTCGAAAAAGAGTCGCACGGGACAGTTATAGTTTGTAAAAACCAATTTATTTCAATGAGACCTTTCATTAGAATACCATAAAGGGTAGAACATGTGTTTACCCCCCTCCCCCTCCTTTTCTAAAGTTTAACTTGGCTAAAAATGTGCTATTTGCGTTTTGTCCGTCCGGACCCACTTCTGCCGTTTTGAACTACTTCTAGGGGAATGGTCTTAGAACCCTGCAATTTTCTGCAGTAGGTAGCCTATATCTTGAAGTTAGCAGTCTAATAGCCCCCCCCCCACGAATTATTTCCTGAGATCTGGAAGAGTAAAAACGTCCATAACTTTTACATATGACAACCAATTAGTCTCCGATTTTGCATACGCATGCCTTTAGTGGTGCCAAGTGAAACTTTAGAAAATGAGGCTGGGGGGAGGTAAACGCAGGTTCTACCCTTCATGGTATTCTAATGAAAGGTCTCATCGAAATAAATTGGTTTGTACAAACTTTCTCGTGCGACTCTTTTTCGAGATCACTGAGCGACGGAGCTTGAGGGAGGGGGGAGGGGGGGTTAATGTGATTCTACATTGTATTCTAATGAAAGATCTGAACGAAAGGAACCGTTTTCTACCAACTACCACCCTTCTTTCTGTCCTCTTATCAAAGTACGGGGCCGAGGAAAAGGGGGGGGGGGGGGCGGAACTAGTTTTATCCTTCATGGTACTCTAATCAAAGGTCTCAACGAAAGGAATTAATTTCTACCAACTATAGCCCTCCTCCTCGACCTTTTTTCGTGGTCGGGTATATTCCCTTATACCTCAGGAACGGATTGTCGGAAGAGGGTACTCACAAAGGGTGATTGAGGCGTCTGCAAGAAATATATCAATTGGTGATGTCAAAACAAAAGCTATTTCGGTTTAAAAAAAGGCGCTTTATCTGCACATGGTTGTGCACAATTTATACTTCTTTGTATTTTGTAATGTAGAAACAAACTGTAGGTTCCCTGGTATCCAGAGTTCGTTTATTGGTGACCGAATCTTCGGCGCTTCGGCCTTAAGTTTAGGTTTTTTTTTACTGAGCTTGTCCCCTTTTGGTCTGGGCGATTTAGTCAAGACTCCCTACACTTCTAAGTTCGCGAGATGTGACCACAGTCAACTTGAAGATGTATGGTTTCTCGTCATAGCTGGTTTATTAAAGACCAGTATCCAGACGGCGCAGGTCCTTAGTCACAACAGGAGAGCAGGGCGGAGATGTAGTAATAGATATGACCAACAGTTCTTTCAGAAGCTGCGAGCATCTCATTCTATGCATTAACCTGGACGTCACATGTGAACAAATGCCTGAATCATTCTCCTATCCACCACCTGGGGGCGCGCTCAATAAACCCCGCCCCGCACTTCGGGGGGCATATTACCACCCGCACTTCGGTAAGGAAGGTATTGCATTGGGGTAAAAAATGCCCCCCTCCCTTTCTTGACGGAAATACGTGTTTTGAAGCACCAGGAATCCGAATCAAACAAAATCTTGATGATGTCGGTATGTTGGTCATACTCACTTCCGGCTAAACGGCTGAACCGATTGGAACCAAATTTGGTGCACATACTCTTAGACTTAAAAGGGCAGAATCGCCCACGGCACATTTTTTTCTTAGCGATTCAATCCGGATAATTTGGGTGGTACCAAACTAAAATAAAGAAGTTTAGAGGGGGGTGGGGGGTCTGGATCGTACTAGGATTGCATATATTTCCCGCTCATCTAAATCTTACATTTGCGATATCAAAGTTCCTAAAGACCTGATAACTCTAACATTGACTGAGAGTAATGAATGGGGGTGGAAGGGGGCAAGTCTAATGTAGTTTACTGCTTTCAGCCGCCTTCGAACGTCGAAGCCGAACACGCCTGGAAGAAGATAACATCGGTAACGTCGTCGTTAGCACAGAACTTATCGGAACAGCTTCGTCTGGTTCTCGAGCCTACGCAAACGTCGCGTCTGAAAGGCGATTACCGGACCGGTCGGCGTATTAACATGCGTAAGGTGATCCCGTACATCGCGTCACAATTTCGCAAGGACAAAATCTGGTTGAGACGGACGAAACCGTCGAAAAGGGAGTATAAGATCGTGCTGGCGATCGACGACTCCTCCAGTATGTCCGACAACCACTCGAAGGAGTTGGCTTTCGAGAGCGTGTCGTTAATCTCGAAGGCTCTGACGTTACTGGAAAGCGGGCAGCTGTCGGTGTTGAGCTTCGGCGAGACAACACGAGTGTTGCACAAGTTAGTGGATACTTTCACCGAGAAGAGTGGCGCGAATATATTGCAAAATTTCCAATTTTTACAACAAAAAACGTGCGTGGGGAAATTGGTGGACTTCGCAACCGAGATGCTCAATTCGGCACAGGGTGCTAGCAGCGCGTTGATTGCAAAGTTATTAATTATTGTTAGTGACGGGCGAGGGATTTTTTCCGAAGGTGAAACCTACGTAAATCAAGCCGTTCGTCGAGCTAAATTGTCGAACATTTTTATGGTTTTTGTTATTGTTGATAATCCCAATAGCAAAAGTTCCATTTTGGACATTCGTATGCCTATTTTTAAAGATGGAAAATTGCTACGTATAGAATCTTACATGGACTCCTTTCCGTTTCCATTTTATATTATTTTGAGAAACATTAATTCATTGCCTAACGTTTTAAGTGACGCATTGAGACAGTGGTTCGAAGTTGTTTCAAATATTGATAAGCAGTGAAATAAATATGTTGTTAATGCTTCTTAAAAATAGAATATGTTACCAAAAAAAACAGCGTAATAATTTATTTGCTTATTGAGGTCATTTATTTGGGTCGTCGATGGTAATCAGGTAGAGCAAATTGTGTACTGACAGTTGGGGGGTGTCATTGGTGACAATTAGCGTTTTATTGATTTATTTAGCCTATATTTTTCCATTGAATATAATGAACCCTTACCCAACATTGATTTTCTAGTGCATTGCATGTCTGGGCCCCACTTGTTCTTAGAAACAATCAATATTGTTATTTCCTTTACTACGAAATAGCAAACAAATTTGTCATTTTGTTGTGTAACTCGCGCCCGTCTAGTACCTAGTGAATATGTGAGAAATAACAAACGAAATGGAGAATAGTGGAAAAACAAATGCATTGGCTTCAACGAAAGTAACATCGCCATTTTATGAACCGCCGCCAAGGAAGACCAGTGCGGATATTATTAATGAAGCGAAAGCGGCAATTAAAGGTGAGACTCGCTCGATTTTTGAAAGATCTTAACTGTCTTTGCTATAGATTCCCAAATGGTCGACAATTCTTTTGCGTCTGCTTCCATTAAACCATTGCAAACTCAACGACCGTTCACTCCGCGCGAAAAGGAAAGGATTTTGTTTGGGCATAAGAGAAAGTCAAATAGGCCTCCTAGCTCTTTCAGGTAAGAAGTTTATCGTACCAAGAGAAAGGTTCAAAGACCTTAAGATAAATGAGTTGCACTCAGCACCTAATCAATATTTTTAATTTGGTGTATTCATAATACTCTTTTTTGCATAATTTTTGTAGTTCATTAGGAGTCAATTTAGTTAAAATGAATTGCGCAATTACGAATTTTGATGGGAAATAAACTGTCTGAGTGATGAGTGTCAGTTTGTGTCTTTTGAGGCATTTAATATGAAAATAATTGACTCATTTATCAAACAAAACATGCAGCTATCTCTAAGATCATTTATAGGTGTAGAAATTACTATGTTTTCTATCTATTAAGATGAGAAAACTAGGTAATAAATTTTGTCGAAGTTCTTTCATAATTCATAACATGTTTTAAACTGATGAAGGTGACTGTGACGTACTTTTTCGATCAGACTTCTCAATCAAACGTTGTAGACTAGAAACCAATTTCGAAAAAAAATTCAAAGGGCTGTAACTTTTGAACTAGTAGCCCAATCTTGGAACTGTTGGAAATATGGATTTTACAGGCCACATGGGCTATAGGAACATTTTTCTTCCGGGGCGATCTGGAGAATTTCTTTTTCGGTGCTCAAAAAGGCAGTGTGTTATAACTTCCTTTTTACCAAAATCGCGTACACCAAAATTTCTTCGGGAAAACATTTTCTTATAATATTGGGTGCGCAGAATGCCAACAGATTCTTTTCAAATTGAAATTGTATTTTTAGGAAAAATGTGTTACTGAACCACTATGTGTGATATATTTACTGCTTTCCATTTGAGTGAAAGAGGAGCTCTAAGCTGTACCGTGCACGATGCCCTGTGTTCCTTTTAAGAAAGCTTCGAGCTCTTACGCGCCCGAAATTGGATTTCCCTTGTCCCCTCATGCACCACCTATTTGCTTGGGGCTTGTAACACTTTTGTGGTTATTTACGTACTGTGAATGTCAATTCAAATGTGTTAAAAATGAACAACTTGCAAAACGAGCTGCTCCGAACGAACTGCACCAGAGCTTCACGCACTCAAATGGAAAGCAGTAATTGTTGTAAAGAGAAAAAAAGACGTAATCTCAAAATGTGAAAATTCAAAATGGCGCCCATAAGAAAAACTAAAGTTTCCACGTGTTTCTCCGTCATCTTGAAAATTATTAAAAACAGGATGCCATATTTGAAATCTCCATTAAAAAGTGTCCGAATAATGTGTTAATTAGAAATGTCTACTACGATTAGTTTATCATAAAAAAATTAAAAACGAAAATCAGATTCTTATTCGGCACGAAAATTGGCAACTTTGCCCCCATTTAACCAACTTTCTACCTCTTAAGATAAGTGAGATCCCCATAGTGGCACTCGAAAAATGGACACCGTGTATAAGTGGTGTCATAACTGTCAAAATTTGTTCCTCGAAAGTAGCCATCTTGAATTATTTTTAACATCAATTCTAAATTAAACGCATCAAAGATAGTCACTTTTATATAAAACTTTTCGATGATATGAGAATTTCAAGGAAATTACCAATTTTAGTTTTTTTGAATTTACGTCGAACCTATTCGACATTTTGAATTTCCACAAGTAAATTTTAAATAAGCATCTAAAACTGCAAAACATTGTCCATTTAACCAGTTCTCTATCTTTAATAATAAGAAAGTTACCCATGCAATCCCACGCGATCTGGGACGCACTGTATATACACCACGGTAGAGAAGTCCTGCACACCTTACACTCCTCGGCGCAAGCGCATCGGGATGTAATCTTGGTGCTCAGGCAATAATACTGGACTTCTCTGCCTTGGCATATAATGTACTATTAAATACTTCCTTCAAACTTGCAAATAAGAATCCCCATCTCACTGCACTATATTGCCCATATTATCAAATTAAAAAGAAAGTTGACTTATGTTCATTTTTAGTTTGAGATATCTACAGGAGACCGACTTTAACACAAACACAATAGCTGACAATGCAGACAGTGAAAACAATACAATCTGCACCATTGATAAAGATGCCCAAATTACGAAGAAACAAAACGCATTTAAAACACAGAGATCAAACTCGCTATCGAAAATAGGGGACGGCAAAATTTTCGATGTAGGATGCCACAAAATCAAACTACCAGCTCTCGATGCGCTAAAAGTGGTACAAAAAAAGGGAATACACAAAAATACATTTTCGTTGGACAATCGTGAGTATAATTCCACTTACGCCCCCCCCCCACCTCTCACAGTTCATTTCTAACGTTCTTCTCCCGAACAGTACCCGAGGAGTATGAAGAATCCGTCGAGCCGCCCGTGGTTAACCGAAACGCGTTCAGCTCCCCACAGGAGCGGACCGATTTCAACGAGAACTCCCCTTTCGGTCGACCGTCGCAACAGCAGAATAACCTGTCCCAGTGCCTTTTGCTGGGCGTCGAAAATTTAAATAAACTGTTTGAGAATAAACAAATTGTAGAAAATTCTGAAACACTCTTTGTAAAAACAGGTTATTTAAATAATGTAACGCGAACAGAAAATGAAAAGTCGTCTCTAGATGTTTACAAAGAGAGAACGATGGAGAACATAATCGAATCGTTATCTAAACACCATAAGAATGTGAAAGACGAGGTAATAGTGCAATCGTTGCGCGATTTATACGATTGCATGGAGCAAAAGAAGTTTCTTTCGACTTCTGTCGATTCGAAGACAAAGATTTGTATTTTGAAGTGTCTGTACAGGTTTGTCGAGTCGCCGAACGAACAGCTCCTGTTAAATATTGCGAGGATTATTTTGGCAGTAAGTCCTGCAATAACATCGAATATGGCAGCTATTGTCTTTTGTTTTAGTTGAAGGTCACCGGCAATAATCTAAGTGGCGTCTGCAAGTTGATATTTAAAGTCTCCAAGAATGACAAAAACGACTCCCTGTTTCTAGAAGGAAATATTCTGGGTAAATCAACAAAGAGCTGTTTCGTTTGTAATATTTGTTTTAGATTTGTTTGTCGACGCGTTGGGACGCTCTAGCCCTCTCGACGACGGAGAGGCGTGCGTGTACGGTTACGGATCTGTCAAGTTTTTAACGATGAATTCAAAGCTACTCAAAAAGATTTTGGATCTGGGCATACTGCAGCTGATGGTCCTCCATATCAAGATTATTAATAACGCCGTGAGTATAAGACAACGCGAGAAAATTGTGAGGCTAATTCTCCGTTATAGAGACAGGAAAAGGTGCACATTCCCGAACACACCGAGCATGCGCTGTTTCAATTGACGGGTGGCCTAAGGAACTTGGCCGCCGATGAGAGTGTCTATGACGAGTTTATATCGACCGATACCGTATTCCAGCTCTGCACCACTTTGGAGTTGTTCTCATCCAACTTGGATATCGTCAGCAACATTTCGAGAACGTTAAGGTTGTATATTTAAGCGCGCGTAGCGATGACTAACTACATCTCGCAATTTACAGCACAATTTCGATGAACGACAATTGCTGCGATAAAATTGGAGAGTTTGCCGAAATATCGAAAATATTTGTCAAGTTATTCGAAAAATATCCGGGGAACGAGGAAATTATTGTAAGGTTGGCGTACACCTTGGGGAATGTACTTGCCAAATTGGACAGTTCGCGTATTAGATTCTTTCACGAGAAGAACTCAATTTCTTCTCTAATTAGCTTGTGGAAGATATATTTTGAGCGGACGCTGAAAAATTGCTCGTTAAAATTCGATACTGAATGGGAGTCGACAAGCAACACTGAAGATGTCATGATAAAGGTAAAGTGGTGGGTGGGTATGTGGGCCACATTAGTGCCATAATATTAAAAATAGGGCGGGGATAAGAATTCTTGCAAGACACAGTCTCACAGTGCGGCGGAAGGCCGCAATGGCGCACTTGTACATATTTTATTAAAGTCACTAAATGTAGAAAGGACCGCAATCCATTGGGCTCGTGTGTTAGAGAGAGAACGCATGATTTTTGCCCAAAAATGGCGGAAGTTGTTTGGAGATATGGTATATATACATTGAACTATATACTCTGTAACTGGAACGGCATCGCCCGTAATCAGCCATTGCCAGGGGCCGTGGCGAATTTTTGTGAGAGAGAGATGGGTAGAGGTATGTATCCCTTACCTTGTTCCACTCATGTGGGCTTATGGGATGGTTTATACTACGTCTTACATTTTGCTTATTTTTGTCTAAAATAAGTTATTAAGAGATTTGCAAAAATGGTCATGAATTATGTTGCATATACGTGCAATCATTTTTATAATAAAAATTCAAATATTCAATTTCATGGGTACGTTTTGATAACATTTTTTAACCTCGACGCGCGCATTTAATATTTTTGCGTATGACGGCATTTGCACCGCTCATATTTCTTTACTAATGTACCTCACACTCATTTATACTGTCCTTATAAATGATAATTCTTCTTTCCCACTCTTTAATACTAATTCAATAGGGCATTCCACTCGCTAGAGAGCATCATATGAAGAAAAGCGTTAACGCCGCCAAAACCTATAAAGCCGTTTTGACTTACTAATTTGAATATGAAGTTCCTTATTATTTAATTTTTCACTGAACGTTATTATTGATACTGCTCACTAATGGGGCGAAAAATACCTTTAAGGATTGATTTTTTTATTTATTGCCGATTCCTTCGGCCTACAATGAACTGTACATTAGGAAGCGTCAATGTGTAAAGATAAAATATAAAAGCATACACATATCGCACAGGTATATCACAAAAGTTAAGAGTAGAAAATATCACGGTTTGCATTTTCTACATCCATATCCATCCACATATGATACTGCCGATGGCACCACCACCACGTACAACTGGTGTATTTGGTAGTTACGTTGGCGGTGTGAAGGTATAGTTCCGAAAACAAAGGATCCATCGGGCTGTTGGAAAAATTCCAGTCTCATACGAGAAACAAAGGTTCCATAAGACCAGCATAAGACATTCATATCAATTCGTTTCCATCTAATGGCAATGCGGTGACCACTACGAGTAAATTGATTCCTAAACTCATTTTATTCTAAAAAAAGTGCTTTTTTTAAATTTACGTTTACCTCGACGCCGTAAAGGGTACGTTACAAACGAACACAACCAATGTTTATAACTTTATTTTACGTTAATAAGCAAATGGAATGCGTCGAGCCACCATGAATGACATTAGTTGACATTATACTTGTAACTTCAAGAATCAAGTATGTGAGTGTGTGAGTGAGAAATGGCGCAGTTTACCACATTATTAAGTATATATTTTAAGATATTCCATTAACAAATAGATATTGGCACTTATAAAAGCATCGACAAGCATTTATCTTTATCTTTCTAAGGCCCCAACCTCCCAGTTTATTTACTTATCTGTATTTTTAACCAAATACGTGTGATCGCTCCTGCATATGCAATACAAAACAACGTGCCAGACAAGGATGAGAATACCTACGTTATGCTGGTTGCCTAAAATAATTGCGGCACGCGATTTTGGCGCTCGATGCCGTTCCAGTTACAGAGTATATAGTTCAATGTATATATATTTATATAAAACATGACAGTACTATGAAGTTAGGTTATAAAAAATGACAGCTATTCAGATTTTATTTCTCAATTTTTTTAAGTTGGCAGCAAATTTGCCCAAAAATGGCGGATGATTGCGGTACTTTCTATATCTAGTGACTATATTTTATTTAGGAGTTAGTACGTGGCGACATCTCAACTAAACTTGCTAAACTATAATATAAAAGAAAGTGTATTGATTAACAAAGAGATGGCGCAATTGTACCTATTTTAACCGATTTAAACTAATTATTCAAAAACCGGGGCAGTGAACTACAATTTCTTTACAGAATTTGTAAGACTCGGTACATCTCAAACTGCCATTTAAGAAAAATTAAGTCCAACGTGGGTATTAATCGCATAAGTTTAAATGATTTTTCTGAAGGAGTTAGTACGTGGCGACATCTCAACTAAACTTGCTAAACTATAATATGAAAGAAAGTGTATGGATTAACAAGGAGATGGCGCACTTGTACCTATTTTATTTAAACTAATTATTCAAAAACCGAGGTACTGAACTACAATTTCTTTACAGAATTTGTAAGACTCAGTACATCTCGAACTGCCATTTAAGAAAAATTAAGTCCAACGTGGCTATTAATCGCATCAATTTAAATGTTTTTTCTGAAGGAGTTACACGTACGTGGCGACATCTCAACTAAACTTGGTAAACTATAATATGAAAGAAAGTGTATGGATTAACAAGGAGATGGCGCACTTGTACCTATTTTATTCAAACTAATTATTCAAAAACCGGGGCAGTGAACTACAATTTATTTACAGAATTTGTAAGACTCGGTACTTCTCGAACTGCCATTTAAGAAAAATTAAGTCCAACGTGGCTATTAATCGCGTAAATTTAAATGTTTTTTCTAAAGGAGTTCGTACGTGGCGACATCTCAACTAAACTTGGTAAACTATAATGTGAAAGAAAGTGTATTGATTAACAAGGAGATGGCGCACTTGTACCTATTTTATTTAAACTAATTATTCAAAAACCGAGGTACTGAACTAATTATTGCAAAATTTGTTTGATCACAAGTATTTCTGATTTCATTTGTTAGTATTTCAACCATAGTTCCCGTCAAAGGGATCTTTAAGCTTGTGAGAAGTGTGCTACATTTAGTATTTCCAATTTCAGATCATTCGAATCGTCGCCAATATTGCCATCAACACGGACATAGGAAAATCTATGAACGAGCAGTACGGATTGCAATTAATCGACGAATTCTTAAAGGTTTTGATTAGTAACCCGTTCAAAAAGAACGACGAGCTTATATTATCGGTCTTGAGCACACTAAACAATTTGTCTTATTACTACACGGCCGAATTCGATCGAGACATTTTTCACATCAAACAGGTCGATATAATGGAAGGTACGAACTGTAATTTTCTTCTTGCTGTATCTAAATTCTACTGTTGTAGCAATAAGTGAATACGTAAATTGCCAAAATGTCGACTGTGTCATCGAGGCCATACGAATATTAGGGAACTTATCGCGGTCGAAAATTACGCGTAGTTACGTGATTCAAAAAAACATCTTCAGTCAACTTATTAAGATCTTGGACGAAGATAATTTAAATCTACTAAAAACGACCGTTGGTGTCTTTGTCAACTTAATGGCGGACAACAAGAATCGTGTACTGTTCAAAAACAGCGGGGGGACTGGCAAACTAATACGGATACTTAACCAGTATGGGTCGTACGACTGGGTGTTGACCATGCTCATCTGTCAAGTGTTGTGGAACTTTTGTATCGACACCGTTAACTTGTACGAGCTGATTTCCGATAACGAAATGCAACAGTTGTTATCCATTTTGGCAGACTTTTTAGGTGATGCCATAGAATCTTGTTGTACGTTAAATCGAGTCATGCTTGTAGATGAAGAGAAATTGTTCGGTATAACGGATACAAACGAAGACTTAGAAATTTACTCTGCGCCTGATTACATGATTTGGGAGGAGTTTGCGAATGTCGCTACAAACTTACTGGAAAAAATCGAACATTTTTTGGACACTTTGGAGCAGATAGAGTCCGCCGGTAATATTAAAACGAAGGATTCGAATACAAATCTTAGTTTTGCTGCGTGGTAATTATATAGTAATAGTGCATACATTTTTTATTAAAGATATTGTTATTGGTTGATGTTTGATTAATAAATTTTAATAAAAGTATTTATTTTTAATTGCCAAGTCAATACATTTAACAGGAATTTTGGCTTTTCAGATAAAAAAAAATTATTCATAACATCTGACGATTGATATTATTAAGAACAATCGTTTTAAAAAATAATTGAAATAATTGTCGAGTTGTAAAAAGTGAAATAAAACATTCTTTGTTCGTATTAAATTTAATTCTCATTGGAATTTGAATCAAATATAAATAGGTAATTGTAAAGGATAGGAATTCTATTCCATTCGCAGGGGAGCCCGATTGGGCAGCACTTAGGCACACCTGAGGCCCATTGTGCCTACCCCCTTTCTTTCGCAACTGAGTTCAGAGCCTGTTCCTCCGCTTAAGTTGCTTCACCCTTCCCGGTTCCAGATAGCTGTCTCCAAGAAGTTGATGTCTGTGCCAGATCAAAGCGTCACAGTGACGACCCCACATGCTCTGTAGTTTCATCCGCCTCGCAAAGACCTGGACGTGGGCTCTTCCAACCTTACTTTTTTCCAAAAATCGACTGCACCAAAATTTCTCGGGAAAACAATTCGTACATTTTCGATCAGACTTTTCAATCAAAAGTTATGGACTAGAAACCAATTTCAAAAGAAAATTCAAAGGGCTGTAACTTTTGTAACCTTTGGATAATATGATCCCGATACAGAATGGCAAATTTTTAAATCGAAATTAAGCTTTGAAATAACTCATAGTGATAGAAAAAGACCTCTTCGTGAGTTCTGTTCTCCTAGTAGCAAGACACCTTTTACGTAAGTTTGTCTACAAAGAACAGGTGTATTTGGGACTGAAAGACCTCCTTTCACGTTATATCTTCCTGATACCTACCAAATTTGCAAGTGTTTTCGGCAAAGTGCGAAGGACCAGGTGCTTATTGTACTGTAATCTTCCTATCAGGTTTGTTATTGGGGAGGAAAATAAAGTACCAACTTCTGTAAATAATTTTTATATTGAAAACTGTACAAACAAAATAAACGCATATTCTGTTCCGAGTGAATCTTGAGAGTAAATGCAGCCCATGGTAAGCTCAGAAATCTGGTATCAGGAGAATATAATGTGCGAGGAGATCGAAGGTTAAAATAAAATTTAAGTGAGGTTAGGTTAGCGTGCTAGTTAGGTTAGCTCAGAAATCTGGTATCAGGAGAATATAATGTGCGAGGAGATCGAAGGTTAAAATAAAATTTAAGTGAGGTTAGGTTAGCGTGCTAGTTAGGTTAGCTCAGAAATCTGGTATCAGGAGAATATAATGTGCGAGGAGATCGAAGGTTAAAATAAAATTTAAGTGAGGTTAGGTTAGCGTGCTAGTTAGGTTAGCTCAGAAATCTGGTATCAGGAGAATATAATGTGCGAGGAGATCGAAGGTTAAAATAAAATTTAAGTGAGGTTAGGTTAGCGTGCTAGTTAGGTTAGCTCAGAAATCTGGTATCAGGAGAATATAATGTGCGAGGAGATCGAAGGTTAAAATAAAATTTTAGTGAGGTTAGGTTAGCGTGCTAGTTAGGTTAGCTCAGAAATCTGGTATCAGGAGAATATAATGTGCGAGGAGATCGAAGGTTAAAATATAATTTAAGTGAGGTTAGGTTAGCGTGCTAGTTAGGTTAGCTCAGAAATCTGGTATCAGGAGAATATAATGTGCGAGGAGATCGAAGGTTTAATATAATTTTAGTGAGGTTAGGTTAGCGTGCTAGTTAGGTTAGCTCAGAAATCTGGTATCAGGAGAATATAATGTGCGAGGAGATCGAAGGTTAAAATATAATTTTAGTGAGGTTAGGTTAGCGTGCTAGTTAGGTTAGGTCAAAAATCTTGTATCATGATAAGGTTCGAGGAGGTGATTGAAGGTTAGGTTAGAGTGCTTGTTAGATTAGGTCAGATTAGTTTGGGCGTTTTAAATTTTTACAAATTTTGTATCTATCCTAACGCACATGAAACTTAGCTCTCAAAAGTCCTTAAAATGAACACCCATTTATAATTCTTATTTATTGCGGCGTACTCTTATGGCGATTTAACTCGTATATTGCGAACAGATGCTTTATTAAAATCGTCAAAAAATCTGTACGGACGGCCGTTCGTTCACTCGCCCTGTCCTATGGCAATCCAAAAGCGCTGACGAAAAGGAATAATACAGGAGCGAAAAGTTTAATTTTCTAGTTTCGTGGTTTACTTCTTTGACAGCGAAAGGCACAAATCCCAAAATGTTTATAGCCTTGCCTGAGTTTTTGGTAATATTAAAATAATCCAAGCAGAATACATTGTTGTGACATCTGTCTTTATTATATGGGACTAACATTTTAACGATAAATGCAGAACACTTTATTACCACCATTATTTTAGTTGCAAACTATACCTCAAAGATGTCGCCACACTTTTCTTTTTATATACTTTATGAAACTAACAATAGATGTCAGAGCGATGTTTTTAACTAGTTTTAACCATAGATATTTGAAGATATAACCTCAAATGCATAAATTTTTGTTTATAATCAAAAATTAAACTTTGTTATCATTCCTTTCTCGCTTACAGGTTTAAATTGTGGAACTGGCAACTGGGAGGGACAGGAAAGCGGGGCAGACGCGGGCATTGCGGAAAATGATACTGATCGCTCTGGGTCGTCCGATCGGAAGACTGGTAGTACTTGATGGGTGAGAAAAGTTAGCATTGAATTCAGACAACACAAATTGAAAATGGAAATGCTTTGTAACCAAAAAGCAAGACAAGGTGGAGAACTCGCAGAAAACCCATTCAAACGCAATTCAAAGTTCTCAACGTTAAAATTGGAACGATTACATGATTGCAGCAGTTACCGATGGTGTGAAACTATATGTTAAACAATTGAGCCTTGAGTTCATTCGACAGAACTAAAGTTATTAAAACGGTAGTGAAATTGGCGATGAAACGGAGCGAAAGTGTTACGCAGTTTGCAATCACGAAAAAATGTGTTGTTTGTGCGATCTTCGTGTGAAAGTTGTTGTAAAATGGTTCACTTTAATGTACCTGTATTGAAATTGTTCTTCCAAGTACTTTAAATAAACTCCCATGCATAAGAAGTTACGAATTGCAAAACCAAATGTTCCGTTTTCATTTCATTGAGCATGATGTGTTGCCTGCAAACCAGGCTACACAATTCTCGAGTACCCATATTCAAATTTAGGGATTTGCTTTAATTTTGATTATCCCCAATTAAGTACTTGAAGGACACCGTAATGACATAAGTGCTATTGCTACCCTCTGCCGAAATGTTACAAAATAGTGATCGAAACGAGCCCTTTTTTGCATAAAGGACTTACATTTGAAATCATAACATTCCGACATCTAACGTTAGTTTAATGAACTCGAAGCTCGTGTTTTAAAAGTAATCTGTTTTGTGCCAGTGGTGACATCTGTCCCTAAGCTTAAGCAACTAATATAATAATAATAAAGAGGTGCCCTACATTGATTGGTAAGATTTGAGTCCGACTTAATTACGCCAGATGTCGGAACGATATTTAAGATCAACTTTTAATTATGGAATAAACTAAAATTGTTCAATGACCCTAGTCAATAAACAAAGCTTACATATCATTTGATGTAGGTGTTCAGGTCGTTTTGTAAAGGCCAAAATGGACTACTGAGCGGACAAAATTTGATAAATATATAGCCTGGTTTGTAGGCAACACATCATACTCAATGATCGGAAAACTAATTTTCTACCATTATTGGTAATTTCTTGCAAGAGATTTCATTTAAAGTCCATAAAACCTTCGACACGTTTAGGGAAGTACTGGGAGTGACAGGAAAGCGGCAATCATCTCAACGTTAAAATCGAAGCGTTCACATGTTTGCAGCAGCTGCAGATGGTGCGAAGCTATTTTTTAAAAAATTTAGCTTCGAGGAATCATTCGATAGAACTACAGATACAAAAACGGTAGTGGAACAGGGCAAAAGTGTTACCTACGTAGTTTGCAAGCACGAAAAATGGATTGTTCTTTTTGCGAACTTCGAGTAAAAATTGTAAATCGTACCAGTGTCGAATGTTCTATCGACTTTAAACGAAATCCTGTGCAAGAAATTACGAATAACAGTAGAAAATTAGTTTTCTGTCGTATCCGACCGTTGGCTCAGTTAGTCCATTTTGGCCTTTAGAAACACTTTTTCTTATTAATTTTGGTGCGTAGAATCCAAAACGATTCGTACTTTTTCGATTAGACTTCTCAATCAAAAGTTATGGACAAAAAACCTGCAATTTCGACAAAAAATTCAAAGGGCTGTAACTATTGAGGATCGAAAAAAATTGTCAGGGATCGACCGGGAAAAAACATTTTCTTATAAAATGTGCCCTGTAGAATCAATAATTTCGATCAGTTCCAAGATTGGGCTACTAGATCATGAGTTACAGCCATTTGAATTTTTTGTCGAAATTGGTTTTTTGCCCATAACTTTTGATTGAGGCTTCTAATCGCAAAAGTTCGAATCGTTTTGGATTCTACGCACCAAAATTAATAAGAAAAAGTTTTTTCCCGACAAATTTTGGTGTAGTCGATTTTTGGTAAAAAAGAAAGGTTATACACTGCCTTTTTCTGAGCCAGAAAAAAAAATTGTCTCAGATCGATCGGGAAAAGACATTTTCTTATAGAATGTGCCCTGTAGAATCAATAATTTCGATCAGTTCCAAGATTGGGCTACTAGATCATGAGTTACAGCCATTTGAATTTTTTGTCGAAATTGGTTTTTTGCCCATAACTTTTGATTGAGACGTCTAATCGAAAAAGTACGAATCGTTTTGGATTCTACGTACCCAAATTAATAAGAAAAAGTGTTTTCCCGAGACATTTTGGACTAGTCGATTTTTGGTAAAAAAGGAAGGAAATTCGACTGCCCCAAAAATTTTACGGGAACATTTTTTCCTATCAATTTAGTTTCATAGATTCCAAAACGTCTCGTATTTTGTCGATTGGTCAAATATTGCAGGATAAGACACATTTCTCCAAATAAAAAGAACGATTTGTAATTTATTTTTACAAGTTTACAATGAACCAAACAGTTTATATTTACACTACGTGTTGCGCTAAAGAAAAAGCTCTTTTCCAAAACAATTTTTCACATTTAACCGATAATGATACCAACTCCTAACCGAAACTGATTTTTGTTATGGTTCATCAATCCGCTGAGTGCCAGTGTAAAAGGTAAAGGTGTCAATTTCTTCTCTAAGACGGCGCCGACCGCCCAATTCGAATCTATGTGACCCTTGAAGACCACGTCGCTTTTAGGTATGTCCACTTGATAGGCGATCGATGCGACCGACTCCTGCATTCTACTATTCGCTTCTAATTCTACGCCGATTTGTAACTGCTTACTCGCCTTTTGGTAGTAGCATAAATGAATACCTGTAAGTCCTAAAGTGCCCGACATTGTAATGCTGTCGTTTGTATACCTGCAAGTTGACCGTTAAGACTAATTTTGCACGAGCAGATGAAAACCTACCTTGCAGCCGCGCTCAGCATGGCAATTTCACCACCGGGAATCGCGGAACCCTTCTGGTACGCGAGTTCGGTGCCCAACGCCAAATGTGACGTGACCGACTGTAAATAATGTAAAACCACAACGCCCGAACCGCCGACCAAATCAGGATTGGCGACGGTCGCGCTCGCCGTGTAATCGGCCCCTCGGTAATTCAGCGTGAACTGGCTTACTGTAAACTTCGAGTTTTGCACCTGAAAGGAAAAATGCGATTACGATGAATCGGCTCACCCGAAACATACCTGCGCGCCAAATTTTCCCTGCAAATTAGGCCTAAGTTGGTGAATGATGGTGGCGTTTAAATTGCCAGACGGATCTATATCTCCTAACATAATCGGATAGGCCTCCGTGGGCGAGATCTGTTTGGTACCTACGTAAGTCGCGCCGAACCGATAACCGCTTGGCGTAATCGAGCTCATGTTTATCGTGTGCGATATTTGAAAGTGATTGCTAAGACCTCTCGTAAGCATAACTCGAGCCCCCTCGAAGCAAGTCGGGAATACATCTACGGGCATGAAACGTATAGGTTATGTTTGCAAAATTGTTACCCAAGTACTTTTGCACTTCTGGTGTATCTCTTCCAATGGGCCTGGGTTTTCCACTTGAGCGGATGGTGTCTCTAAACATACAGGACTTACACCTGGAGGTGGAGTTGGCGGCGCCGGCGGTGGTCCCGAGGCTGCGTGTACGTTACCCATTTTTCTCACGGTTAATTTTTTGTTTATTAATTAAATACGGCACAATTAACGATCACTAGGGTTTACGTTTAAATTAACTAAAGGAATGGGTCTAGAATTGCGGTTTATTGATAAAATTCTATGGAACACATTTTGAGCAAACTTCAAAATGACGGAAACAGGCGACTGTAAGATCGACATTGTTGTACGTTACCTTCATTCATTTAGAGATGGCGCGCATGTTTATTACTATTTGAAAATGTTAGCGCCTTTGAACTCCGGGAGTTTTTAAAATGTTCTCCCATTAAAATTTCTTACACATTTTAGGCCCTTTGGATTCTGAATTACGATAGGAGGGTGAATAGGGTCCACGCGTACCTAAGCCTAGCAGGACTGCTCGCTACGTGTTTCTCCAAGGAGATGTTTGTAAACCTTGTGGTTGCGATAATCTATTTGGACGGCTACCTTGCAGTTAATTTCAAGCGCCCCAATGTTCCCAAACTCCTACCAGTTCGAAACCAGCCCGGCAGAGTTGATGACGCTGGTGCCACTGACCACAAGTTGCCTTGGCAACATGGGCGGTGATGCTTCCGTAGCCTCTGGTTTTGTTGTGGTGGTTGTACTGACGTACTCCCCCCCCCCCTCCACCTAATCAGGTTCGAGAGGGTTACTAACCCTCACCCTTACAAAGGAAACCCCATCAACTATCAGTCTCCCTTGACGTTGACACCAACCGCCTACATTTTCCCAAGCGCCGATTGATCGCCATCAGGTTTTTAGATTCCCCCGGGACCCAGATTGCAGCCTTGCGGAGGTTGCCAACCATCTCCTTCAGCCACTCAAGAGAATGGTTGTTCTGGCACGATATCCTTAGGATCTCACCCTAGAACCTCCACCTCCTGAACGTGGGTGTTAGTGTAGCACCTTTAGCGCGAACAGATGCTGGTGAAGGACCTTGACCAGGTGCTTTTTGTACCATATCTGTCTGGTTAACCGGTAGACCTTACCCAGAGCGTTATTAATATCTTTGATCGCTACCTTGAGTTACTTTTCGACAGCTTGCTTGTAGCTACTTCGCGGTGCTCCCCGCCTTTAGTTGGGTCTGTGTTCTGCCCTTCGTCGACGGTTGGGTGGGTGTTGAGCCATCCGACCTCTACCTCTTTTTCTCTCCGCCTACCAGTTTGCCTGCCTGACCGGAGTTAGCTCTAGGAGCCTGCCTCTGGGTCAGGGTTGTATCAAGGGAGGTGGTTGGCACTGCAGTTTGATCCGTTTGGGCGAGCCTAGCCCTGTTTCTCCTCATTTGCTCAGCGCCGGAGATGCGCTTCCGCAGTTTCGATTGTTTTTGATGCTTGGTGCCTTGGTGATGAAGGGTTTCCGGGGTCGCTCTCTCTGGTTTATTAAGTTTGTCGATCTCCATGTTAGAAGAAAATGAGTTTCTTCCCTCTGGATCCCACCCACGCTCCAGAATTTCGAGGGAGCAGTTGGTATGAGCTCTGTGCTTTGTAACCGGATCCGTATAACTCTTCAGAAGTTCGGGCGAGGGGTTGATTTATGCCGATCTCGCCTTCGGCACGCTGGGAATTGGGTGTTTTGTGACCGGAATCATATAACGCCCCAGAATTTCGGGTGAGCGGTTATCTCCGGTCGATGTGATAAAAGGTTTCCTTATCACTAATTAGTTTCAAGACAAGCACGTGGTATAGCCGAAGAAAGCAGATGTGGGTTATTCGAAAACGTAGTAATTTTGTAATGGAATGGAATGCTGGACGTTAAAACGTAGCCGTTGTTTCTGTTTTGGTGTTCGGCAGTATAAAGATGGTGCCGTTCCTATGCGTCTGTCTCTGTCCCTTTAAAACTGTCTCATTATTTGCTTCTGTTTACCTTTTCATATCTGTGTCTGTTTCTGTTTCTCTCCTTCAGTCTGTTCCTTTTCCAGTTTATGTCTTTCTTTTGACAACTATTTGCCCTTGTTCGTCTCCGTCTGATTCTGTTTCGATTTGGCTTTGTGCACCTCTGCTTCTTCCTGTCCGCCTCTTTCTATCACTGTGGGACTCCGTTCGTCTCTGTCCTTCTCCGTTTACCCCTGTCTCTCTCATCTTCATCTGCCTCTTACTCTCAGCTTGCCTCTCTCCGTTTCCGTTTCCATTCTTTCCGTCTCCGTTCACCTCTATTACACTCTGTTTATTTCTTTCCTTCGGTCGGTATTTTTTGTCTGCGTCTGTCTGTCCCTATCTATCTGTCTGTTTCTTTTTCTTCCCGTTTACCTGTATGATGACGAAGAGAGACAGATGTAGATACATGATGTATTTATAGTTTTCTGTCTCCGTCTACTCCCATTTGGCTCTGCCCATTCTGATTCAGACTAACCCTTCCCGTCTTTGTATTTCTCTTTATATCTCGCTTTGTGCCTCTGTTTATAAGAATGTGTCAATCCGTATTCGTCTGCCTCTGCCCCTTCCAGGCTGTTTATACTTTTCCCACTGCCTGTTTCTAACTCTCTCTCTCGCAGTTTGACCTTTTTTTGGCTACGTATGTCTTTGATTAGCATTATCTGCCTTCCTTTACCCCTGTCGAACCTGCCTGCGCCTGTCTCTGACTGATTGTCTCTACCTGTTTTTGTCACTCTTTGCCTGTGTGTGTGTCTCACTCATATCAGTCCGTCGCTCTGTTTATCTTTATCGGTGCTTGTATCTCACTTTATCTGTCTCGTTTCGATTCGTGGTTCCTTTTTTCTTTCCGCATGACGTATACTCTCTCAGCTTTCCGTTGGTCTCCCTATCTCTCAGTCGCTGTTTGTCCCTGCCTACCTCTGTCTGTTTTCTTTTCTTTCGTTATGTATCTATTTACCTTCGTCTATGCTGTGCATATATTTGGCCTCTGTCTCCTTCTGCCTGCGTTTGTATTGGTCGGTATAGGTCTGTGTTAGTTGGTCTTCTGTCTCCGTTTCTTTTGCTTTCAGTTTGTCTCTTTCTCGTTCTGTCCCTGCTCGTCCGTCTACAGGCCTATTTTAAAAAAGGCGAGTACGCCACGAATTGACTTACCCCATCAGACATTTTTACTTTTGGGGGAGAACAGCACAGGGACGGTAAAACCAGCCCAGAAGGAACAGGGGAGGGGTGGTACAGTAAAAGATACCAAATGAACGCAGGCTTGGGAATTTGACAAAACAGGGAGGAGAAACAGGCAGAAGAAGAAAACGGGAGGACAATATGGACAGCGGAGGACGGGACGAGCGCAGACAAGAATAGGGGAGGACATGAGCACCCAGAAGAAGGCAGGAGCGCACGTGATAAGATGGGAGACAAGGAGATAACAGCAGTAGGAGACGACAGAAAAGGACGTGCAAGAGCTGGTGAAGAACAATCGATGACAGATGAGAGCTATAGAGAATAGAAGACGGTAAGAGAAAACAGTAAAATCCAGAAGATGCCAAAAAAGGACAGGAAGCGAACGGACGGGAGCAGAAAAGGCAAGGGGAGGTAGAAGAAAGCTGAAGATTCCTAATGTTCTTCGAAGTCCTGGAATTCCATTGATCATTTTTTATGCTTGTCTATTTCCTGGACTCAGTTCTTCACTCATTCGATTCTCCGTTTTCCTCAAATTCTTCTCAGTTTCAGACCGACAGGAGATGTTCGTTTATTAAATGTGGACGCTGACCTTGCGGCGTTGCCACTACTGGGAGCTTTTTGGCGCTATTTTGTTCTTTGTTCTATGCGCCACTTTGCTTCTTGAAACCACCGTAATCTGTTCGGAATTCCGGTTTAGGCCGCACCAGGGTATTGTGGAAGTAACCCTGGTTTTTTAAAATTGGTGAAATCGCCAAACCTAGAAGGGGTGACACTAATACACTAATTTTATTTGGAATCCACAGATCACAGAAATTCTGCAATTATTGTATAGAAATTGTCATGTATACTTTAAACAAACTACTGATGTAAATTACGTGCAGTCTCCGAACGAGGGTCCAGGTACCCACGCCTGGGGTTTTTTGGTTTTGTTCTTCGGCTGTGTTCTTTTCTTCGTTGTCTGCAGCTTTTTGTGCTGTTGGGCACTTACCTGCTGTAATCTTCACAACGTGTGCAAAATGAAATAAGGCGAAAAATGTATTTCATTTGTATTATAAAAAACGTCTCTTACAAATTTATTGCAAAACAAATAAAGAGAAGAAAAGGAAGAGTAAGAAGAAGAAGAAGAGGAAATAAGTCGATTGAAATAGGAATGTCGTATATTAATCAACATTTATAAAATATTTTAAATTGTAACAAACATGACTAGATTCATACTGATTTCACAAATAAATGACAATGAGCAGCGTTTGACGCGCACGGTGGTGTAGGGTGGGGCGAGGGTGCGAGGGGGGCCGGACCCCACGCTGACCGGAGCCCCGCAAACCAAACAACAATAACATTAACGTACACTATTAATGCCGGCTTGATACAAATAAACAAATCACTGTCCCGTGTTTCTCTTTTTTTTGGTTTAATTATTGATTTATCTACACAGTAATGATTATTATTTAGTAGTAGCTTCAAATTCGATTTAAGTAGTTGTATTAAATATTGCGAAAAGCGAGCGCGGCTGGTCGCGGGCCGGCCATCAGAAATGTCCCGGACCTCGCAGTGTTGCCACGATCGCCTGGCCTAGGATATGTCGAACGAAGGAGCTACAAGCCGGAAGCAGCGGGGTCGGGACGCGGCGGTCGCACGCGGCATAACGGTGGGTGGATATGTAGTAACAAGGGCTAAAGCTAATCCAACTCTAGGTAAGCTTCACACAGCCCAAAAATACAAGCACTTAAAACAGTGCTGAACTAAGAAAGTTCGGTGTGAGCACTACACAGCATTCGTTCATCGCGTCGCGGCGATGGTTTTTTTTTTTAAATTTATTTTGGCAGGATATCTCACCCAAAAACAACCGTAGTAGAAAAGAAAGTACTGTAAATTGGATAATATCGTAGTAATTCGGAGAGCGTCCGGAGCACTGCGCGCACACACTTTGGCAAGAGGGACGGTGGGGCGCGTTGACGACGACAGGGCAGCCTTGATGGGCGCAGCGCATCCGTCACTGAAACAAAAAAAAGACACATGTCAAAAGTCTGAGCTAAAAATCGCACAAATATGCGCAGGCGCATGTTTTCCGTTATGCGCTACGCACACTAAAACTATGTAAAGCGCCCTAGGCATCTCGGCTGGAAGTAATATCATAGGCGCATATTTTTGACTATGCGTCGCTGAAATTCGTAGCTTCGAAGAGTAAGACATCTTAATCGGATGTACGAGTAGTAGCGTTTTCTGGCTGTGCGCCACTAAAAGGAACGCGCACACTACAGAAAACGGTTTGATACCGATATTACAACACAATAGGCGCATAACATATATCTGTGATTAAGCGCATACTACAAACCTAAGCTCGCCATAAGCGCATAACTTGACTATGCGCTAGACATCAAGGACAAATGGCAAGAGGGTCGTTGTGACTTGCGTTTCCATGACACTGGTGGCGCAATAAGTAAATAAAGAGGACTTTAAAAACTGCCTAGGGCTGATGTGATATGCCCAAAAACGTAGCACTGGGGGGTTTGGGAAGTATGGAATGGCCTTTTTCGAACAACTCAGGAGAATCCGGAGCACACTCAATATTTTGGGGAAACACGTACCTCTAGCACCGGAGGGAATGCTCCACAAGAAATGAATATTTGAGGACCCTGTCACGCTAGCTTTCAGGGAAAGGTAACCGATTTTCTCCTGCGTTGGGGAATATTGCTGGCTGGGGGGTATTGGAATACCCCCCATTGTGCTTAGCATTTAACGTTTTGGGAAAAAAAACTTCGCACCGTGGGGGTCTCCCCCCAGGAAAAGCAAAATTTGGTGGGCCCTTTCTAAAAAACTATCATGAGAATACTGAATATTTTCAATGGCGTCTGAGGGAATATTCCTAAGGAAATGAAGATTCGATGACCCTACTGACGCTAGTTTTCGGAAAAAGGCAATTGATTTCTCCTGTGTTGGGGAGTGTTGGTTGGCTGAAGGGTTTTCCATACCTCCCCTCCACCCCCAAACCCCGTGGTGCTTCAGGCTTTTGCCGGGGATGGGGGGGGGGTGGTGGTAGTGATTTGATTTGATGACCCCGTCACGCTAGCTTTCAGGAAAAGGGAATAGATTTTTCATATGCTGGGGAGTATTGTTAGATGTGGGGTATTCCATGCCCCTCAAACCCCACTGTGATCAGGGTTTAAAGTTTTGGGGGGGGGGGGGGGGAATAATGATTTGATGACACTGTCGCGCTAGCTTTTGTGGAAAGGGTAATCGGTTTCTTCTGTGTTGAGGAGTATTGTTGGCTGGGGATTATTCCACTCCCCGGTGTTTAGGGCTTAAAGTTTTAGAAAGAAAACGTAGCACCGGAAGCATTTGGGGAGTAGGTATAGAATACCCACTAGAAAGAAGAAAATTTGATGGGCCCTTCCCGAAAAACTAATCATGAAAATCCTGAATAGTTTCAACATTAACACCGGGGGGAGTACTCCTCAGAAGGTGAAGTTTGATTTACCTAATTACAAATTTACGGAAAATGATTAGAGGGTCGTTGTGAGATCCTTCTTTTTGGTATTGGTTACGCACGAGGTAAAGAAAGTGACTGTAAAGGATGGAAAGGGGAGCAAAAGTGGTAAACTTGATGGAAAATGGACTAGGCGGGTGTGGTCACATCCAAATTCTTGGTGATTGGTGGCGCTAGAAGTAAAAAAGAGATCTTCAAAGGGTGGAAGATAATCGAGAATGGATAGAGGGTTGTTTTGGTATGTCGATTTTTGGTATTGGTGACGCAAGAAGTAAAGAAAGTGACTGTAAAGTGTGGAAAGGGGAGGGAAAGTGGTAAACTTGATGGAAAATGGACTAGGCGGGGGTGGTCACATCCAAATTCTTGGTGATTGGTGAAGCAAGAAGTAAAAAAGAGATCTTCAAAGGGTGAAAAATAATGGAGAATGGTTAGAGGGTTGTTTTGGTATGTCCATTTTTGGTATTGGTGGCGCAAGGAGTAAAAAAGAGATCTTCAAAGGGTGAAAAATAATGGAGAATTGTTAGAGGGTTGTTTTGGTATGTCCATTTTTGGTATTGGTGGCGCAAGAAGTAAGAAAGAGATCTTCAAAGGATGAAAAATTAAGGAGAATGGTTAGAGGGTTGATTTGGCATGTCCATTTTTCGTATTGGTGACGCAAGAGGTAAAGAAAGTGACTGTAAAGGATGGAAAGGAGAGCGAAAGTGGTAAACTTGGTAGAAAATGGACAAGGCGGGTGTGGCCACATTCAAATTCTTGGTGAATGGTGGCGCAAGAAGTAAAAAAGGTATCTTCAAAGGGTGAAAAATAATGGAGAATGGTTCGAGGGTTGTTTTGATATGCCCATTTTTGGTATTGGTGGCGCAAGAGCTAAAGAAAGTGACTGTAAAGGGTGGAAAGGGGAGCGAAAGTGGTAAACTTGATGGAAAATGGACTAAGCGGGTGTGGTCACATCCAAATTCTTGGTGATTGGTGAAGCAAAAAGTAAAAAAGAGATCTTCAAAGGTTGCAAAATAATGGAGAATGGTTAGAGGGTTGTTCTAGTATGTCCATTTTTGGTATTGGTGGCGCAAGAAGTAAAAAAGAGATCTTCAAAGGTTGCAAAATAATGGAGAATGGTTAGAGGGTTGTTTTGGTATGTCCATTTTTGGTATTGGTGGCGCAAGAAGTAAAAAAGCGATCTTCAAAGGTTGCAAAATAATGGAGAATGGTTAGAGGGTTGTTTTGGTATGTCCATTTTTGGTATTGGTGGCGCAAGAAGTAAAAAAGAGATCTTCAAAGGTTGCAAAATAATGGAGAATGGTTAGAGGGTTGTTCTAGTATGTCCATTTTTGGTATTGGTGGCGCAAGGAGTAAAAAAGAGATCTTCAAAGGTTGAAAAATAATGGAGAATGGTTAGAGGGTTGTTTTGGTATGTCCATTTTTGTTTTTGGTGACGCAAGAAGTAAAAAAGTGATCTTCAAAGGGTGAAAAATAATGGAGAATGGTTAGAGGGTTGTTTTGGTATGTCGATTTTTGGTTTTTTTTGGAGAATGGTTAGAGGGTTCTTTTGGTATGCCCATTTTTGGTATTGGTGACGCAAGAAGTAAAAAAGGGTGAAAAATAATGGAGAATTGTTAGAGGGTTGTTTTGGTATGTCGATTTTTGGTTTTTTTTGGAGAATGGTTAGAGGGTTCTTTTGGTATGCCCATTTTTGGTAATGGTGACGCAAGAAGTAAAAAAGAGATCTTCAAATGGTGAAAAATAATGGAGAATGGTTAGAGGGTTGTTTTGGTATGTCGATTTTTGTTTTTGGTGACGCAAGAAGTAAAAAAGTGATCTTCAAAGGGTAAAAAATAATGGAGAATGGTTAGAGGGTTGTTTTGGTATGTCCATTTTTGGTAATGGTGACGCAAGAAGTAAAAAAGAGATCTTCAAATGGTGAAAAATAATGGAGAATGGTTAGAGGGTTGTTTTGGTATGTCAATTTTTGGTTTTGGTGACGCAAGAAGTAAAAAAGGGATCTTCAAAGGGTGAAAAATAATGGAGAATTGTTAGAGGGTTGTTTTGGTATGTCCATTTTTGGTAATGGTGACGCAAGAAGTAAAAAAGAGATCTTCAAATGGTGAAAAATAATGGAGAATGGTTAGAGGGTTGTTTTGGTATGTCGATTTTTGGTTTTGGTGACGCAAGAAGTAAAAAAGGGATCTTCAAAGGGTGAAAAATAATGGAGAATGGTTAGAGGGTTGTTTTGGTATGTCCATTTTTGGTATTGGTGACGCAAGAGGTAAAGAAAGTGACTGTAAAGGGTGAAAAGGGGAGCAAAAGTAGTAAACTTGATGGAAAATAGGCTAGGCGGGTGTGGTCACATCCAAATTCTTGGTGATTGGTGGCGCAAGAAGTAAAAAAGAGATCTTCAAAGGGTGAAAAATAATGGAGAATGGTTAGAGGGTTGTTCTGGTATGTCCATTTTTTGTATTGGTGACGCAAGAAGTAAAAAAGAGATCTTCAAAGGGTGAAAAATAATGGAGAATGGTTAGAGGGTTCTTTTGGTATGTCGATTTTTGGTTTTTTTTGGAGAATGGTTAGAGGGTTCTTTTGGTATGCCCATTTTTGGTATTGGTGACGCAAGAAGTAAAAAAGGGTGAAAAATAATGGAGAATTGTTAGAGGGTTGTTTTGGTATGTCGATTTTTGGTTTTTTTTGGAGAATGGTTAGAGGGTTCTTTTGGTATGCCCATGTTTGGTATTGGTGACGCAAGAAGTAAAAAAGGGTGAAAAATAATGGAGAATTGTTAGAGGGTTGTTTTGGTATGTCCATTTGGGGTATTGGTGACGTAAGAGATAAAGAAAGTGACTGTAAAGCGTGGAAAGGGGAGCAAAAGTGGTAAACTTGATGAAAATGGACTAGGCGAGTGTGGTCACATCCAAATTCTTGGCGATTGGTGGCGCAAGAAGTAAAAAAGAGATCTTCAAAGGGTGAAAAATAATGGAGAATGGTTAGAAGAGGGTTGTGTTTTGGTAAGTCCATTTTTGGTACTGGTGACGCAAGAAGTAAAAAAGAGATCTTCAAAGAGTGAAAAATAATGGAGAATGGTTAGAGAGTTGTTTTGGTATGTTCACTTTTGGTATTGGTGACGCAAGAAGTAAAAAAGGGATCTTCAAAGGGTAAAAAATAATGGAGAATTGTTAGAGGGTTGTTTTGGTATGTCCATTTGGGGTATTGGTGACGTAAGAGATAAAGAAAGTGACTGTAAAGGGTGAAAAGGGGAGCAAAAGTGGTAAACTTGATGGAAAATGGACTAGGCGGGTGTGGTCACATCCAAATTCTTGGTAATTGGTGGCGCAAGAAGTAAAAAAAGATCTTCAAAGGGTGGAATTTAACTCCGTAAACTATGCCCCTGCACAGAGAAGGGCCTGTACACAAGCGCATATTTTTAATTATTCGCCGCTAAAATTAATGCTCCCGAACTATTCCTTATGCGGGCAAGTAGGCACAAACCATGCACTGTTTTAGTTCTAAAATTACGTCCGCATGTTCCAATATTTTACATCCTGTAAGAAGAAGAATTCATATTATAATTAAGAGCCAGTTATGCGCCGCTTCAATTGCAATTACGTAATTCACATCTCCTAAAACTTATTAATAAAGGTGCGTCCATATGGTGCGGACAATTGGACCGCTTAGATCATTTCGAGTCAAAAATTTTAACGTCGGCGCACAATGGCAGGAGCAAGGTCGTGTTCGGGCGCCAATGTGTAAGTGACGATCATTTTCCCAAAAGAAGCTAAACTGTACGAGATAAGCGTCAGGAACGAACTCCACCAATAAGAGAAACGGAAAAAGCGGCGAATGTATCGGATCGATTGCGCTTTCGTGCGTGTCGTCGTCGATGGCAGGTAAATGAGAAATTGTAACGGATTTTGAGTTTGTAACAAAGTGGCATATCGGCGTGGTCCAGGGTCAGGGAGGGTTTATACCGTGTATATCGAGCGGTCGCAGGAAGACAGAAGGGAGGCGGCGTGCGGTAGCTATGGCAACGGGCTAGCGACGTCAGGCCGTCTGTTCGTGTAATGCCCTGACCTTTTGCGCGGTCATCGTCGGCGGAAGAATTTACCTCGTAGTCAGACGTCAGTCTCGATGCTCATGGCGTTAATGTTGTTATTATGTCGTGGATTGCAGTTCTGCTTTCGCGCGAGCTGATCTCTAGTCACCAGTAGACCTTCTTCGAGATCGACGAGGTCGGACGAGGATTCGCTGAGGGAGCTCTTCTTCATGTGCTGGCCGAGGGTGCCCGGTAGGTAGGGACAGCTGGTCACGTGGTTGAAGTTCTGCGATTGCATCTCCTCCTGATCCGTCTCGCGATGGTAGAAGTAGTTGAAGTTGGAGACTATGACGGGCACCGGCAAGGCGATGGTTAGCACACCGGCGATGGCACATAAGGAACCCACAATCTTCCCCCATACTCCGACGGGCCTGCGAATGATGACGAGCGTAAGTAACACGGTCTCGACTGTCACAAAACGGCATGCAAAATGCAAAAAAGCAACACAAACACAAGCAGCAAGGATAACGTGGTGTTGAAGAGGGATGGTGAGTAATCAGCGGGGGGTGACGCGAAACGCATGCGGGAGGGTTCGAGCGTTAGGCATTCCATTTAGAAAATTCTTTGTTCCTTAGCTCGGTAAAGTAGAACAGTAACAAGCAGCAACATCGAGGGGCACGACATAGCGGCACAGTGACATTTAAGGTGTCGGAGTACAGTTGTCGGCGTAGTCGCGCGCAGCATCCCGGAGCAAAGAATTTTCTGGTGGCGACAGCGGCTGTCCCGCTCTCTACGTGTAAGCTACGGTGGAGGCAACTAAATCTGAATTAGATGTGTACATCATACGTCATGTCGCCGTAGCCAACGGTGGTCATCGTCACCACGGCCCACCAGAACGCGTCTGGGATGGATTTAAAGAAGGACTGCTCGGAGCCCGCCTCGGCGAAGTAGACGGCACTCGAAAACAGCACGACACCTGCAAGGAGGAGGAGGGGTGAGTGGTCGGAGTACGGACAGCGTACCTCATGTCGCCGTAGCCCACGGTGGTCATTGTGACTACGGCCCACCAGAAGGCATCCGGAATCGACTTGAAGAAAGACTGCTCGGAACCGGCCTCGGCAAAGTAAACGGTACTGGAGAAGAGCACGACCCCTGTAACATACCAGAAACTCGCCGCTGAGAGACAGGAGATGGCTTGGTCCAGTACCCAATTACATAATCAAAATGATAAAAAAAGACCGCTTGAAAATTTCGATAAAATCCTACAACAGGCATCGGTTCTCTCTTTGAACAAAAAGAAAAAGAATCGCTTAAAGTGATTAGTAAATGTCAAATGCCTGTCATAAGCTAAAATGAAGGGAACTTACCGATAAAAAGGAAGAATATAAGGAGGCCGAGCTCGCGCATGCTGGCCTTAAGCGTTCGTCCGAGGATCTGTAGCCCCTTGCTGTGTCGACTGAGCTTAAATATTCGGAAGACTCGGACAAGCCTAATAACGCGGAGAATCGCCAACGACATGGCTTGGTTGGTGCTTTTATCTTGAGGGGAGACCGGAGCGCGCGGTAAGTTCAAGGTATCTTCTTCTTCGGCGACCACCGTGGCCAGGGTGATGAAATAAGGAATGATGGCGATGATGTCGATCATGTTCATTACGTCCCGGAAGAAGTTGAGCTTATTGGGGCACGCGAGGAAGCGCACAGTCAGCTCGAATGTAAACCAAATAATACAAATAGTTTCGATGAGGAAGAATGGATCCGTAATGTCGGGAACCTCATCCTCCTCGATCTTTGTGCGGTTCGCCGTCGTATTGTACACCTTGTAGTGCTTGAATTCGGGCAGCGTCTCCAGGCAGAATATGACGATGGACAGTAGAATGACGAATACGGATATAATAGCAACCACACGTGCTGCTTGCGAAGACTCGGGATATTCGAACAGCAACCACACGTTACGCTGGAATTCGTGAGAAGGCAACGGCTTCTCTTCCTCCTTAATGAAACCCTCGTCCTCCCGAAACTTGTTGATGGCCAGCTCGCCGAGCTCGTAGAACTTGATCTCCTCCGAGAATACATCTAGTGGCACGTTGACGGGTCGCCGAAGTCGACCGCCGCTCTGGTAATAGTAGAGGATGGCGTCGAAGCAAGGCCGGTTGCGGTCAAAGAAGTACTCGTTCCGCAGCGGGTCGAAGTACCGAATTCGGCGGGCCGGGTCGCCTAACAGCGTGTCAGGAAATTGGTTTAAAGTCCGAAGCTGCGTTTCGAACCGGAGGCCGCTTACCTGCAAGCACAAAAATTCACAAATTACAATCGCAATATTACAACCATCGTGCGCTGATCAACTAAATTTCATAGTTATTTGAGCGTGATCTTTGTCTGTTAAAAGTTTCGAAATCAAACTTGTGTAGATTTTTAAAGGCTCTAAAACCCGCTCCTAAAGACCAAGATTCGGGAAGGCTCTTGGTAACTAAATGTCTATAAAAGCTTCTTGCGAACTCTTGAAAACTTTTGGGGACTTCCAATAAATTCCTGGAAGGTTACACCCATAAAGGTTATTAAAAATTCTTGAAGATACTTTAAACAAAAACTCATGAAAGCTCTTACGGAAGTAAGTACCTCTTAAAGGCTGTTCTCTAGGTGACTTTTTAGGCACCTTTAGTATCCATCAAAAGTCATCAAGGGCGTTTTTTACGACTATTCAAAGTTAGGGTTGCAAACTTAAAGACGCTGAAAGGCCCCTACAAGTTACATGACTATTAAAGATTGTACAAGCGTCCGAGAGACTTCTACAAACTTTTGTAGAATCCCAGTTACGGGCTAATAAATATCTTTAAAAGTTCTGCTCTTAAAGATACTTAAAAGCTGTTTAAAATTTATTTATCTATTTATTTATTATTCCTCTCTTGTTCTGGACCCAATTACAGAGCGACCCGCATAATGCTTTTTAGAGGTGCCTCTGCAGAAGGTCTTAAGTTGTTCTATACTACTCCGGTATTTACCTTACGAATTAAGAAAACTGCAGGAAAACCTAATTCGGAGTAGCCGGCAGAATGCTCGAAACTGGTCTAAGGTAATTCCCATCTCTGCCACAGATGAAAAATTCACCTCAACCCAGGTTCGAACACCCGACCTCCGGATTTATAGCCCAATGCTCTACCACTGAACCATAAAGCCGGTGTAAATCCTTAAAGGTTCTCAAATATGCATATAGGCTCTTAGGAGAGAACCTCGAGGAGTCTGTCAATACCCTCAAGGACAAATAAAGTTTCAAACATTTGGAAAGATCGAGGAAATTCTCAGATAGATTCGAAAAAATCGGAAGGACTACGGGAAGGTCATGAAGAGGTTCATCTTATGGGCTGTTAAAAACTCTTTAAAGCCCAAGGAAGCTCCTTAGGGGTCTCCTCCAAAGCTTAGTGATCAAGAACTCCTAAAGACTAAGGCTTGGAAGGGATCTGAAAACCTCTTGCCGACCTTTGTGAAGTCTTTTAAGAACTCTTCAAACAGAGAGAAGTTCTTAAAGGGATCCGCTCTTAAAGATTCTTTAATATTTTATAAAGCACTTAAAGATGACCCTTATAAACTGCGAAGATTAAGGGAAGGCCGCTAAGAAGCTTTACGACAATTCATAAACATTCGGTCAGACAGATTCAGGAAGGGCTAGGAGCATCAAGAATGAATTGTGGAAGATTGGGACAATTCGAGACTATCCTGAAAGCTACGTGAAGATTTAGAAATCGGGTTTGTTCGAGAAGAGTTCTGATGATCAAGGGAGATTCATGAACATATTCAGGCAGAACGTGATTTTAAAAAGACCAGAGAAGACGCCAGGAAACTTCAAGGAGGCGATTAATTAATATTCGTGAATGTTGCGGAAGGATGGGAGAGCGTCGAAGATTCTGAGAATTCGTAAGGAATTGGCAAGCCTCAGGGAGGTTCAGGAGGATTCATGTCGATTCTAGTAGACTATGAGAGAGGGACGTAAAGGTTCGTCACGGTTTGACAAGGCTAAGAAGTACTCGGGTAGGTTCCGGAAGAGAAAATTCAAGAAGATTCGTGCAAATTGTGAGAGAATCTGAAAGATTTAAGGAGGCTCGGACAGCTTACGAAAAGATAAAGAAGATTGGGGAGAAGGGAAAGTTCAGAAAGAGTGAGGAAGAATCAGAAAGTTTCAGAAAATTTCAGAAATATTTAGGAAGATTCAGGAACACTTAGAAAGATTGGTGAAGGTTCAAGAGAATTAAAAGGAATCATGGAGATTGAGGGGGGTTTAGGAAAATTCAGGGAGAAATTTAAGACTTTTCAGGAAGGTTTAGAAAAATTTTATTTGTGAAAGTTCAAGAAAGTTAAGGGAGATCCAGGGAGATGTTGAGAGCTCAAAGAATCAGAAAGGTTCAGGAAGACCCATAAAGATTCAAGAAGATCTAGGAAAGTTTTACAAAACTTGAGAAATATCGAAAAAACGAACTAAGAGATCACCATGGAAACTAAGGAAGGTTTGGGGAGGTTCAGGATGATTCGGGAATATTTCAGAGGAGTTTACGAAAACACTAGAGAACTTATGAAGGGAGGATCAGGATTTAAGGAGGTTCGGGGATTTAAGAATATTCGGGAAGATTCCGGAAGACTGTGGGAGGTTGTGGAAATTCGGAACGGTTCGGGAATGAGAAGATTCAAGAAGGCTAATGCAAATTGTGAGAGAAGCAGAAAGATAAGAAGGTCCAGACAGAAAAAATCAAGAAGATTGGGGAAAATTAGGGGTTTGTAAAAGTTCAGGAAGTTTAAAAGACGACCATCGAGATTAAGTCAGGTTCAGAAAAACTGAGGAGGAATCAGAAAGACTCAGGAGGCTTCAGCGGAAAGATTCAGGACGATTCAGAAAAGGCAAGAGGGTTCAGGAACATTTCGGAAATATTTAGAAAAACTCTGGAAGGTTCTGGAACACTTAGAAAGTTTATGGGAGGGTCAGGGAGATTCAGGAAGCTTCAGAAAGACTCGGCAGATTAAGAAACGTTAAAAAAAGTCAGCAAAATTCAGAAAAACTTTGTGAAGGTTCAGGGTAGATGAAGAAGGGCCAGGGAGATGTTGGAAACTCAAAGGGATTAAGTAGGGTTCAGAAAGGTTCAGAAGCACCCGTAAAGATGCGAGAAAATCCAGGAAAATTTAGCAAAATATGTGAAGTGTCGAAAACACTAAGAGAAGGCCATGGAAACTAAATGAGTTTGGGGAGGTTCAGGAAGACTCATAAAGATTATGAAAATTCAAACATTCATAAGAACTTAAGAAAGCTTGTGAAATTTCAGGCAAATTAGAGTAAGATAATGGAGATTTAAGAAGGTCCAGGGAAATTTCAGAATATGCGGGAATATTCTGAAAGGCTGTGAGAGATTGTGGAAATTCAGGAGAATTCGGCACGGTTCGGTAGTACAAGAAGTATTCGGGAATGTTCGGAAAGGAGAAGATACAAGAAGAATGCAAATTGTGGGAGAATCAAAAACATTCCTGAAGGTTTAAGAAAATCCGGACAGCTTACGAAAAAATCAAGAAAATTTGGGAAAATTCGGGATTTGTCAAGGTCAGGGAAGTTTAAAGGATGCGCAATGCAGATTAAAGGGAGGTTCAAAAGATCGAGGAAGAATAAGACAAGTTCTGGAGGGTTTATGAAACCTCAGAAGGACTAAGACAGGTTCAGAAAGGCACTGGAAAATTTCATAAATATTTAGGAAGATTCGGAAGCCCTTAGAAGGTTTTACAAAACTTGGGAAATGTCATAAAAACAAACTAAGAGAGGGCCATGGAAACTAAGGAAGGTTTGGGGAGGTTCAGGAAGATTTCAGAGAAGCCCAAAAAACCAAAAGAGAACTTAGGAAGGAAGGATCAGGATTTCAGGAAGTTCAGGGAAATTTAAGAATATTCGGGAAGATTCAGGAAGACTGTGGGGGATTGTGGAAATTAGGGAGAATTCGGAACGGTTCGGGAATGAGAAGATTCAAAAAGGCTAATGCAAATTGTGATAGAAGCAGAAAGATTTGTAAGAGGGTTCAGATTTGTAAAGGTTGGGGAAGTTTAAAGCACGACAATGGAGATTAAGGGAGGTTCAGAAAGGTTGAGGAAGAATTAGAACGATTCAGGAGGCTTCAGGAAACCTCGGAAATATTCAGAAAGACTAGGAAAGGTTCAGAAATTCTGGAAAGTCTATGAGAGAGACGGGAAGGTTCCTGACGGTTTGACAAAGCAGAAGATGTAGTCGGGTAGGTTCCGGAAGGAGAAAATTCAAGAAGAGTCATGCAAATTGTGGGAGAATCAGAAAGATTCGTGAATATATAAGAAGGTCCACACAGATTACGAAAAAATCAAGAAGATTGGAGAGAATTGGGGGTTTGTAAAAGTTCAGGAAGTTTAAAACACGGCCATGGAGATTAAGTCAAGTTCAGAAAAATTGAGGAGGAATCAGAAAGACTCAGGAGGCTTCAGCGGAAAGATTAGGACGATTCAAAAAGAGCAAGAAAGGTTCAGGAACATTTCGGAAGTATTTAGAAAATCTCTGGAAGGTTCTGGAACACTTACAAAGTTTGATGAAGCGTCGTTGGATTTATGGGGGCGGGGGGAGGGGGTCAGGGAGATTCAGAAAGCTTCAGAAAGACTCGGCAGATTAAAAAGCCAGGAAAATTCAGAAAAACTTTGTGCAGGTTCAAGAAAGATAAAGAAGTGCCAGGGAGATGTTGGGAGCTCAAAGGGATTAAGAAAGATTCAGAAAGGTTCAGATGCACCCGTAAAGATTCAAGAAAACCCAGGAAAATTTAGCAAAGTCTGTGAAGTGTCGGAAAAACTAAGAGAAGGTCATGGAAACTAAATGAGGTTTGGGGAGGTTCAGGAAGATTCGTAAGAATTATGAAAATTCAAAAAGATTCAGGAGAACTTAAGAATGCTTGTGAAATTTCAGGAAAATTAAGGGAAGATCATTTAAAGAGGTTCAGGGAAATTGCAGAATATTCGGGAATATTCTGGAAGACTGTGGGAGATTGTGGAAATTCGGTACGGTTCGGCAGTACAAGAAGTATTCGGGAATGTTCGGAAAAGAGAAGATACAAGAAGACTAATGCGTATTGTGGGAGAATCAGAAACATTCCTGGGGACAGATTACAAAAAAAATCAAGAAGTTTGGTGAGAATTCGGGATTTGCAAAGTTTCGGGACGTTTTAAAGACGGCCATGGAGATTAAAGGAGGTTCAGAAAGATTCAGGAAATTTCAGAATATTTAGGAAAATTCAGGAACGCTTAGAAAGAGTGGTGAAGGTTCAAGAAAATTAAAAAATCATGGACATGGAGGTTCAGAGAGATGCAGGAAGACTCGGGAGGATTCCAAAAAGTTTAGGAAAATTCAAAAAGGTTCAGGGAAATTAAGGGAGGATCGTGGAGATTTAAAGCGGCTCAGGGAAATTTGAGAATATTCGGGAATATTCAGGAAGACTGTTAGGGATTTTGCAAATTCCGGGCAATACGGCACGGTTCGGCAAGACTCATACGTACTCGGGAATGTTCGGGAAAGAGAAGATTCTAAAAGGCTAAGGCAATCGTGAGAGAATCCGAAAGATTTATGAAGATTTAAGAAAGTTTAACGAAAAGAATAAAAAAGATTGGGGACACTTCGGGATTTGTAAAGGCTCGGACAATTTAAAGGGCGATCATAGAGATTAAGGGAGGTTAAGAGTGATTGAGAAAGTATCATAAAGATTCAGGAGACTGCAGAAAACGTAGTAATTTGAGGCAAATTCAGAACGAGGTTCAGGAAGACTCTGGAAAATTTCAGGAGCATTCATGAAGATTCAGGAACACTGATGAAGGTTCAAAGAAATTAAAGAAGAATCATGGAGGTTAAGGGAAGTTGAGGGAAGTTCGGAAAGGTTCAGGAAGGCTCGAATAGATTCAGAAAAGTTTAAGAAAATTCAGGAAAACTCAGAAAGATTGATAAGGGCCCGAGAAGATTCAGAAACGTCGAGGAAGATTAAAAAAAGTTGAGGAATCTCTAGGAAGGTCTGGAAACGATCAAGAATATAGGGGGTATAGAGTTAGAGAGGTACAAAGAAATTAAAAGTTCAGGAAAATTAAGGGAGGGCCATGGACACTAAGGGAGATTAACGAAGGTTAAGAAAGTCTCCGGAAGATTCAGAAAGACACGGGAAGATTCAGAAAAATGTAGGAAGATTCGAAAGGTTGAGGAAGATATCCAAAAATTCAGTAAACTTCAAAAAGGGGATACATTAATATGCGTGAATGTTGGGGAAGACTGTGCAGCGGTAATTCAAAGAATTCCTAAGAATTCTGAATGGTTCCCGGAGGTTTAGGAGGAAGACTATAAGAGGTTGCGGAAATTCGGGAAGATTCAGCACGTCGGCAAGACTCACAAGGATTCGGGTAGGTTCGGAAGGCAGAAGAATCAAGAAGACTAATTCAAATTGTACGAGAGTCACAAAGATTCCTGAAAATTCAAGTAAATCCGGACAGCTTACGAAAAAGTCAAGAAGAATGGGGAGAATTCGGGGTCCGAGAAATTGAAAGGGAGGTTAAAAATGATCGAGGAAGAATAAGTTCTGGAGGCTTTATGAATGAAGGATTTGGGAAGAATCAGAAGGACTGAGACAGGTCCAGTAAGACCATGGAATTTCATAAATATTTAGGAAGATTCAGAAACCCTTAGAAAGATTCGTGAATGTTCAAGAAAATTGAAAACAAGGATCATGTAGATTGAGGGATGTTCAGGGAGATTCAGTCGGGAGAAAGATTAAGAAATTTCAAGAAGATTAAAAAAAAAAAGAATATTTGTGAAGGTTCAGGAAAGATAAGGAAGAGCCAGGGAGATGTTGGGAGCTCAAAGAGAGAAAGAATCGGACAGGTTCTTGTAAAGATTCAAGACTATCTAGAATATTATGGCAAAATCTGCGAAGAGTCGGAAAAACTAAGAAAAGGTCATGGAAACTAAGGGAGGTTTGGGGAGCTTCAGGTAAATTTGAGAATATTCGGGAATATTCTGGAAAACTGTGGGATTCTTAAAGGACTAATAAATATCTTTAAAGATTCCGCCCTCAAAGGCTCATAAATATTCTTCAAAACTCTTTAAAAGCCTTGAAGATTCAAAAAATCTCTTCAGGGTCGTCTCTTAGGAACAAAATAGAACCTCAAGGAGTTTAAAGGAGATTTAGAAAGGTTGCGAAGAAATAGAAAGGTTCAGGAACACTCTAGAAAATTCAGGAAAGTTAAATAAAGCTTATGAAGAGATTGTGAAGGTAAGAGGAGGTTCATGGAGGTTCACAAAATTGAAGAAACCTTCAAGAATATTAAAGCGATTCGAGTATATCCAGAAAGATTCAGAAACATCGAAGAGGAGTATTCAGAAATTCGGGAAAGTTCGGGAAGATTCATAAATATTCGGGAATGCTCGGAGAGTGAAGATTCAAGAAGACCAAGAGATGCTGTAGAAGACTGAGAAGATTGCGAAGAATTCGAGGCCGCGAACAAAGCGTGAAATAATTCACATATAAAGTGGGCGTGGGGGGAGAATTGAAAAAGGAGGATCGTTAAAGAAGGGGTTGTACACGCTTGTTCGCCCTCAAACGCTCTTAAATTATTTGAAGGCTCAAGATACCTGAAACCTCTTTAAAACCTTTGAACGTTTTCAAAGATTCATAAATCTCTAAGGCTCGTCTCTTAGGAACACGAAAGAACCTCAAGGAGTCTAAAGTCTTCTTGAGATACAAAAATTTGGCGCCTTTAACGCACAGATACCAAAATGAGGGACTGTAAAAAACTCGTGAGTTCGCTGAAGGTCTTTAAAGGCCTTTATAAGGCTCTTAAATCTTTTGGACTTTGAAAAGGAAGATTGAGAAAGTCACGAAGAGGTTCGGGAGAGATTCAAGAAGCTTTCCGAAAATCGAGGAGAGTGATCAGGAAAATTAAGAGAGGGTCATGGGCATTCAGGGAGATTCAAGAAAATAGGAATATTCAAAAATATTCGGGAAGACGCGGGAAAATTCAGGAAGCTTCAAGAAAGAGATGCACAAATATTCGTGAATGTTGGAGAAACCTCAGGGAGAGTGTCGAAGATTCAGAGAATTCGTAAGAATTTGAAAAGGTTCTGGGAGGCTCAGGACGATTACTATGGGGAAATTCGAGTAGGTTCGGCACGGTTTAGGTTTAGGAGAAGAAAAAGACTAATGCAAATTGTGGGAGAATCAGAAAGATTTAAGGAGGTTCGGACAGCTTACGAAAAGATGAAGAAGATTGGGCGAGAATTTGGGATTTGTAAAGGGAGGTTCAGAAAGAGTGAGGAAGAGCCAGAAAGTTTCAGGAAATTTCAGAAATATCTGGAAAGATTCAGGAACGATTGGTGAAGGTTCAAGAGAATTAAAAAAAGAATCATGGAGATTGAGGGGTGGTTCAGGAAAATTCAGGGCGAAGTTTAAGACATTTCAGGAAGATTTAGAAACATTTAATTTGTGAAAGTTCAAGAAAGTTAAGGGAGAAGCAGGGAGATATTGAGAGCTCCAAGAGATTCAGGAAAAATCAGAAAGGTTCAGGAAGACCTGTAAAGATTCAAGAAGATCGAGGACAGTTTTACAAAATTTGGGAAATGTTGCAAAAATTAACTAAGAGAGGGCCATGGAAACTAAATAAGGTTCAGGATGATTCGGGAAGATTTCAGAGAATCCCAGAAAATCCAAAGGGAACGTAGGAAGAAAAGTTCAGGATTTCAGGAAGTTCAGGGAAATTTAAGGATATTCGGGAAGATTCAGGAAGACTGTGGGAGATTGTGGAAATTCGGCACGGTTCGGAAATGAGAAGATTCAAGAAGGCTAATGCAAATTGTGAGAGAAGCCGAAAGATTTTTAAGAGGGTTCAGATTTGTAAACGTTGGGGAAGTTTAAAAGACGACCATGGAGATTAAGGGAGGTTCATAAAGGTTGATGAAGAATTAGAACGATTCAGGAGGCTTCAGGAGACCTCGGGAAGGTTTAGAAAGACTATGAAAAGTTAAGAAATTCTTGAAACTCTGGACGTTGAGAGGGGTTCAGGAATATTCAGGAAGGCTGTGGTAAATTCGATGATATTCAGGACGGTTCGACAAGATTCAAAAGTATTCGGAAATGTTCGGAAAGAGGCAGATTCCAGAAGGATAACGCAGATTCTGGGAGGATTGAGGAAGATTTCAGAAGATTCAGAGGGTTTCGGAAAAACCCAGGTAGATTGGGGAGAATTTGGGATTTGTGAAGGATCGAGAAGCCAGGAAGATCAGGGGAGGCTCAGAGAGATTGAGAAAGAATCATAAAAGTTTAGGGAAACCTGGTGAGGGTGACTAAGAAGTCAAAAAGATCCGGGGCGACGTAGGTATAAAGCAGTGATGGTGAGGGTGAAAGGAAGCATCAATGGGCCGTACTGTAGCCGTGAAGAAAGCGCGAAGCAGGTGTGAAGTAAGTGATAGTGAAAGAAAGAGGGTGGTATGACTGAGGAACGAAGAAGAATCATGAAGAGGATTACAGACAATGTAGAAGAGGGATGTGATGGATTTGGCGACGTATACATTTATGGTGTTTGTCGAGGAGGAGGTAGAGAAAATGAAAGGACCATCAAACGGGGCCCGATCCACAATACCGAAAGGATTTTGATACCGCACATACAGAGTGTTCTAATAATCCGTGGACCAAATGTGCACGAAAACTTTCTTGTCCAAGTTATAGAGAGGTTTTGATCACAACCTATTGGAACACTATTTGCATGCTTAAAGATTTCAAAAAAACTCGTGTACTCACGTTTATAACGACCCTTTCACAAAAATCGTGGTCGTGCGGGATGGGCTCGAAATGGGCCACACCAGTAAACTGGGAGTGGGGGGTGTGCCCGTCCTCGTCCTGGCTGCTGAGCTTGGGCAGCGACCTGAAATACAAAAAAAAAACAAAATCAAAAAAATGATTTTTCAAAAAATCGCGAAAACAATCAGTCACATGTTACCTCCCGGTTTTTGGGCAGAAAGTTACGGTTAACTCGCAGCATTCCGCCATGTTTACCGGCTCTGTGTATAAAAGAGAAACTGATAATTGCGGACAACAAACGGAACGGCTGACACATCTTTTTCGATAAGAGGAGTGAGGCGTTCAAGGCAAACGGCCGCGATGATAAAACGAATATTGTTATCGATGGGCTGCGGTTTTTCCTTAAGAGCATTTCTTAAATTCCCCCGTTAAAATTCGCACAAACAGGACATTTGATTTAATCTCGCGACGGATGTCCTCCCGTTACAAAAATAGAACTATCTTTAGTAAATAAAGATTGAAGAAAATAATGGTGGAAACACACTGGAGTTAAAAACGATAAAGGTTGATCTCCCACTTAATCCCGCGATTTAAAACAAAATTATATAATATGAAGTAAGTATTATACGGGGCGTTACGTTTGCAACAAACTGTTCATATACAGGGTGCTTCAATTAAGTAATTAAAAATTTAAAATTTTAGACAAGCTAAATCTATAATATGCCAACAAAAATATTCCACGAAAACCATTTTTATAATTATACAGGGTGATCAATCGAGATTAGTCCTGGCAAATAAATATTCTACAGGGTATTCCGTTTGATAAGACCACACTATGTGTATCTTAAATTGTTATACAGGGTGTTGCAATGAAGGAGACCTCATTAGTGACCATAGGGAGAACGTGACGATTAGGGAAACAAATTTAACTATAAGCTAAATTTAAATTATGCTGCTTTATAATTAGTGAGGAATATCCTTGGGTTGTAATTGTAATTGGGGTCCAGTTCCCGAAATTAGTGAGCACTTGGGCATCTTTCACACTGAGAACGTGACTGATGAGTCAAACTTTAATTAGTACGTTTCTTCGTAATTAGTGAGAAATATAATTACATTTGCGTAATTGTAATTAGGACATGTTTCATATGTACATTGTGGGCATATATTTCCATCTCTTCTACTGAGCAACGGACTGTTAGAGGAGAATCTTCCATTTGAGTCAAAATTAAATTAGTATGTTGCTTCCTAATTGATGTAGAGTAGTAGCCTATAATTTGTGAACGGTTTTACTACTTAAGACGCATAATTCGTAATTAACTTGAATCTGAAACTGGGATCAAGTTCATTAATTTTGGGATCACTTGGGCATCTTTCATACTGAGAACGTGGCTGTTAGTGGAGAGGCTTAATTGCTGATCAAAATGCTGTTTCACAATTACTGATAAAATCCTTAGTCTGTAACTGTAATTGGGATCCAGTTCCTGAATTTGGGCTCCCAATTCATGTAGTAATTACTATGTTTCTTCGTAATTAGTGAGGAATACCATTAAATTTTCGTAATTGTTCTTTCTTGAACTTTGTTGGCACTAATGTCCATATCTTGTACTGAGAAATGGAGTGTTAAAGGAGAAGTTTCCATTTGAGTCAAAATTAAATTAGTATATTGCTTCCTAATTAGTGAAGAGTATTATATAATTGTAATTGGGCCCCACTCGGGGGTTTTACTACTTAAGACGCATAATTCCTAATTAGAATCAATCTGAAACTGGGACCAAGTTCATAGATTTTGAGATCACAGGCATGTTTCACACTGAGAAAGTAACAGATAGAAGAGAATTGTAAATTAGTGAGAAGTGAGGAGTGACCGTTAATGTAAAGGTTCGACATTGAGAATTGACAGGCGCATCAAGAAGACGCTTTTGCCTCGAATCTAAATCGCATTCTTATGTTACTAATTATGCAGCTTCTTAATTAGTGAGGAACGCCTGTAATTAGGATCCTCATAATTAGATATCATTGTAATTGGGATCCGGTTCATAAAACCTCCTTCTTGTGATTTGGTAATTGCATTGTTAAATTAGTTATTAAGTATAACTTCATAATTAATGTGGAATACTTTCACACTGTAAGTACAATTGGGTCCCAGATCGTTTGATATCTTAAACCTACGTAATTAGTGAGTTCATTTATTTCGATATAATTTGCACACCGGAAAGGTAAGCGCCTTTAATTATACATAATTAGTGAGGAATACCATTAAATTGTTGCTGTAATTAGTTCCTATTTGCGTGGACCTAAACTACATTTCTAGCCCAGTAATTAAAAGGCTTCATAATTAGTGAGGGGTGCCATTACACTATTACTGCAATTATTGCCCACAGATTATTTCTGTAATTAGGTCCTACTTACACACATTTTGGGTATCCTAAGCATTTCTCTTTTTTGGGAAGTAATTAAACCATTCTAGTACGGATTATATAACATTATATGTTTATGAAGCCACATAATTAGTGAGGAATATCGTTAGATTATTATAGAAATTAGACCCCCACATTCACTTTAGGCAATTTAGGCATCTATCTTTTTAAGGGAAGTAATTGGCAGATTCTACCAAGGACGTCTTGTGATCAGAATTATGAAGCTTCATAATTAGTGAAGAGGATACATGATTGCAGTAATTAAGACTCTATTCACATACAATTTAGGAAATTTATGCATTCTTTTTGGAGAAGAAATTAAGCAGATTCTAGGAAAAACCTAAATTACATTCTTGTAATGTTAATTCTGAAGCTTGATAATTAGTGAAGAATTCCTGGGATTGTTGCAGTAATTAGGCCTCATTCAGATACACTTTAGACAATTTAGGCTCGTCTCTTTTTTGGAGAAGTAATTGGGAAGATTCTAGCACGGGCATGTCAACGTAATTAAAAGATCATTGCAGGGTCCTAAAATACATTTTTATGGTCGAAATTTAAAAACTTCATAATTAGTGAAAAAAGCCCCGAGATTAATGCAGTAATTAGATCTCATTCACTTATACCTTAGGTAATTTGAAGTTATGAAGTTTCATGATTAGTTTTTTTGGGATGTAATGGATATTTTAATTCGGACTTAAATTCTTATTTTCGTAATTGCGAAATTCATAATTAGTGAGCGATACTCTCAGATTATTGCTGTAATTAAATCACATTCACATACACTTTAGAAGATTTTTAGCACGGACTTGTCTTCGAAATTATGAAGCTTCATAATTAGTGAGAAAGACCCTTAGATTATCGCAGTAATTAGACCCCACTACAGGCAACTTAGATATCTCCCCGTTTTGAGGAGGTAATTGAGAATATTCCGAAATTAAGCACGTAAATTCGACCTAACATCATTCTTGTGAAGCTTTAATTCATTAGTAGCTTGATAATTAGTGATATTCACTGGGATTATTTTAACAGTAATTTAGGCCTCACTCCTATACACTTTGACAATTTAGAGTAATTAAGAAGTCATTTAGTAAGGATTGCCTAAATTACATTTTTGTGATCGTAATTTTGAGGGCTTCATAATCAGTAATTAAAAATCATTGCAGGGTGCTAAGTATATTAGGATTCCCAAACAGATACAATCATTAGACACTACAGCTTTCTTTAGTCTAGGAATTATGAAGTTTCATAATTAGTGAGTATAGATGATTGCTATAATTCCTATGTACGTGGTTGTGAAGCTTCCTAATTAGTGAGGAATTAAAACTTAATTAGGTCTCACTGACTAACATTTTGGGTTATTATAATCATAATTAGTGAAGGGCACCTTTGTACTATTACTATTACTGTAATTAGGTCTCTCACGTACATTTCTGTCAACTTCCCTTCTTTAGGAATGTATAGGAGAAGATTCTAGCACAGATCTAAACTACATTTTTCTATTCCAGTAATAATGAAACTTCATAATTAGTGAGGAATTCCTTTGGATTATTGCTGTAATTAAGTCTCAATCGCTTTGGGTTACTTAGGCATCGCTCTCGGGGAAGTAATTGAGAACATCTCACTCAAATTGCATCTTTAGTCTAGGAATTATGAAGTTTCATAATTAGTGAGTATAGATGATTGCTATAATTCGCTATGTACGTGGTTGTGAAGCTTCCTAATTAGTGAGGAATTAAAGCTTAATTAGGTCTCACTGACTAACATTTTGGGTTATTATAATCATAATTAGTGAAGGACACGCTTGTACTATTACTATTACTGTAATTAGGCCTCTCACGTACATTTCTGGCAACTTCCTTTCTTTGGGAAGGTATAGGAGAAGATTCCAGCACAGATCTAAGCTACATTTCTATTCCAGTAATTATGAAACTTCATAATTAGTGAGGAATTCCTTTGGATTATTGCTGTAATTAAGTCTCAAACGCTACTGGGACTAAATTATGAAGTTTCATAATTAGTGGATTATGTAATTAGTCTCTTCTATATGATTATTGGTTGTGAAGCTTCATAATTAGTGAGGAATTAATTTGGATTATTGCTGTAATTAAGTCTCAAACTCTGTGGGTTACTTAGGCTATCGCTCTCGGGGAAGTAATTGAGAACAACTCACTCAATTCCATAGTGAGTATAGTCTATAAGCTTACTAATTAGTGAGGAATTAAAGCTTAATTAGGTCTCACTGACTAACATTTTGGGTTATTATAATCATAATTAGTGAAGGCACCCTTGTACTATTACTATTACTGTAATTAGGTCTCTCACGTACATTTCTGGCAACTTCCCTTCTTTGGGAAGGTATAGTAGAAGATTCTAGCACAGATCTAAGCTACATTTCTATTCCAGTAATTATGAAACTTCATAATTAGTGAGGAATTCCTTTGGATTATTGCTGTAACTAAGTCTCAAACGCTTTGGGTTACTTAGGCATCGCTCTCGGGGAAGTAATTGAGAACAACTCACTCAAATTGCATCTTTAGTCTAGGAATTATGAAGTTTCATAATTAGTCAGTATAGATGATCTTTAGTCTAGGAATTTGCAGTTTCATAATTAGTGAGTATAGATGATTGCTATAATTCCTATGTATGTGGTTGTGAAGTTTCCTAATTAGTGAGGAATTAAAGCTTAATTAGGTCTCACTGACTAACA